TTTTTTTTACCTGTTTCTCTTAAACTACGATCAACTCTTTCAAAAGTTTTTGGACTCGGCAAATGTCGACCCGGAAACCTTTCCTCATAAAGTCTTCTTGCCTCCACGGAGTTGCATAATGCTTCCCCATAAATTAGGTGCATATCAGCATATTCTGCACAGGAATATTCTTCCATTTTTAAATGTTATTTCTAACGGCTTAAAACGAATACCACAATAAAATTGAATTTTTATTCTGTCATGCGCCTTTGACAAGTACTTTAAAATCAACAGGGTCTAACAACGAAAACAATAGAAAAGAACTCCATGGAGACAAGAGCAATAATAATTTATAGATGTATTTTGGTCATAGATGTTGATTTTACAAGAAACGGCTTTATCCATTCCCTTAATTCACCACCAGTAAATGTTTATGGTGAATCTGTAGGCTGGCACTAGCGGGAATGATTTTATTGTAAAAAAATAAATTTTAATTGTTGTTGTATATGTTACCAATTTTTTTTAAAACCGATTTATCTAGCAAACCGTTCATTTTTTCGAAATAAATAAAGAGTACCATATTTAAAGAAAAACCTTCAGAGTATCTAATAATAATATTTTCAGTTTGATAAAATTACTTCTGTCAAAATTTTGAGAAAAATTGTGATAGGGCCAGTCCGTTTCTGGACACCTGATAATATCAAAAAGTTTATTTTAGCATCAAATCGTAGAGCTCCATGTGTAATACAACGTACGAAAATTTTATTAAAATATACAGGATGGTTTCAAAGTTATAACCCTAAACGTTAATTTCTAGGTACCCCTTTGACCCCCATAACTCCGTTAGGGGGCACCTTAGGAAAAAAAAATTATAGGAAGGACTAGTTTTATTTTGACCTCCCCTATACACTCCCGAGAGATTAGGAGGTACTTACCGGACACCCTGTATAGAATACTTAAAAAAAAATTAATATTTAGGTAGTAGGTGTAAGTCATTTTGGAAGTGTGTGTAACTGTACTGAATAGTATATTGTACCAATATTAATACAGTATGTTAAAATAAAACCAGCTATGAACTGCACGAAATTTGGATATCTTCCGATAGTTTTGTTTGACAATGCGCTTTGGTATTTTCCATACAGGACTTATCATCCCTAAATACGAATTTTTTCAAGGGCGAACGATAGTGACTAACTTATTTCATATAACTGATTTCATTTCTTCCATCATTGGTAAGGGGTGTCAATCAGATCAGTTATTTACACAGACTTTTCGAGAACCTTTGGTACAGTTGATTACGCAATATTGATAACTAAATTGCGTCCTTTTTATATTTTGCTATCCATTTAATAAAATTGATTAAATCTTATCTTTGCGACAGATTTCAATATAATAGTGTTTCGAGGTCATAAATATGTAGATAGAAGTTACTTCAGGAGTGTCTCGAGAATCTATCCTTTTTTCCCTATTATTCAGTCTATTTATAATTGATGCAGTTGATAATTTAACGGCAAATTCTTGCTGCTATAGGCAATTATTGACTCTTCGTCAACATAACTTGAATCCGGATAAATCATCATTATGTCACTTACTACCACTTATAAGGTTATATACTTACACTACAAAAAAACGCTTCACCAAATATGCACTATACAAATTCTATTTCGATTCCAGTAAAAACATATTTCACGAAAAAAGTCTAACTTATTCAAATAAAATCTCCCAAAGCCAATAAACTGAAGAGGTTTACTTTTGCCTGTCTATTACGTACATGTACGTTCCAATCGAGTAAACAATGGTCAATTTTCGATTCGTGCGTATCATTAGCGGCTTAATTTTCTTGATATTTTGATTTATTTTGGACTAATGATTCCTGATCACTGAGATATAAATAAAAAAGTTTTTCCTCTTATTCACCCTAACCGCGGACATACTGTATATGTCGTTCGTATTTGTTACGTCAAATATTTCTAGGTTTATAATAAAAAACATATTTTCACATAAATATTACACCTTTCATTTCTCGCTTTGGTCTTTTGAAGTGGATCCTAGACCAATTTTTGGTATTCTCTTTAACATTAAAACTTGCGATATTAAGACCTATTGTTTAGTTCATGTGCACTTCAATAAGTCTTTTAATTTTTCTCAAACATAATTACAACCAGACCAGTTACAAATCTGTACAGTCGATCGACATTATCATGTAAATGATTGGTATTTACTACAAACAATTACTGGGGACACATCGTAAGTGATTAGGTGATTTTCAAGATTTGTATTAATTTAATTGTTTCGATTAAATCACATTTCAGTTACAATCGATAATTGTAGAAGTGTACCATCTGCCTGTATGTATTGAATCAGTAAGTACTAGACTACTAGACAAGTGAAAAAATGCTCCAAATGTTAAACCTAAGATATCGTACAATTGCATATACTTCTAGTAGAATATAAATAAGCAATAATAAAAATTCTTTATTTAATAGTTCTAATTGAAGATGAATTTTGCTGTAATATTGCTAATTAATTAATATGATAGAGTTTAAAGGAAATATATTAATTACATATTTAGTCCAATTAAATAAGCGAATCGAAATTTTGGTCAACTTGCCAGAATTTTTGATATGAGTTAGTTTGAGGTATATTTTAACAATAAGTGACAGTAACCCTCGGCCAAGGGNTAACTGCTCTCAAGGAAGGTGTAATGAAAGTGCAATTACATAAGTTATGGATTTGTTGTAAATATATTTCAATCCACAGCAAAATATTTGTGATTTAGGTCCATTTTCATCAAGTTAAATTACACAAGCACGAATGGCTACGACAAGAAAGGAAATACTAGTTCTCTTTTTAATTCTTCTTCAAATAACCAAACCAACATTATCGCAAGACAGCGGAGATGATACCACCATCTTTAGATTACCAAAAGACTTGGTACCAGAAAATTACGACCTGTTCCTGCATATCGAACCAGCAAATGATGATTTTAGCGGAACAGTGAACATTACCTTCCACTTGGTTAATGAATCCTCCGTTGTCGAAGACATTTATTTCCATGCTGATCCAAAATTCGTCACAATAACATATCTAACTGTAAATGGTGACACTAACTGTACGTATGAGAGTCTAGATAACTACATTGTGAAATGTTCTTGTGGTAATATAATGGAAGGAAGCAATTTTCTCTACATTGAATATGAAGGTAAATATTCTCAAACTGATGGACGTGGTTTGGTTAAAACAAGTTATACGGATAATGGCAAGAAGCAATATTTGATCGAATCATATTTTGAACCAACTTTCGCGAGGAGAGCTTTCCCTTGCTTTGACGAACCGGATTTTAAAGCTACTTTTTCTATCAAAATAATAAATCCGGTTAGTTATACTATGCCTGTGAGCAACAGTATTCCTCAAGATTACATTATTAAGTAAGTGCTTTATTAAAAAGGAAGTAAAGATCCTGTAAAGATTTGAAAGTTATTATTAACCAGTTACTTTTACTTTTAGCATGGAAAATCTGACAGTCACCTTTCAACCGACTCCAAAAATATCGACATACTTAGTCTCAATTTTTGTTTCTAACTTTGAAGAAACATCATTTTCTTATGCAGACGACGAAGAATATACTTTCAAATTTTTGACACGGTCTGGTTTTGAAGATTTAACATCTAAAGTTGCTGGAACCCACTATGGTCAAATCATGGATGCATTGAGTAACTTCACTGGACAATCTTTCCAGGATATAGGCGACACTGAATGCTATCAAGTTGCTGTACCCGATTATTTTTCCGAAGATATGGGGAATTTTGGACTTTTTGTCTACAAGTAATTTTCAACTATTTTCAATTTCTTTTATATTAAATACATTTTTGTTACAGAGAAAGAGATCTGTTAGATGAAGGCGATAAAACTACTGTCAAGGTTACTCAAAACATACTGCAAGCTATGACATATAAGATAAGTCACGAATGGTTTGGAGGAGAAGTTTCGACCACGTGGTGGTCAGACTTTTGGGCAAACGAAGCTGTTCCGATGTATTTTAAATATATTATTCCGAATAAGGTAAACAATATGACTTATAGCTCCAACAAAGTATTTCCAATGTACTTAAAAGTTTCTATAATGGTGTATAAAGGTTTGTATTATTCTAATACTACTATAGTCTGCAACAAAATGTAATGTGTGATATTTCCAATTTAGATTGATGAGGGATTCGAATTTACAAACCAATTTGTAGTGGACGTAGTTCAAAAAGCAATGCAGTACGATGCCATGCCTTTCGTAGAACCGCTTTCTTCTGATGAGTCAGATATTACCAACGAATGGGGAATTGAAAATAAATTGGATAAATACAGTTTACTGAAGGGTATTTTATTACACATAATTTTCTTTCTTGTTACTTCAGTAATTAATCATAATTTTGATGTAAGTGAGGCAAACATGAATTAGAAGCAGTTGGTGATTTAAATTTAGAAGCAATACAAGCTTTAGTATATAAAACTTACAACATTGCCAGAGATATAAGAGTTTAATTAATTCTAATTCAACTGTGCAGACAAAAAAGTTATTTTGAATGTTTTATAAACATGATATATATGCGGAAAGTTTTTTAGCTTTCAATATACCTACATTTTTTCCAAAAATTTACCTTGCAGACAATAAATTATTTTCTTTATGTTACCACTTGATTTCATTATTCTTTTCTTCGGTTAAGGTTGACACTTTTGTCATTTTCACAACACGTTTTGGTGATTCATTTATCAAAATAACTTTTCCTTCCCTATTTATTCTGAACGTTTAAACCAATGTGTAATATTTATTTTACAACGTTGTAGGAGCAACACTGCTGCATATGATAAATTATTTTGTAAGTGGAGAAGACCAGTTTAGAGAAAATCTTCAAAACCATCTACAAAATAGGTATGTTATCAACCTATTTTATTATTATCATAGCCTCTGCTGTTAAAGCTAACTATACAGGGTGATCCATTAACGATAGGGAGCCGCTGTATACAGGAAACTAGACGTGCTACAATTTTGGGTACAAAATCTATTAACAAATTGTAACTTCACGGCTAGAGGACGCTACTGCTATAGTGTTACAGAAAATTGTCGTTTTTTTCTAAATTTCGCTTATATAACCTAAGTTGAAAATACACTTTTTAGATACACTGTTAAACCTTTTATTAGTTTTGTTTTAATTCTTTTGTTATTGCCATAGCAACGACAGTATAGAGGACGCCATCTTGAAAGTTTTAAGTTGTCGTAACTTCTAAATGATTTCAAGAAACGGCGGCTCATTTTAATAGACTACAAGCCCATCGGAAATTTTCAAAGGGTCATTTGAACCAGCATGAATTACATATAAATCAATACTACCGCATATAACAATAACTTTAGAAACTATGCCGTCAATTCTTGTTGGTACAGGTGAGTACACAGGTAAGCTAAACCTGTCCACCAAGGGGGGGCAAAACATTTTTGTACGGCATTTCTAAAGTAAAGAGGTTATACAAAAAAAATTAACCTCGAGCTAATGCCGTACAAAAATAGCAATGCCGGAAGACAGGAATATTTCTGATTTTCTGAAAATTTTGGCCTTGTTTTTGGTGATTTACTACAGTACGGCATTTATACTGAAGTTTTGGTTTGATACATAGAGAACTTTTTTAGTAACGCCGTAAGTATCTGCTGATACAGGAGTTAGAAATGCAGGGCACAACTCTCTTTTTGTAAGTAGCGTATAGGGGGTGATTTGAACCAACATCAACTTTCACTAATTTTAATTCTATTTTATAAAATAATGACATTTTTGGCCTTGCCGTACATTTTTCATGAAGCATATGCTTCAGATGGTCGGCATTGTTGCTAAAACATTATTTAAAATAAATAAAATATTTTTTAAGTAATATGCCGTTAAAAAGCCATAGGTCGATATAAAAATTATTAATTTTATAAATTTGAAATTAATTTTTTTTCACAACAATCTTAAAGTTGTTTTTGTAACAAATGCACTTTTAAATTATTTTTACTAATTTTAAACATATATTGTATGCCAATGGCTTCATCACAATTATTGTAACAGAAGTTGCAAATATGCAAATGAGAGAGTACTATTACTTCAAAACATATAATTGTATCACTGTTTTAAATGTAAGTATTTATATAGGAATTCTCAAGAATATTGAGTTAAAATTAATTGTTTGTTATTATATTTATTTAAAAATAATACTTAATAATACAAGTCATTAAATTTCTATACACAATTTTTTTTAATCTTAAAGACAATGCCATCATAATTTCTACGGTATAAATTAAATTTCTCTTGAAATTAGGATAAACTCATTTTGGACTTATTAATGACCTAAAAATATAGTAAAAATTTAATGAAAAATATTATCAGCTATATTAAATCCACTAGTTAAAAATGTACGGCATTGGTTTTTTTATATTTTTTTTTACTTATGAAAAGTCAATTACAGCCATAACATTTTTAGTTTATAACAAGGAATTTTCAAAATATTGTAAATTTTCAAAATTTATTTTTTTGTTTTTTAATTCGAATTTTTAATTTGTACCATTAATTATAACCGGCCATGATTTAGTACGATAGTTTTTGGTTATATTTTATCAAAAAAGTGGTTGCCGTACAAGAATTAATAATCTTATCGAAAAAATTAAAACTCAATTTCAAAATACAAGTAATTGTTTATAAACTTCTGCATTAACCATAATTTTCAGACGATATAGTTGCTAAGAATTATTTGGAGAGTTAAATAATCATGTCAAATCGATATTTATGTATTGATCCGAAACTTGCAGTAGAATAAATGCCGTACTGTAGTAAATCACCAAAAAAGGCGAAAATTTTCCTGGCTGCTATTAGTGTTATGCCGAACTTACCTGTGTACTCACCTGTACCAAGAAGAAAAGAAGAATAGACGGCAAATAACCCTTAAAAATTTCCGATGGGCTTGTAGTCATAAGGAACTATTAATAACATTTATTTTTATGATGTGGAAATAAAAATATTATTTTCCTGAGCAACGGTAGACGCGGTAATCAGAAAAGTTTTGTAATTGTATCCGTCTACTAAAAAAAAAAAAAAGCAAACAAAAAAGGTTTTTTTTCATGGTTAGACCATTTATTAAGGAAAACAAAAACACAAACCGGGGGTCCATATCTTTTTTTGTTTTCAAGTTATTGCTAATAAAGTGAAGTTGTGCTAGAACTAAAACATAATATCGTTGCATTTAATTTTTAGTAAACGGAGAAAATTACAAAACTTTTTTAATTAGCGTCGTTTACCGTTGCGCAGGAAAGTAATATATTTATTCCCATATCATAAATATAAATTTTATTAATAGTTCTTTAAAATGGGTCGTCGTTTCTTGAAATCGATTAAGGCATTTAGAAGTTATGACAATCTGAAAATTTCAAGATGGTGTCCTTCATACTGGGGTTGCTATGGGAAAAACAAAAAAACAACACAACTTGTGTTTAACAGTGAATCTAAAAAGTGTATTTTCAACTTAAGCGAAATTTCGAAAAAATTATAGCGGTGAAGTTACAAATTATTGGTAACAGAATACCAATAATTCCTACCGTCTTTTCTAATGTGAATAAACTTTCATATAAAGTTGTTTTTTAGAACTGGTTCAGGTACGGATGGCTTGAACATGCTAGAAGATTTAACTAAAGCCGATACTATACAAGATTTGTATTCAGCTGCCCAGTCCTGGGCCTTCACTGCTGGATTCCCATTGTTAAGTGTCAAAATAGATACATCCACTGACGAGAAAGAGACTCTGGCATTTTCACAAGTAATTCATATTCATATACAAAATTTTCAATTATGTTTAAAAAATCTAATGTTTGTTACAGAAGCGCTTTGTTTATCCCACGGACAACACCACAATTTTTAGCGACGACATAAAATGGAATATTCCAGTAAGTTACACCACTTCCAGTAACAAATATTTTGAAATGGGTATTAACGTATATTATGCTCCAAACATAGAATTATATGTCGACATACATAAAGACAATTGGGTTCTGTTCAATATCCAAGGCAGATTCCATTACAGAGTGAACTACGAGGAAGAATTATGGAGAAGAATTATCAACGCTTTTCAAGACGAGAGTGAGAGGACAGAGATTCATTCCCTAAGCAGAGCACAGGTGATTGACGACGTATTTAACATTGCTAGAATAGGAGAGGTAGATTATTCTTTAGCGTTTAAATTGGCAGATACTCTCGTCTACGAAACTGATTATTATCCCTGGTATTCTGCGTTTAATGCATTTTCATACCTTTTAGGGAAGATGAAGGATGACGATGTTGAAGAAAGATTGAAGGTAGGTCTGTATTGCAGGAATAAGTTAAAGAGACCTTAGTGTTTCCGATGTTACATTTAGGAATTTACCAAACAATTTTTAGATGTACATTTTAAGTCTAATGGAAAATGTTATCTACATTCCGGACCATGAGTTAGCTGTTCAAGAAAATGAAACACAAATAGATGTATTGAAAAATGTCATGATGATCGAATGGGCTTGCAAGTTGGGTCATTCGGAATGTATCAGTTTTGCCACTGAACAGTTTGCCAATTTCAAAGAGAATCAGACAAGGTAAGTGGATACAAATAAGTTAATTGTTGGTGATAAATTTATGGTCACGAACATTTTTGTGTTCTATTTCTCAACATATGCCTCTAACACGCCTTGTCTAATCGTCTACAAAGAAGTCCACTCAGGAAGAACATCGTTGACTCTTTTTGTAGAAAAAAGTCTTCAAGTTGATGATTAGGTAGACCAAATGCGTCAGGAAGTAGAACGATCATGTCAAAAAGCAAAATACGAATAGTTTCTATGAGTATTATTTTCTCTATTATTTTTGATATACACTAATGCAAACAATTAAAGGGCCAAAAGAATTTCCGAAATTTTTCCGTGATTTTTGACAGATTTTGGTGAAAAATGGTCGTATCGGGAATGAGGAAGTTGCATCAAATTTTCTTTTGAAGCAAAATTTATTTAAAGTGCAGAAAATGACTATAAAAGTATGTTTCTTATGTAAAACGCCTTTAAACTTAACTATTAATATGTAATTAATTATTAAAATATTGAACCTCCAAAAATGTTTCCATTTTAATCATGATTGTGAAATGTTTAAGCTCAAAAAACGTGACCCTTTAATTTTTTTCAAAAGTTTGACTGCTTGAAACAAAAAACCGGTTCGCTAGATCAAGATGAAAATTCACGGGGTTCTTCTGGGTATATGGAACTGTAAAAGTCAAGCTTAACATTAGTCATTTCGTGAATATTTCTAATTTAGCCGTCAATTTTCTAAAAAACCATAAATTACCCTTTTTTTGTTTTTTAAAATGCGTATAAAAGACGGAAAAAATTTTTGTTCCAAAAAGTTGCGGCATCATACGACCAAAAAGAAAACATGCAAAATTTTTTGTTGCGCTATATTTTAGAATTGCATGATAACCATAACTCCTAAAAAATTTCGACCGAAAGATCTAAAGACTAGAATCTTAGAGCTTCAAAATGCTTTTTTAATTCCCGATAGGTATGACCATTTTTCACCTAAATACAGTCTGTCAAAAATCACGGAAGAATTTCTGAAATTCTTTTGACCCTTTAATTGTTTGCATTAGTGTATAACTAAATACCTGTAAATTTCAATGAAACTTATTTTTAGTATGATGGACTACAATCTAAGACCAGTCATATTTTGTAACGGTATAAGGTATAGTGAAAACGTCAGTGAAGACTGGAAGTTCCTATGGTCAGTATTCGAGTCATCAACATCGGTGCATGAGCAGTATGATATTTTACAGGCACTTGGATGTGCTGAAGATAAAGAGACTCTTAAGGAGTAAGTGGCAATTTAGAACTTATCTATAGATTGATTAGAATAATATGATATAGGTATAAATTCTATGGAAAAGTCGAAACAGTAAAGTAAGAACACTATAATGTCCTTCATTACGACCTTTCTTGATATAGATTTAAAACTGTCAGTCCCATAATCCAATAATTTAGATCGAGTTGAGTTTCTGAACTATATTATTATTTATTAATACTATTTTTCAATCCCATTTAATTTGAACCTCAGTTCCAATTTTTGTTATTTTGTAGTTTGTGTTCAAAAGATTAAAAATATATAAATCCTAAAATTACAAAATAAAATTAAAGTCAAAAATATTTCGGTAAAAGGCAAATTTAGAACACGCTTTGCATTAAATCAATTTTATATGCAGATTAAAGAATTTGTTTATTCATGTATTCTTTTACGGGTAATATTTTAATTAGTATATTCCTTAGTTACATTATAAGGCTTGCTGTACCCATCATTTCTGCATATTTCAAGAGACAAGACACTATGGTTGTATTCGGGTCAGTCTTATCAAATTCCGCGGGAATCGAGGCAGCTATGTCGCTTTTAGAGAGCAGTATTGCATATATACAATTCATGTAAGAAATGAGATATTTAGAGAAGTAAACAATTTGTCAATGTGATTTCTATTTTTTAGTTTTAACGGCGAACTTGACGAAGTATATTATCTATCAGACATGATATTGGCTCTTGCTGAAAAATTAACTACTGATGAGCAGCTGCAACAAGTAAGTAACTTTACAAAAGAAACATCATTACATTTATCAGTTTTCATTTAAAGTCCAGTTGATTGAGTGTTTAAAGTTTATTGATTTAAAAAAATTCTTTTAATAATTCTAGCACAAATCTACGTATTATCTCACTTCTCTCACTGATTATCTCACTTTCATCCTCAGCTTTTTTATTTTATTCCATTACAGAATAAATATTTTTTAAAATTGATCTAGATTTTGAGATGTTGTTGAAAGTTGTTCATTTTAACATAGGTTTATATGGCGAAGATGAACGGTGCCGCTCTTTTTTTGACCATAACTGAGAAAAAAATGTAGAAATTGTGAAACAAAACTTTTCCATAGTATAGTACACAGTATTATCTTATTTTTGATGTAAAACTAATGTATGTTTTGAACACAGTACAGCTGTATTAATTAGAAACAGAAACCAATAATTGAATTTCTGTCTGACTTGAGGATTAATGTGGCAACGTCGCAATCAGCTGACAGCAAGGAGGGAATACATTTGAAAGACTTGATAAAAACGAAATTGATTTCAAACATATACATTTTTCCTAAATCCCATGTACATTGTTATCAACAATAAATTATCCACAACAGATGATTTTTTGTAATGTTTTTAAAAAACTAGATTAATTAAAAAAGACTAGGAAGCTGTGATATATTTATTGGAATAAAAAATACAGTTGATAAATCCTTTTAATATATTTAATGGTTTATAAAAACATCGTAATCATTACCCAGCAATATTTAGGGTTACATAAAGTTTTCTTTACTTGATTAATATAATTAGTAATACTTGAGATAAAAGCATTTGTACGGAATAACAAAGGAACATAAATATTTCTCAGCAAACTTTATATCTAAAAAATTAGTTATAGTTGCAAAACTTTTGTAACATTACTAAAATAGAGATTAAAAACACGAACAGTGAGTAATAATGTAATTTCTATCACAGAACCTTCAAAATTGCATCCAACATTTTCTTTGACTTGGACGAGAGATGGGCGCAAGTGTCATTTCATTTCTTTAGAACAAAATTAACTTAATTATTTTCTCGTTGTTTTACCAGTTCACATGATTTACGGATAAAGGATACAAATCTTCGAGAGGATAATACGATATATTTGCTATATATAATAAATATATTTTACATAGTTTACACACAATACATTTTTGAACGCGTACGCATCTTTACCCGAATTTGACACGCAATATCTCCGATGTCCAAGGTCTGTAGGTTCGCAGTGTGTACAACTGCACTAGATTATTAGCGCTGTTGCCACATCTACATAGTGTTTATGCGTTCATTAAATATAATTTAAAACTACTTAAATATGATATTTTTATGTTGTTAATTTTCAATATGTATGTTATGTGCATATTGAGTAGATTTCTTTGCTATATAGATAATGTTTATCGCAAATAATTTCAATAGAATTAAATTTTTTCAAGTTGGTAGCGGGTTTTAGTTCCATAAGAAAAGCATAAGACCCCCCCTGCGGTCCTCACTTCCCTCGGACCCCGATATACCTCCTTAAGCTCAACATGTTAGTTTATATTTCGAACGACTTTTACAAAATTGAGATTTGTTTTCAGTTTCAGGATACTCTTTCTAGTCACGACGTTCTTAGTGGCTACGAAGACCTTAGAGTAAAAGCTGAAACATTAGCCAAAGTTAATATTTATTGGGCGAAACAGTATCAAGATGTTATTGAAGGAATACTTCCCGAGATTGTAGTTAGTACCACTAGAGAAAGTACAGATACCTCAGAATATACTACAGCGGAAACTACTGTTACAACAGACTATTCCGCAATAACAGATCAGCCTACTTCAATAGAACCCAGTACTACAACCGAATCGTCTAGCGAAATAATATTTGTTTCACGTATCATTGTCGTTGTTGTTGGTATTTTTACCTTAATTATATAATAATGCAACTCTAATTAAAAAAATGCAATTAATAGTATCTTTTAAGCTTTTTTTAATACAAGACCCAACCAAGTATTTATTATTTTCCTTCATTGTTTACGATCTAGGAGCTTTTCTGTTCCACGTCTGAAGACACGGTAGTTTGGAAGTGAAGTATACATCAAGCTAACTTTAAAGCCTGACGTCATCATTAAAAGAGATTCATAGAATGAAAGAACAAGCTTGTTCGACAGAGAGTAAGAGAAGCATGATCAGAAATATATGAAGTAACCTTCACATCACTTTTCAATGGCCACTTTTCTGATGATAGAAGTTCGAGTATGATGTCTTCCAGGTCTTTTTTCTTTAGACTAGTCCCTCAAGACGATGAAGTTGCTGACAATAAACCTCATCAGTGATGATCACATTCCTCGGAAGCAATTCTTAATAGACGACACCTTCTTTGTTCCACTAGATGTACAACAGAGAGTTGCCTTTTTGTTGAGGCTAAGCCATCGTTTTCTGTTCGTGGCCTTGACGTTAAAATAATATTTTTAGTCACCAGTGATAGTCTATGACAAAAAAAATCACTGTTGCTGACGAGCTGAATGATAATAACCCTGAATCATGTGGCTAACATACACCTAATTTTTTAACTTTGTTCAGATGGAAGCTGAAACGTCATAAGTCACACATGTGAAAAGTTTCTTTATAGCATTCACATGTTTTTTTTGCTTGTGTGTTTAACAAAGTTGTTCGTGTGATAAAGATTGAATTATTGTTACACGTATATCTTGAATAACTATAAAAAAACTAAATTGAACTGATAACATTACACTTGACAAATCTTATCTTCAATGCGACAGTGGCAATTTTGTAATGATTGCAAGTGTTCTAGATTAAATTGAACATGAAATTATATTTAAGTAGAACAAATAGCATGTCTTACTCGTCACTTTTTTCGTTCATGATTTTCCCCACTTTTCGTTGACGCAGTACGTTCAGTACAAACCCTACATCACTAGGCTCAATATCAGGAAGCATCACTGAAGATGATATAAACAAACCAATCGCAAAATTAAAAATTAATATGACCATTGGTTCCCAGTTTCGTTGTTAACCATTGCTTTAGAATTTGCCCAGTGACTCAAATGAAATAACAATAGGTCTATTGCTATTTTACCTAATTTTGCTAAGGTCTTTGAATTCCTTATACAATCATCTACATTGTCATAAAATATCTATTGTCATCCTGTAAATACGGATTCATGAAAGAGCGTTCCATACTAACGTACTTTAGCTAAGTCACACTAATACGTATCACAAGCCATGGATTTTAAGGGACAGATGTATATGGATTTTTCTCTTCAAAACTTATTTAACAGATCTACTTTATTATGTCGTTTATAATGGGTTTAGGTCTGAGCTATTTGCTGCTGGATCAGGTGTTCCTCAGGGATATAATCTAGGGCCCCTATTATTTTTTATATTTATTAATTACAGAAATTAAATGTAGTAGGATAAAATTTATTGTAACATTGATAATATTAACAACTGTGTGTGTTTTATAAACTCAAATGTGTTTAAGAGTAGTGTGGAACATTTAAGCTCAAATTAAACATAGCTAAATGTTAAGTCGTTAGTTATTTAAGAAACTATTTGGTATCCTTATGTGAGAAGTATATGCTCGGTTTTGTTTATATTTTATTTACTTCTTCTAGTGACAAGCTAGAGCTTAAACACAGTACCACCAAATTAACTCCAAATTAATGAGACCTCTTCAATCGATCGATTATTTTGTATCTATAATTGGTTGTTATTTACTACAAACAATTAGTCGGCACACGTTACAAGTGTCTTAAGTGACTTTCAAGATTCGAATTAATTGTAGGTACTATTCAATATTAGTTGCGATTAAATCACTTTTCAGTTACAACCGATAATTATTGTAGAAGTGTACCATCTGCTTCCTGTCTTTTTACCTGTAAGTACTATAAAAAATGAAAAAGGGCACCAAATGTTACACGTAGTATGTCGTACAATCGCAAACATCTCTATTGCGCTACAAATAAGCAATAATCAAAATGTATTAGTCAATAATAATATATAAATGACTTTTATAATATTATAAATCAATATCATACTATTAATCTAGGAATCAATTCTATTTTTCATTTGTAATTCATTTATTCGTTTCTAGTGCATATAACAAATTCTTATGGCAAGTTTCTTGACATTCCTTAAATACCTGTTATGTTCTTTTTATCATATATCAGATAATTAATTGCATTCAGTAATTTGTTTTAATTAAACATTTATCAAAACACAATAGAATGTTGTTTGTGATTCAGGTCCACCTTTGTCAGCTTAAGTTACTTAAGACCAGTTGGCTATGGGAAAAGAAAAGATGATAGTTCTCATTTTGATTCTTCTTCAAATCACCAAATTAACAGTATCACAAGACAGCGGAGATAATACCACCATCTTTAGATTACCAAAAGACTTGGTTCCAGAAAATTACGACCTGTTCCTGGATATCGAACCAGAAAATGATGATTTTAGCGGAACAGTGAACATTACCTTTCACCTGGTTGTGGGTAATGAATCCTCTGTTGTTGAAGACATTTATTTACATGCTGATCCAAAATTCCTCACAATAACATATGTAAAGCTAAATGATGACACTGACTGTACGTATGAGAGTCTAGACAATTATATTGTGAAATGTTCTTGTGGTAATGTAACGGAAGAAAGCAATTTTCTCTACATAGAATACGACGGTAAATATTCTCAAACTGATGGACGTGGTCTGGTTAAAACAAGTTATACGGATAATAACAAGAAGCAATATTTGATCGAATCATATTTTGAACCAACTTTCGCTAGGAGAGCTTTCCCTTGCTTTGACGAACCGGATTTTACAGCTACTTTTTCTATCAAAATAAAAAGTCCCACTAGTTATACACCTATCAGCAACAGTATTCCTCAGGACTCCAATAATTAGTAAGTGCTTTTGTTATGTCTATTTATGGAAATCACTTCTTCCAAAGTTATCAAAATTTTAGCAGTATGACTACAAACAAGTTATTTTTACTTTTAGCTTAGAAAGCACAACTATCGCCTTTCAACCAACGCCAAAAATTTCGACATATTTAGTCTCAATTTTTGTTTCTAACTTTAAAGAAACGCCAGTTTATTTTGCAAGCGAAGAATATACCTTTAAATTTTTGACACGGCCTGGTTTTGAAGATTTAACTTCTAAAGTTGCTGGAACTCACTATGGTCAGATCATGGATGCATTGAGTAACTTCACTGGACAATCTTTCCAGGATATAGGCGACACTGAATGCTATCAAGTTGCTGTACCCGATTATTTTTCCGAAGATATGGGGAATTTTGGACTTTTTGTCTACAAGTAATTTTCAACTATTTTCAATTTCTTTTATATTAAATACATTTTTGTTACAGAGAAAGAGATCTGTTAGATGAAGGCGATAAAACTACTGTCAAGGTTACTCAAAACATACTGCAAGCTATGACATATAAGATAAGTCACGAATGGTTTAGAGGAGAAGTTTCGACCACGTGGTGGTCAGATTTTTGGGCAAACGAAGCTGTTCCGATGTATTTTAAATATATTATTCCGAATAAGGTAAACAATATGACTTATAGCTCCAACAAAGTATTTCCAATGTACTTAAAAGTTTCTATAATGGTGTATAAAGGTTTGTATTATTCTAATACTACTATAGTCTGCAACAAAATGTAATGTGTGATATTTCCAATTTAGATTGATGAGGGATTCGAATTTACAAACCAATTTGTAGTGGACGTAGTTCAAAAAGCAATGCAGTACGATGCCATGCCTTTCGTAGAACCACTTTCTTCTGATGAGTCAGATATTACCAACGAATGGGGAATTGAAAATAAATTGGATAAACACAGTTTACTGAAGGGTATTGATTTACACATAATTTTCTTGCTTGTTATTTCAGTAATGAATCATAATGTTGGTGTAAGTAAGGTAAACATGATTAGAAGCAGTTGGTGATTTAAATTTAGAAGCAATACAAGATTTAGTATATAAGACTTACAACATTGCCAGAGATATAAGAGTTTAATTAATTCTAATTCAACTGTGCAGACAAAAAAGTTATTTTGTATGTTTTATAAACATGATATATATGCGGAAAGTTTTTTAGCTTTCAATATACCTACATTTTTTCCAAAAATTTACCTTGCAGCCAATAAATTATTTTCTTTATGTTACCACTTGATTTCATTATTCTTTTCTTCGGTTAAGGTTGACACTTTTGTCATTTTCACAATACGTTTTGGTGATTCATTTATCAAAATAACTTTTCCTTCCCTATTTATTCTGAATGTTTAAACCAATGTGTAATATTCATGTTACAACGTTGTAGGAGCAACACTGCTGCATATGATAAATTATTTTGTAAGTGGAGAAGACCAGTTTCGAGAAAATCTTCAAAATCATCTACAAAATAGGTATGTTATCTACCTATTTTATTATTATCATAGCCTTTGCTGTTAAAGCTAACTATACAGGGTGATCCATTAACGATAGGGAGCGGCTGTATATAGGAAACTAGACGTGCTACAATTATGGGTAAAAAATCTATTAACAAATTGTAACTTCACCGCTAGAGGACGCTACTGCTATAGTGTTACAGAAATTGTCGTTTTTTTCAAATTTCGCTTATATAACCTAAGTTGAAAATACACTTTTTAGATACACTGTTAAACCGTTTATAAGTTTTATTTGAATTCTTTTATTTCCATAGCAACGACAGTATAAAGGACGCCATCTTGAAAGTTTTAAATTGTCGTAACTTTTAAATGATTTCAAGAAACAAGCCCATCGGAAAATTTCAAAGGGTCATTTGAACCAGCATGAATTACTTATAAATCAATACTACCACATATAACAATAACTTTAGAAACTATACCGTCAATTCTTGTTGGTACAGGTGAGTACACAGGCAAAACATTTTTGTACGGCATTTCTAAAGTATACAAAAAAAATTAACCTCGAGCTAATGCCGTACAAAAATAGCAGTACCGGAAGACAGGAATATTTCTGATTTTCTGAAAATTTTGGCCTTGTTTTTGGTGATTTACTACAGTACGGCACTTATACTGAAGTTTTGGATTGATACATAGAGAACTTTTTTAATGACGCCGTAAGTATCTGCTGATACAGGGGTTAGAAATGCAGGGCGCAACCCATAAGTCGTTCCTGGGCGCAACTGCGGCCTGCCTAATAGTAATACGCCGCCTCCTCTCCCGCACAAGTCTCNCTGGAACTCACTATGGTCAGATCATGGATGCATTGAGTAACTTCACTGGACAATCTTTCCAGGATATAGGCAGTACTGAATGTTATCAAGTTGCTGTTCCTGATTATTATTCTGAACATATGGGGAATTTTGGACTTTTTGTCTATAAGTAATTATATTTTTCAACTATTTTCAGTTTCTTCTTTATAAGATACATTCCTAGATGTTTTTTGTCGATAACTATTATCATTATTCTTTTATTTTTCTTACAGAGAAAGAGATCTGTTAGATGAAGGTGAGGAAACTAGTGTCAAAGTTACACAAAATATACTACAGTCTATGACATATAAAATAAGTCACGAGTGGTTTGGTGGAGAAATTTCAACATTGTGGTGGTCTGACAGTTGGGCTAATGAAGCTGTCCCGATGTTTTTTAAATATGTCATACCGAATGAGGTAAACTAACTTCAACTAAATCAACAATATAAAATGTGTTCTGTACTTGTAACCAAGTATTTCAATTTGCTGATGAGTTCTATCAATTAAAAACATTTCAATGGTAAAAAACCATTTACGTTTGCAGATCGACGAAGGGTTCGAATTTACAAATCGGTTTGTGGTGGAAGTAGTTCAGAAATCAATGCAATACGATGCTATGCCTTTTGTAGAGCCACTTTCTTCTGATGAGTTAGAAGTTACTGACCAATGGGGAATAGAGAATAAATTTGATGAACACAGTTTGTTAAAGGGTAAGTAGTATTATTTTCTTCTTCATTACGTAAACAATAAATAATAATAAAGGTGTATTTGAAGATAAACAGAAATTTAAAGCAACTGGTTAATTTTTACAAGGCATAGTTCGACTTCTAAAACATTTGCTTTGACTTTTTGAGACAACTGATACCAATTGAACATTGCAAATAAAGAAAAATTCTCATATTTTATAAAGACCAGATGAAGGTGTCTCAGATTTAACACCCAACCGACTTAAGGTGACCACTTCGCGTAATTTTCATAAAGCGTTTTTATTTTCTAATGATGGTAATTTTTTCTGATTTACTTTGTATTTCTAAAAAAATCGTTCATTTACACTATAACATTATAGGAGCGACATTGCTGCATATGGTAAACATGTTTATAGGAGGAGAAGACCAACTTAAAGCAAATATACAAGAACATCTGCAAAACAGGTATTGAACATAACAAAGTATTAGCAAAGCTTATATAACAATTTCTACCGTGTTACTTTAATATAAATAAACTTTTTTTATAAGCTCGGATGCAGATGGCCAGAACATATTAGAAGATGTAGCTAAAGATAATGGAATGGAAAACTTGTATTCACTTTGGGCTTTCACTGCTGGATTTCCATTGTTAAGTGTTAAAATAGATAAAACCACTGACGACAAAGAGACCCTGGTACTTTCGCAGGTAATTTATAATTTAAATACACCTTATGTTACTGATGTTCTGATAGTTTTAAAAATATTTATATTTCCACATTCAGAATCGTTATTCTATGAGCGATTTTTTAAATTATTTCTGGCTGTGGATTTAAAATGTACTGTTGATGAAAATAGAAATAAATAAAACAGAAAGACACGATCCAACAAAATTAAAACATGCAATTATAAATGTAGTTTTTGAAAAGTAATAAAAAGCATATTTTTTAATTAAAATTAATTTACATTAACATTTTACGACAAGTTCTGTTGTTAGTTAGCTCTAAGTTGCTTGAAATTTATTAACATCAACGTTAGAAAACGTCAGCTAATTTTGTTTGAACTGCAATTCAAAAATCGCCAATTTGTAGTATTACGTTTACGTTACTAATATTATTTATTAGATTATTCATGAAATCTGCACCACAGACAATCTAGATTCCCTCCAGACCGCTACTGGTATAGAACAGCCGTTTTAAATTTCCAAATTGCCGATAGAGCACACCACCAGCAGAATTTTAGGAAGAATCAAAAGCAGCGGACAGCGACATATAAACAATAGTTTGGCAATGTTGTCACGCGTACTTACGGATTTATTTTGTACACTTTTTTATCAATGTTTTTTGCCTTACTGTATTTACTTAAATGTATTGATAAAAATGTTTTAAAGAATCAACGAAAATTTATGTAGTTTCAGATGATATTCTACAACGGTATCACAGTTAGGTTATTTAATCATAATTTCGTTAATATGTACTACTATTTTAAGAACATATATTCCCAAGTAACAAAATTCGTAATGATATTTTAAACAGCTTATAATAATATAATTTTTTTAATATTTGATTTGAAGGTGAGTTATTAGTATAATTTGTATTTAATGAATACTCTTTAGATTATAATTATTAAATTGTATACTACTCCGAATATAAAAGTCGTAAGGACTTGCATTTATATTTGTATTCACCTTTTGTATCCATTGGTACTATAGTCTGTTTAGAAATGAAAGAGAGTAATAAAACCTTATTATGTATGCAAATCGTAAATAAATGTAGTACTGGTGCTTATATTCAATATTTTTATATTATGTATTTTCGGTATAGATGAGGTGTACTTTTAACAAAACTTTGTGCGATCGGACTGTACTAAATTGTAGCAGGTAGCTAAAATTTAATCCCCGACAATCCGTCTTTGTCTATGCCGCTTCAATTTCTCGGTCCATTTCTCTTATAAGTAAACAATATAAAAACAGCATTTCAAAACATGAGGCTACTTTAAGCATCATAACCGGGTTAAGAGGGTTTTTAGTAATTCAAATAAAATTATTCAATATTATTATCAAAATATTTATTTAAATTTAATGAATAGACTTTTATTCCACACAAAAATATATGTATTTTGAAAATTCAAATTATGGTGAGTAAATGTAGTGTTGTATAAATGTACAATAAAGAAAATAAAAAAGTAGGTATATTAAAATTCATCCTCTGAATATTCTGATGAATTATCTTCGTCTCCTAGATTGATAACGATAGGTTCCACAGTAACGTCAATTAAATTATCGAGTTCCCACATTTTCTCCTCTTCTTTTTGTACATGATGTATACATCTTTGCCAGTTATCTGCAGTTACTCGTTCCAAGGAATTTTTTAACAAAATTTTCACGTCACTTAATTTAAACGTCGTATTATTTCGCGCTACATCTCCTTTTACCTGCGCCCAGACTAATTCGATTGGGTTAAGTTCACAGTGATAAGGTGGTAACCGTAGTACCGTTATTTGGCGATTTGTTGCCATTTCATCGATAACATATTTTTTCTGATCTTTATTAAGATTGACAAGTGTCAAAAGTTCCTTTTTCACCATATTTGTTTCAAAAGAAATGTTTTTTCCGGATAACCATTGAATTATATCGGCTTTCCTCCAAGCAGTCGTAGGCGTCCGCTCGGTCTGCCGTGAATGGTAACTGGCATTATCCATGACAATTACAGACCCCGGAGGAATAAGATCCAACATCTGTGTAAAATACTCTTCGAAAACATCTGCGTTCATGTCTTCGTGATAGTCACCTGTATTTTTAGATTCAAATAAAAGTAAACCGCCATCTACAAAACCACTGGCACTACCTATATGTGTCACTATTAATCTTCGCCCTTTACCTGAAGGTGCCTTGAACCCTGTTGAAAGTCCATCCAAAAATGCTTGTCGAAAACTTTTTACATTTTTATCTTGCCATACTTTTGTTACAGTATATCCCTCGTTGACCCAAGTTTCGTCTAGATAATAAATATTCCTCCCTTCGTCACGGAATTTTCTAATTGATCTTAAGTAGGATCTTCGCCAACAAATAATTTCATCTTTATCGATAAGAACTGACTTCCTGTTCTGCTTTTCCCAGCAAAAATTCAACTCTCGTAAGACGGCCCATAATTTGCTTCTACTGATTTTTGGCAAATCGTTGTCCTCTGAAAGTTCACTTAAAATTTTGTTTAGCGTTGGTATTTCTTTTTTAAAATAAAATGAGTGTACTTTTCTGCGAATGACATTTTTGAAGAAATCATCTATAACGACTTTTGACCTCCCTGTAGATGATTTTGGGGGATTTACAGTATCTTGTTAATTTTTTGTTTCCTTTAAAAGTCTGTAGATAGTCGATTTTCCAATCCCTGTCATTTTTGTTAGCATTAGTGTTACCCGATAATTACCTGAAACGAAATATTACCACGTCTATGGCCGGTTCTTATCTCGGGGTTTTATTACTCTCTTTCATTTCCAAACAGACTATAGTTATTTGAACACAAATCCATTAATTTTGTTGCAGAAGCGCTTCGTCTATCCGACGGATAATACAACAACTTATAGCGATGATATACAATGGACAATTCCAATAAGTTACACCACTTCTGCTATCAAAAGTTTCGAACCAGATATTTGTACGTATTACGGTCCAGATAAAGGATTATATATCCTCATTCATAAAGGCATTTGGGTACTGTTCAATATCCAAGGGAAATTCCACTACAGAGTGAACTACGATGAAGAGTTATGGAGGAGAATTATCAAGGCTTTCCAAAATGAGACTGAACGAGCGGATATCCATTTTTTGAGCAGAGCACAGGTTATCGACGATATATTTAACATTGCTAGAACAGGGGAAGTAGATTATTCTTTAGTGTTTGAATTGTCAGATTCTCTTGTCTACGAAACTGATTATTATCCCTGGTATTCTGCGTTTAATGCATTTTCATACCTTTTAGGGAAAATGAAGGATGATGATGTTGAAGAAAAATTAAAGGTAGGTCTGTATTGCAGTAATAAAGTTAAAGAGACTGTAGGGTTCAGGAATTTACAAAATTATCTTTAGGTGTACATTCTAAGTCTAATGGAAAATGTTATAAATATTCCGGTCTCTGGCTTAATTGTTCAAGAGAATGAATCGCAAATAGATGTATTGAAAAAAATCATGATGATTGAATGGGCTTGCAAATTGGGTCATTCGAAATGTATCAGTTTCGCCATTGGACAATTTACCAATTTCAAAAAGGATCAGACAAGGTATGTGGGTACAAATAAGTTCATTATGGTTAGTTGAGAATAAGCTTTTGGTCATTAAATAACACACTTAGTCTACTGGTCCACAACTTGAAGTTTGCAATACGATCGAAATACATGGAAGTCCACTCAAGAAAACTGTTATTGATTCAATATGAAAGTTGAGGTAAGAATTGTAATATTCATCACACTCTTAGAACTTGGCACCATCAACTTTTCTTTTGTTTGGATGTTTCAAGGAACATATTTATAAAGTCTGAAGCTTACATACTGTGTTACGGTGATTCAGGTACAAAGTTGGTTATGACCTGTACTAAACTAAATAATTTTTTTACAAAGTATACTTTCAAGCTTATAGATAGATAGACCAAGTGTGTTAGGGAGCAGAACGACCATGTCAAAAAGTATAACACAAATAGTTTCCACGAGCACTATTTTCTCTCTTATTTTTGATATATAACTAAACCCAGATGGGTACATTTCAATGAAATTTATTTTTAGTATAAATGACTACAATCTAAGACCAATGATATTTTGTAACGGTATAAGGTACAGTAAAAATGTTACTGAAGACTGGAACTTCTTGTGGTCAGTGTTTCAGTCATCATCATCGGTACATGAGCAGTATGATATTTTACAGGCACTTGGATGTGCTGAAGACAAAGGAATTCTTGAGAAGTAAGTAGCAATTCCTAACTTATCTGTATTTTAGAATAATATAAAATTCTAATAAATAACCAATACTAAATGTTTAAGTATCAAAGCAGGAGCACTATTTAACTTTAATTAGAATAAAGAACATGTTCCTTAAAAGGAGAAGAAGAGGAAAGGTATGAAACTTTATGAGAAGTGAGTGAATCTCAAGATCACAATATCTCAATTCCAATTATTTTATTTAGTCGAGTATTTTCAGTTGCAAGTGTATGTAACTCATTTTAGCATCAATTCAAAGCATTGTTTGTTGGGTGTATCTAAACTGACATCAACAAAAGTCCCAAGTAGGCAAAAGAGACTTCTCCAGAAATGCGCATTGACTCGATTTTTAAGCACAAATAAAAGAATTTGCTTATTTATGTATTCTTTTGCTGTAACAGTTTAACACGTATATTCTTTAGTTACCTTCTGAACCTTGCGGTACCCCTGACTTCTTCATCTATCAAAAGGCAAGACACTATGGTTGTATTCGAATCAGTTTTATCAAATTCTGCAGGAATCGAAGCAGCTATGTCGGTTTTAGAAAGCAAAATTGCAGATATACAAACCATGTAAGCTATGATACGTGGAAAGAAATAAATAATTTAATAATGTATTTATTACTTTTTAGTTTCAACGGCGATCTGAACGAAGTATATTATCTGTCTGACATGATATTGGCGCTTGCTGAAAAATTAACTACTGACGAGCAGTTGCAACAAGTTAGTAACATTACAAGAAAAAAATCATTCAAGTTTTTCAGTTTTAATTTAAGGTCAAATTGAGTGAGTGTTTAAAGATCATACATTAAAACTTTTAATAATTTTTTGGTGTTCGGGTGATTATATGACGTTTCCTTGTTCATTATTCTGCGTCATGCATCCTCAGAGACATTATGAGGGTGTAATGGTTTTTTCAAAATGATTTGTGATTTGGCATATCAGATACCTCGAACGAATTTTGTAAAACTGAGATTTGTTTTCAGTTCCAGGATATTATTTCCAACAACGACGTTGTGAGTAGTTACGAAGAGCTTACGGTAAAAGCTAAAACATTGGCCACAGTTAATAACTATTGGGCGAAACAGTATCAAGATGTTATCGAAGGAATTCTCCCTGAGATTGTAACTAGCGCCACTACAGAAGGTAGTACAGGTACAACAGAATATACTAATGCGGAAACTACTGTTACACCAGTCTATTCCACAATAACAGATGAACCTACTTCAATAGAACCCAGTAGTACCACTGAATCGTCTAGTGAAACAATACATATTTGCTTCACAACTCGTTGTCTTTATTTGTATTTTATCATTAATTATATAATAATATTTCTACTAATTAATCCAAATTTATGTGATTTAAAAATATACAATTAACAATTTCTTTATTTCTTTTTAATAAACAAAATATGATCCAATCAAGGATGCATTTATTATTTTCCTCTAACTCTTAACGATCCAAAAGCTGGTAGTTTGGAAGTGACGAATACATCAACCTAATTTTGAAGTCGGACGTCATCATTAAAAGAGATTCCTTGAGCGGAAGAACAAACTTGTTCGATAGAGACCAAAAGATGCCAATTAGATGGATATAGTCAGGATAATAGGGTGGATGTGGAATAGTCTCCAAACCGGACCTTTCAATAGCCATTTTTGTGATTTTATTGCGGCCTCAAGACGACGAAGTTGCTGACAATAAACCTCATCAGGGATTACTTAGATCACCACGAGCGCAGCATCAGTTTACGCAGATGGATATTAGCTTTTGTTCTGAGGTTGTCTTTCTGTTGGACTTAAGCCTTTCGTTTGTGTTCTTGGCACCAGAAACAATCTATGACATAAAAGGTCGACGAGCTAAATGATGATTCACTTGAAACAAGTGGTACCCATACACCTAGTTTTTGAATTGTACCCATTTAATGCAAGCGTGGTGCTATGATTAACTTGTCACACTACAACATTCCAGTTCCTGGATTGGTTGACGTAGATCGTTATGATTTAAAGCTTTCAAATCTTCGTCAATCAGATGACCTTCCTGAATATCCTTTATGTCAAAATGGTTTAATTTCAAACAAAAAAACAAATCCGTGCTGTACGTTTCCTCTTCGTGATCGGTACAAATTGTTTAGCGTCATCCTCTATTGAATTCAAACAAAAGAATATGTCGGAAATGAAAGTTTTTTTCTACCTGACATTCCATTTTCTTCTGCAAATAATTAGGTTGGCTTGAATTGAAACAAAAGCTACAGTATTGTTCTTTAGCACACTTAAAGTTACGGAAAACTATTACTCATCAGCAATATGAAATAGCGATCGTGATATTACGCATGGAATTGACAGGTAATTACAATTCAATGTATTTACTATTTTGAAGTGGTCAAAAGTATAGAATACTCCATTCCGTAGGAAGATAAAAATTAGATTAAATCATAGAAATAAGTGACTACTTATAAATATCATACACGTTTCACGTTATTTTTTCGCAATAAAAAAAACAAGGTGAAATTAATGGGTATAATTGCCTCGTTGCTACTTGTAATATCATTCTTACTTATCTTTTTTTTAATTAGCAAATTCCAACAGATATTTTTAGAGGTATAATTGTAGTCGTAGTTGAAAATAAAAGTTGTTATCAACACCCTTGTCTGTTTTAACTGAAGTATTCAAATACGTACATTTATCTATTTTCAATTTATTTTATTTATAAGACTGTCCTTTATCTAGAACAGGAATAGTCCAGGGAACTGAGGGATTCCTCTCTAAGTTCTTTCGGATAGAATCGATTGAAGTACTTTGATTTTATAAAAATCCTTTCTTTCTCCAAAAAATTCTTCAACTTTTATTGTTTCCAAGCTGTTTCTATTAAAAATACTGTTAATAATGACGGTTATTATGAGAGAGTGACATTAGTCGGTTTTTAACTATGTCTTACCAACGCCAACGTGAGTTATTTAAGGACGAAAAGTTTGAAAATAAGGCCACATAAGAGCAGATAACCAATTTAGAAGTGAATACAAACGGTGATAATGAAAAATAAAGTACTACTATGTTTATATGTTCCCTAAATACATTCCATATATGAACAATACTTTTTTTGGATATTTTTAATAAATTAAGGATACAGTGTTCCTATCTACCAATTTTATCTAACTTTCCACATACTGTACAAATATTTTTCGTGGGTTAGCATTAACATATCTAATAATGAACGAGGTTAGATTAGTTATATTAATTAAAGTATTAAGTTGTTTCACATTGTCAATATGTATTAACTTTATCGAGTAATTATTTGTTCGTTACATAAGTGGCAAATTAAAAATAAATTTTGCATTTTGATTGCTCTGGTCTATTCAGAAATAAGCAATCGATTTTTTGCTGTTAGTCTGAAGTAATCTTTCTGAAAATTAGACCCAACTAGATTCTCGTACCAATCAGTCTGGATAAAAGGTTTGCTAAAGTAAAAATTAAAAAAAACATTTGAAACATTAAATGAAATTTTAAACTGTTATTGGTAAACATATCAAAATTGAAATAAATTTGCATGACCCTTTGGCAATTAAGGTTATGTGGTAATATTGGGCCAAGTTAACAGTGTACTTCAACCAAGGGCATTATTATCCTATAACACCCTTAATACCTTCGACGTTTTGTGTTATACTACTATCTTATTTAATTTGATTTTATTTTTAATATACTGCTGTTAGATACTTTTGACATTTAATTTGTATTGACGTCAATAAATCTTCCTTATAGTTCCTAGTATTGAAAGATTTATGTCCAGGGTTTATTAAATTTGTCCTAGGACATCACCTTTATAAATTTAATACATGTGTCTTGTGATTCTATTTTATAAATGATGTCCCTTAATATCAATCAAGTATTACATTATTGTTTGTTAATTGTTTTCATTTAATTATTTTCTAAAGGAGTAAATCATGACTGATATAATTTTGAGATACCTTGTCTTTAAGTACGCTAAAATTAAGTGTAAATGGATGAATCATTAAATTACGTTCAATATTGAAATATCTATACTAAGAATCTTTATTAAGATTTAATATCGTTTGTAAATATTTCTTAAGCAACCCTTGATTTTTATATTCTGTAAGTATAATAACATTAATTTTTTATACATATATACTGAACCTGATCCCTATTGTTATAAGTTTCGTGTTCCCATATTTATTTTAAAAGAAGAAAATTAAGAAATACAATGCCAATTTTACGGTAAATATTGTCCTTTAAGTAGTGAAGAGAGTTTTCTATTTTTCTTATCTTCAAGGAACAGTATCTATATTTTCTTATGATACATGAACAGATGCCATTGTCACAAATAATTGCGCAACAAATCCGTATTTAATAAAAATGATTAAATAGGCGTGATTCTCTCACTGATTCACTGGTCTGATTAGATTTGCTAACATTTCTCTTATTAAATCTGTAAATGATATTACTGTTCATGTTAGTTTTAGTCGTGATTTTTATGGGTAAGGAAATATCTGAAATATATTTATTCCACAACTTAACACGTATATAGAAATAAGCAGAAGGAGAATTAATAGTTTTTTAAATATTACTAATTCATATTCGATATTATATTTATGTAATTTAATATTATTTTAAATTTGGTCCATTAAATATTTTGTATAGTTGAAGAATGTGTTGAAGGAGGAGGCAATAATATATTAGATATAGCTGCTTTTATATACTTATTCAAGACTGGATGTAAGAGAATTGATATTATTATTTGTTTTATTCGTTATAAATAAGGAAGAATTCAATTTGTGTTGTCTTTTTGCTTGAGAAATATGGCGACTTGAATATTTACAGTTCTTGCTGTACCTGCTTGTATCTTGAAAAAACTATTCGCACCGGTTGTTTTTTCATCCTAGGTACATAAATACAGATATTGGGACGTGGAATTTCGGCAATTTATTCAATAATCGATATATTATCTCTCTAAAATGCACAGTTCTACATCTTAATAAATAAATTTTCTTATCCTTTGGCTGTTTATTAAAATTCTTTGTTACTAAAATATGCAGATATAGGAACATGTATGAATATGTAAAGCGCCATTTTGTTAAATATTGTCCTCTTTCCACAATGTTATAGAACTGTAGGTAGTACATTATATCTCAGTATATATGAAAGCTTCGAAACTTTTGAGCTTTGGAAATCATATCAATTGAAATAGAACAATGTTTTGGATCAAACAACGTACTTTTTTTTAACTAGTGCCAAAACAACCCACTTTATCACACAGACGCCATGAAGAGAATACTAATCTGCACGATAATCAATAATCAATTGTTTCTGCAAACAGCACTCTACAGATAAACATTTTATGAAAATTGTTTTTTCCCAATTAATCAACCAAAATCATTTGAAGTGATGTGGCAAAAGTTTTAGTTTCCAGTCAAAATAGTTATACATTTTCAAACTACTCACCAGCAGATCAAAAAGGTATATTTATATTTCTTAAGTTTTTGCCCTTGCATTTGTTAGTTGAGTGTGCGAAAATTTAACAATACATTACCGTTTATTTTTTTGAAAAATGAGGGACTGCTCATTAAAAATAAGACAAATCTATTAATGTCTAATATCTTCTGTGATGCTTCATATAATATTTTATATACAATGTTTTCTAGATTTCCGAACTCATTTTTACACCTCCATAAACTGAAACGATTTGGTGTCACCCATATTTGATTGACCAACATGTGTCCCTTTGTCAGGTGTGCCTCAAGGTTCCTATCTTGGACCACTCTTTATTATGTTTAATTGAGGAAATAAAATGCAACAAATTAATTTAAACTGATAGTGTTAAGATTATTACACATATAATGTCATTTAAAGGCTGTCTCTTATATTAGTCGAATAGTATAATAAAATATTAAACCTTAATATTAACAAACGTAGCCTTAGCTTTCACAAGAAGTGTTTCTATTTTATTCAATTGCATTCTGGAGAAGTTTTGAGAGAAGAGAACATTTGACTATAACTTTGCGTTTGTCACCCATTTATTTGCTCACATATGTGGAGTTTATCCTAAACCTACAGGCAGGTCACCATTACCCTCCTGGACGATGTTTCATTGCGGTGGTATCCAGATTTATTGAAATTTTGATGCATATTTGAAGGAAACTAATAAATTTTTGTGTAACTTTCTACACAACTGTACTGATATTTACTTCAAAATATGAACTAATTAGTATCTCGTATAGAATCTAGACAACCTATTGTATATGTTTTCTTTCTTCTTACATTTGCTTGCGTTTTTATTGTCGAAAAATTTATGTAATGTTGTTATTTCAGAAGCAAAAATGGGTGAATTCAAAACAGCAACATGTTTCCTGCTCGCATTAACCAGTCTTTGCTCAGCTTTAGATTACCGCCTCCCACAAACTGTAGTGCCAACATTTTATGATCTTTCTCTTACTATTGATCCAGAAGAGACCGAATACAGCGGTACCGTAAATATTAGTCTTCGCACCTCCACCGATTCCGATGATATCTACATCCACGAAGATGGCGACTCTATTACCATAGGTTCAGCAAGAACAAAGGACGACGAAAAATGTACGTTCGACACCTCCGATGAGGCTGACATACTAAAAATCACGTGTCCAACGACTTTAAAGCAAGGCGAAGATAACTGGTTGTTCATGGAATTCACTGGGAAATTTTCCGAAGACGGTTTGGGTTTGGTTAAAAGTACTTACATGGATGGAGATGACAAGCAGGTCATAATAGAGTCTAATTTCAAACCAACGTATGCGAGGAGTGCTTTTCCTTGTTTGGATGAACCTGATTTTAAAGCTGGATTTGCAGTAGACGTAACACATCCCAAGGATTACTCTGCTATAAGCAACAGTCTTGTTTCTAATACAGAAGACAGGTAAATTAGTTGATACTTTTAGTTAAAAAAATTAGTGACGTATGTTTTTGCTTTCAGCGGTGATGATTTACGGAGAACGACATTTGAAGCAACTCCGGAGATATCGACGTACCTGTTAACCATATTCCTTTCCAAATTCAAAGCGGCGGAAACATCGGCAGAGGAAAAAGTAGAGTTTAAAATTTTCACGAGGCCGAATGTCGCGAACTTAACTAAGAATGTAGCAAACAAATACTACTCTCAGATAATTGAGAAGCTTGACTCGTACATTGGAGTGCCTTATGAGGATCTAAAGGATACAGAAAGTTACTTGGTTGCAGTGCCGGACTATTCTGACGCAATGGGAGATTTTGGAGTTTTTGCGTACAGGTAAGGCAATTAGGGTAACTCCAATTCAATGAGTGAAATAGTCAGAAAAAATAAATTTTAATTAGGTGAAGAAAATGTTTAATTTATGGCTACTTAAGGGTTATGAAAATTATTTTTAATAATTAAAATAAAAAGTAACACCAGAAAAGTGTTTAAAATGTATTTTTTTATTACAATAAGCAAATGATATATACAGGGTGTAGTGTCTTTAATGTAAAAAGAATTAAATATACATTCCTAGGAATATACATAATAAAAAAGCATTATATCAAATAAGTTCTGTCAAGAAAATAGAGCGTCAATTTTGTAGCGAAAAAATAAATCACTAAGGGTAATAGAACCATCTTCTGGTCATTTAATGTGAGGAATAGATTCCTGCTTTTATTTATTTAACCGATACATAGTATGTAGTATGTATGCAGGTCGGAGGGTGGTGGAATTGTTTTTCCACCGCGGCACCTAGGCCTTATTAGTCCCCTTGTACACCCTCCTTCAATAGTCGAGTACTTTTCTTCAAACCATCCTATTTACTACACGGGTGGCTTGGTGGCAAAGTCTCGTACAGTTTATGTATGATAGCATGGTCTTGAGTTACAGAGATTTTCTTTGCTCTGTTCTCATTACCATTTATCGGGGACCACACGCATGCGGAAAATTTTGCGCGACCCAGGTCTCTGGTAGGCTGCCACAGCCACGTCCCTGAGCCTGCCTTAGGTCACCCATCTAAATTCCAGCCTGCGTCCGTGACGTTTACCTCGGCAGATCGAAATCCACCAGCCAAGATACCCGGCTAGGCGGTCCCCAATACATAGTACATTAGACATAACTTTAATTGTGCTGTCATTATACAGGGTGTTAATCATAAGTTTTGCCAAACTTTATTGGCGTATTCTACCGATGAAAATAATCAAGCTTTGCCAAAATTTTTGATACGACCCTTCCTTATGGAGATAGAAGGTGTTAAAAGTTTCAAATATTTATATTATTTTTCTTATAATTTCACTGACGTAAAAGATTGAGTTATAAAATTTGGGGGATGACTTTTTTTAGTAGCGACTATTTGTTCATGGATAACCTATTCCAAAATACGCTCAAGTGATGTAGTTAATGGGAGAATAGGAGACCTTTTTAAAAAAATCGTACGCTACTGGTTTTTTAAATAATTTATTTAATGTTTCAATCAATTTGTGGCAATAAAGTATTCTTGTAAGGTACTCGTAAAATTTACTGGTCTTTAGATAATTGGGAAATCAGACACTTCAATACCTACGTTGCTATTTACCTAATATTTTTCAGAGATTTCAACATCAAAATTAACCACTTTCAAATATTAATAGAACAATTTCTATTCTATCATAACTACTGGCCCAGAAGTCGAAAACTTGTGTGGGAAAGGGTTTGGCATATTATAATTGTGCATGTTCTACTGTATTTGTACTATTTTCATTTCGCTTTTAGGGAAACTAACTTGTTGGATGAGGGTGAAAAAACAACGAATAGGGCTAAGCAGAATATAATAACAACTATGGCTTACAAGCTCAGTCACGAGTGGTACGGGGGTGATGTAGCTACAAAATGGTGGTCTGACGTGTGGGCTAATGAAGCAGTTGCTACGTATCTGAAATATGTTATATCAGATGAGGTAACAACAATTATAAAATATTACTGATTTTATTGCAACGCTGTCGGCTCTTTGATCCCTTTTAGCTGGATGCGATGACCTTGAATAGATCAGAAACTTAATAAGACTAAGACTAAGAATGGAAAGACAATTTAATGTATTGCGAATACCACTAAAATATCTTTATTGTAAAATATCATAAGTGTTACTAACCTAAATCAATCGGAATTAGAAGGATCCAGTATAAAAGGCGTTCAAAATTTATTACACTTTTTTAATGTTCAATTATTTATTTTATTTCCATTTTCTGACAGATGATTGTTTTGTACTATCCTTGTTAACAGGTGGACAGCGAAATGGAGCTAACAAATCAATTTTTATTGGAAGTAAGTCAAAAAATGTTACAAAACGATGGGCATAGTTTCGCACAGCCTCTATCATCAAACAAATCAAAAGTTAACAGTGATTGGGAGATAGAAAATAAGCTGAACACTGTGAATGTCGAAAAAGGTAAGACAATTAATACTCTTTTTAATAAAAGTTGAGTTCTATTTTGGCCCTCTTTTTACATTAATTTATAATAAAAAAATCTGTAATATAGGTATCCATTTTTAAAAATGGAAACCAAACAGAATTTTGCTTATTTAGAAATGAACTGAGTTTTGAAGACCTTGTTTCTATTTTGTCGATGATATTACTTGAATATTAGGTATAGCCCTATATTATGGTAATGAATATATTATTAAATACATAATTTTGATTTCCTTTCGGAATTAATTACATTTTAGGAGCAAGCATCCTACATATGGTAAATATAATACTCGGAGGTAATGAAAATTTCAAGACAGCTCTTCAGCAGCATCTGAGCAAAAGGTGAGAATAAGTAACAGGTAAAACTTTTCTATGACGCACGATTTCAATGAATATTATTTATATACAGGGTGGTCCACCCAAGAGGGATTCTTATATAACTCTAACTGTAAAATTGATAAAAAATGGTTTTAATAAAAATTGTCTGGAATCATGTTGGCCACGTAAAGAAAATATTTGTAACTTTACAGGGTGTGCCATTTCGCGTGTGCGCTACATAACTTTGTTATTTTAAATGGCACATCCTGTATATTATTGCATTTTTCTTAGAATTCTTAGAAAGCTAAAAATATTTTCTTTACATGGCTCACATGATTCCAGGCAACTTTTATTTAAACATTTTTTTATAAATTTTAAAGTTACAGGGTTACAGAAGGATTCCTCTTAGGTGGCCTACTATATATACTTGTTGAACCAAATAAGATGATACAATTGGCAATCCATAGTTTCCTGTGATTTTTTCTTTTATTGGAACAAATTTTTGGGAAAATTATGACGGATTTTTTTTATCAAAAATCTGGCTGTGTGCCTAAAGCTATAGCATCACTTAAAATTTCTATATTTCAAATTTCATTGAATTTTTTTATACTAAAAATTTGAAATTTTTTCGAACTCAATTAAAAGAATGATTGTTTCAAAATTAAGTTTGCCAACATCAAGTCCGGTAAAATAAAATCATACATTATATGACCAGAAAATTATGTCAGTGTTTGCCACATACAAAAAAAGTAAAAATGTTTGTATAGAATTCTTGAAATTTCTAAAAATTTGACGGACGATGTAATTGAAAATAAAAGGTAACGCATTTTACAGAAATCTTATACTCCAGTCGGGTTAAACAAAAAAAGGGTTTAACCGGGAAAAAATTAGGAACCACAATTTTATTGTTCTAACCTTTCCCTGAATTCCACCCCTACGTCAGCCGCCATCTTGAATTTAAGGAAAAATCGTTTTTGCTCAATATATTGGCCATTTTCAACTTTACAACAAAAATGGTAAGGACTTAAGTTGTTGCAAATACGATTTACTACAACTTCTTTCCTTACAAATTTTATCGTGCGATCGATATTTTTCAAGTTAAGGGGGAAAATAATGACAAAGTATAATTATTGAATTATCTCGTTTGTTATTGACTTTACGACATAAATGTACATAAACAAAGTTGGAAAGAATTATATTTTCTACAATTTTGATCTCTTTGATTTTTTCGCTACTACCAACATTTAAGGTTAAGTAATGTAATAAAGGAAGTTGTAGGAAATCGCATTTGCAACAACTAAAGTCCTTACCATTTTTGTTGTAAAGTTGAAAATGGCCGAGATATTGAGCAAAAACGATTTTTTCTTAAATTCAAGATGGCGGCTGACGCAGGGGTGGAATTCAGTCGCGATTCTGAATTTACACTACTATTGACCCCCCCTAAAGGTTAGAATAATAAAATTGTGGTCCCTAATTTTTTCCCGGTTAAATGACAACCCGACTGGGCTATTATGTTTTAGGAAAGACGCAGACACTGACGGTGCTGACATTTTAAAGGACTTACTAGAAACAAAAAGTAGTGAAACAAGAAGTACTAGTGATACCGATTACTATACCTATCTTGAGAAATGGGCATTTTCCGCAGGATATCCTTTAGTAACTGTTTCACTGACAGACGTCAATGATACTGATACTGTAAAACTGTCACAGGTGAGAATAGGACATTTTCATTACTATTCCATTTTTTTTTCCAGATGTCGCACAACTATTCATTGAATATAATTTGAAGATAGCCGAAGATCTTCTTTCAAATGTAATGTTATATTTTTATTGGTTATTTGAATTCTGCTAGTTATTTCCTTAAACAACTTCTTTGGATCTACTTCGTCGGTTTAGAATACTCGACACCTCCAGAGACATATCGCTGTCTTCAGAAGAGGAAATTCTGAAACTGGAGTCCTCTAGTTGCTATATATTGTTACTGTGAGCACTGGTCCATTTTGTTTAGGTACATGCCTTGCAGTCATTAGCTGATTCTTGTTCGCGGATAAGTCGTTTCCAAATTCTAGTTTCGTCTCGGCTGAAATTATGTCGATTCTTCTGGACTGTTGCCTTCCTGAAGCGTCTTGACCAAAATCTTCTTTCTCTCACCAGAATTCTGGTATCTATCTTGTTTCTGCCATGTGTTATTCTTCAAGTGACCCTTACGCTCCCTTAATCTGTTACTAACGCGCCTTCTACTTTTTCCAATGTATATTTTTCAGCATGTATATGCTGCATGCGCCAGGCCTTTGGGGAGTGGATCATTCCTGCAGCTTGTCTTGTGAAAGGCTATGCCTATCTTCCTTGAGGTGTTACAAATGGTTAACATTATGTTTCCTTAGGATGAATTTCCTCTAAAAGTAGATCGTAGGCACTGTAGTTCCTCGTTTAAGTATCCTGAAGCGTAGATGATACGAACTCGATATACTAATCTTGTTTCTGGGCAGATTGAAGACGAGACTGCCATCTGTTTTTTCTTCACAGTCACATCAATGTACTATTTTCTTCCTCTTTCATCATCTGAATATATTCCATTGATCTGGTTCAAGGATCCTATGTTGCTATATCCATGAGACCAGTAAATAGATGTAACATCAACATACATTTAGGCTTTAGAGTTACTAGTTCCAAGTTTTCCTTTGGCCTTCCATGATGCTATTCTAAATCTGCTTCAATTGGCTCTTTTTCTTAAGTCAAGACGTGATTAAGGAAACGTTCATCACGTTCATTTCATTTATAAGGTTTAATAAGTTTAGTTAAGTTATACTTAAATATAACCATATGTGAGATTGATTTACTATTAAGGATATTTGTCCTAGAAAATTTTTGGTGGTGAAACTTGTACATGAACATCATCAACATTCCTATCTTCAATTTTATTACTTTGATATGGGTTTTTTATGCTTGAAAGATGTTTACATCAGATAATACCAGTAGCAAAACCAAAAGCTAAATTATCTTAAAAAAGGCCGATTTTAGGCTCTAGTAAATTTGATGAAAGTTCGCATGAAGTATGTATATAATGCATCAGAGTTAACATAGTTGGTCCTGATGTGGGTATTTCATTAATTCGGGAATATTAATTTTCAGAAACGATTTTTATATCCTACAACAGACACAGAAACCTTCGCTGAAGAAACAGGATGGTATGTGCCACTTACCGCGACTTCTCGTGCAAACTACAAATCCAGCATAAAAGTCGGTACATTCATGAACCCAGATCAAGAAATGTTGTTCAATTTTGGACACGACCAGTGGTTGGTACTCAACAGTCAAGGTGGCTGTTTTTACAGAGTTAACTACGATGAAACCTTATGGCGAAGAATACTTGATGGTTTGAGCACCAGCAGGACTGATTTTCACGTATTGCAAAGGTCCCAAATGATAGACGATATCTTTAACATCGCAAGGACAGGCGATGTGAGCTATTATCTGGCTTTTGAAATGGCGGATTCCCTCGTCGATGAAACTGAATATTATCCTTGGTATTCTGCGCTCAATGCGTTTTCTTATTTGCTCGGAAAGATAGAGGATGAAGACACTGAGCTGAAGTTAAAGGTATGGAGAAAATGTAACTAAATTTATTCCAAATTATTTGTTTTTGCTAATACTTACTAATTTATCTTTTAATTAAGCTTGTAGGATATGTTGTTCACTTTTGAAATATAATTTTTTAACAGTTACTACAATAAAAATATTTGAGGATTATTAATTAAGTATCATTAACCAAATTTTAACTTGAAATACAATACAGTGTGTATCAGCCAAATGGAATAAATTCCATAATAAATAAATGGGGGCGTGTTCGAAAAAACGCTCGGTCATGTCGATTGGTATTTTTAGTTGCGCATTTTTTTCAACAAAAACTTTTTATACAGGGTGTGTCATGAAACAGTGGTCAATACCAACTTTCTTATTTTAAATCCAACACCCTGCATATTATTCAATTTTTGGATTCTTCAGAAAATTCTAGACATATTTCATGTGCAATTTCCTATGCCTATCTTCAACTGTTTCGGAAATATTTAGTGTTTTCACATTTATTGCAAAAATTAACATTAAAAAAGAAAATTATTTAATTACAAACATTCGCTACAACACACTCAATACTTATTTCCCATTTAGCTCTTGATTAAGAGAAAGTAAGCAAAAACCATTTCAACGTTCCTTTTTGCTGATATGAAATAAAAAAGAAAAAAAATAGTTTTGTCTACTTTTGTTTAAAACGCCTGGCCTTAGCAACTTGTTGTCTGCCTGCATGGCAGTAGTTGTCAGTATTATAGTCGTTTGAATTTTGTTAACTGCATATCAGAAAAATGGTTCCTTTAACAGATATGTACAAAATAACAATTCTACAGATGATTGGGGATAACACACGGACACAAATGGAAGTTGCTCGCTTACTTCATGAAATATTTTCTTTGCCGTCTACAGGGTGTTAAAAAAAGAGTGTAAAATATTTCAGGAGGTAATAGTATGAACCAAAATAAGCAGAAAAGTCTTAATAAACATGGGTCCGCNATTTGTCCTAGAAAATTTTTGGTGGACGGAAACTTGTACATGAACATCATCAACATTCCTATCTTCAATTTTATTACTTTGATATGGGTTTTTTATGCTTGAAAGATGTTTACATCAGATAATACCAGTAGCAAAACCAAAAGCTAAATTATCTTAAAAAAGGCCGATTTTAGGCTCTAGTAAATTTGATGAAAGTTTGCATGAAGTATGTATATAATGCATCAGAGTTAACATAGTTGGTCCTGATGTGGGTATTTCATTAATTCGGGAATATTAATTTTCAGAAACGATTTTTATATCCTACAACAGACACAGAAACCTTCGCTGAAGAAACAGGATGGTATGTGCCACTTACCGCGACTTCTCGTGCAAACTACAAATCCAGCATAAAAGTCGGTACATTCATGAACCCAGATCAAGAAATGTTGTTCAATTTTGGACACGACCAGTGGTTGGTACTCAACAGTCAAGGTGGCTGTTTTTACAGAGTTAACTACGATGAAACCTTATGGCGAAGAATACTTGATGGTTTGAGCACCAGCAGGACTGATTTTCACGTATTGCAAAGGTCCCAAATGATAGACGATATCTTTAACATCGCAAGGACAGGCGATGTGAGCTATTATCTGGCTTTTGAAATGGCGGATTCCCTCGTCGATGAGACTGAATATTATCCTTGGTATTCTGCGCTCAATGCGTTTTCTTATTTGCTCGGAAAGATAGAGGATGAAGACACTGAGCTGAAGTTAAAGGTATGGAGAAAATGTAACTAAATTTATTCCAAATTATTTGTTTCTACCAATGCCCTGTATATTATTCAATTTTTGGATTCTTCAGAAAATTCTAGACATATTTCATGTATAATGTCCTATACCTATCTTCAACTATTTCGGAAATATTAAGTGTTTTCATATTTATTGCAAAAATTAACATTAAGAAAAGTATTTGATTACAGAAATTCGCTACAACACACTCAATACTTATTTCCCATTTAGATCTTGATAATGAGAAAGTAAGCAAAAACCATTTCAGCGTTCCTTTTTACTGATATGAAATAAAAAAAAAACAAAAATAGTTTTGTCTACTTTTGTTTAAAACGCCTGGCCTTAGCAACTTGTTGTCTGCCTCATGACAGTAGTTGTCAGTGTTATAGTCATTTGAATTTCGTTAACTGCATATCAGAAAAATGGTTCATTTAACAGAAATGTACAAAATAACAATTCTACAGATGATTGGTTATGGGGATAACACACGGACACAAATGGAAGTTGCTCGTTTACTTCATGAAAGAATTTCTTTGCTGTCTATATCTCAAGGGACAATTAGTAAAATAGAAAAGCAGTTTCGTGAGCTTGGACATGCAAGTCAGATAAAAAAGCAAATGCCAATGCAATAAGTGATGATACCAAATTGGATATTATGTTTGAGTTTGAGGAAAACCCACATACTTGTAGTCGAAAGGCAGCCCCAATGTTCGATGTTAGCCATTAATCGATTATTCGAATATTAAAAGAAAATTCATATGTATAAAATGAAATCAATTTAGGAGCTCATGGAAGACGATTTTGATAGGAGAACGTATTTTTATGAATAAATGATGGCAATGTTAGATAACAATGTGATCAATTAGAACATGTTTTGTTTTCTGATGAGTGCACTTTTACACTTCACGGTCATGCTAATCGTCAAAATTGGTCGCTATTGGTCTAATGAAAACCCTCACTGGACTACAGAACATACTCAATACCCTGACAAGGTTAATGTTTGGGTAGGAATTGTTGGATATCATATCATAGGTCCCTTTTTCATTGATGACAATTTGAATGACGATAATTTATTTAGCACTGCTCCAAAATAATGCAGTGCCAACTGTGACAAACTTATATCCTGATCCAGCAAACCCACAAGTCCCAGCCAATATGATACGGTTTCAGCAAGATGGAGCACCGCCCCATTACCAAGTAAATATCCGGCAGTACTTCAACCGAATATTTCAAAATCGTTGGATAGGGAGGCGAGGATCGATGGAATGGCCAGCACGATCCCCTGATCTGACATCATTAGACTTCTCTTATGGGGATATGTCAAAAGTATTTTATACAAAACTAAAGCCCCCGACTTCACTGACTTAAGAAGACGAATAACGATTGCGATTAGATCGGTCACGCCTGAGGTGTTGGGTAACGTTAGAAGAAATTTCTATTTAAGATTAGGATATTGCCAATACGTTCGCGGCGAGCATTTCGAACATCTCCTACATTGACATTAATGTTTTTTTACAGTATCAATAAATAAACAGTATTACTTATTAGTTTTTGGGTGTGTTGTAGCGAATTTCTGTAATCAAATAATTTTCTTTTTTTAATGTTAATTTTTGCAATAAATCTGAAAACACAGTTGAGGATAGGTATAGGACATTGTACATGAAATATATTTAGAATTTTCTGAAGAATCCAAAACTTGAATAATATACAGGGTGTTGCATTTAAAATAAGAAAGTTGATATTGACCACCATGTATAAAAAGTTTTTGCGCAACTAAAAAATACCAATCGACGTGTCCGAGCGTTTTTTCGAATACGACCTCATTTATTTATTATTAAATTTATTCAATTTGGCCGATACACATTGTATATATTGCATTAGTAAAAGACATTATAAAAATAATCAAAAGCACACACATCAATTTGTCCTGTTTTTAGAATTACATTTTGAGTTTGATGGAAAACGTAGTAACAATTCCAAGTAAAAACTTTGTTGACGATAGTGATAGTCACGTAGATGTTCTTAAAAATGTTCTGGTGCTAAAATGGGCTTGCGAGTTGGGACATGAAGAGTGTATCAAATATGCAACCGAAACATTCAAAAGCTTTAAGGANTACATGAAATGCATGTCTGTTAATTCTGCGTTAGAGTAACCAGCCATAGCGAAAGAAAACTTGTGCACTGAGAACAACTGTTAAATACGTACTGTTTATTTCACTAAACATCAACTACATAAAACATTCCATATCTCCGCAACCGTTACTTTGCGGACCCATGTTTATTGAGACTTTTCCGCTTATTTTGGTTCATACTATTATCTCCTTAAATATTTTACACTCTTTTTTAACACCCTGTATATCTCAAGGGACAATTAGTAAAATAGAAAAGCAGTTTCGTGAGCCTGGACATGTAAGGCAGATAAAAAAAGCAGATGTCAATGCAATAAGTGATGATACCAAATTGGATATTATGCTTGAGTTTGAGGAAAACCTAAATACTTCTAGTCGAAAGGCAACCCCAATGTTCGATGTTAGTGAGCCATTCATCGATTATTCGAATATTAAAAGAAAAGAATATTTATATGTGTAAAATGAAATCAATTTAGGAGCTCATGGAAGACGATTTTGATAAGAGAACGTATTTTTGTGAACAAATGATGGCAATATTAGATAACAATGTGATCAATTAGAACATGTTTTGTTTTCTGATTAGTGCACCTTTACACTTCACGATCATGTTAATCGTCAAAATTGTCGCTATTGGTCTAATGAAAATCCTCACTGGATTACAGAACATACGCAATACCCTGACAATGTTAATGTTTGGGTAGGAATTGTTGGATATCATATCATAGGTCCCTTTTTAATTGATGGCAATCTGAATGACGATAATTATTTAGCACTGCTCCAAAATAATGTAGCGCCAACTTTGACAAACATATCCTGATCCAGCAAACCCATAAGTCTCAGCCAATATGATACGGTTTCAGCAAGATGGAGCACCGCCCCATTACCAAATCAATGTCCGGCAGTACCTCAACTTAATATTTCAAAGTCGTTGGTTAGGGAGGCGAGGATCGATGGAATGGCCAGCACGATCGCCTGATCTGACACCATTAGACTTCTCTTATGGGGATATGTCAAAAGTATTTTATAGAAAACTAAAGGCCTCGACTTCGCTGGCTTAAGAAGACGAATAACGATTGCGATTAGATCGGTCACGCCTGAGGTGTTGGGTAACGTTAGAAGAAATTTCTATTTAAGATTAGGATCTTGCCAATACGTTCGCGGCGAGCATTTCGAACATCTCCTACATTGACATTAATGTTTTTTTACACTATCAATAAATAAACAGTATTACTTATTAGTTTTTGGGTGTGTTGTAACGAATTTCTGTAATCAAATAATTTTCTTTTTTAATGTTAATTTTTGCAATAAATCTGAAAACACAGTTGAGGATAGGTATAGGACATTGTACATGAAATATGTTTAGAATTTTCTGAAGAATCCAAAACTTGAATAATATGACCACCATGTATAAAAAGTTTTTGCGCAACTAAAAATACCAATCGACGTGTCCGAACGTTTTTTCGAACACCACCTCATTTATTTATTATTAAATTTATTCCATTTGGCCGATACACACTGTATATATTGCATTAGTAAAAGACATTATAAAAATAATCAAATGCACACACATCAATTTGTCCTGTTTTTAGAATTACATTTTGAGTTTGATGGAAAACGTAGTAACAATTCCAAGTAAAAACTTTGTTGACGATAGTGATAGTCACGTAGATGTTCTTAAAAATGTTCTGGTGCTAAAATGGGCTTGCGAGTTGGGACATGAAGAGTGTATCAAATATGCAACCGAAACATTCAAAAGCTTTAAGGAATCATCAAGGTAACTATTTCTTAACCTGACAAAATCTATTGTAGCAAACTCTTATTGTATACAAAAAGAGAATGTCTGCCTCAGTTTCCAGCTGAAACGTATCAGTGCATCTCATAAGCGTACAAGTAAGTAGACAAATTATAATTATTTTCCATTTCTTTTTTAGCCTAGATGACTACAATGCAAGAGAAGTTATATTCTGCAATGGAATCAGGCATAGTGAAAACGTTAAAGAAGATTGGGAGTTCTTATGGAAAATATATACCAATTCCCTCTCAGTTCATGAGCAAAACGATATTTTGAATGCTCTAGGCTGTGCTGAAGACAAAGAGTTACTTATGTCGTAAGTAATATTTATTACTAATTTAAATTTTTTTAAATCGTGTAAACTTTTTTATTGTTGATTTTTTGAGAAAAAGTTATTCTTGATAAAAAGATTTGCTTATCTTGTTACGCCATGGGCAGTAATTAAATACCTAATAAAACATACAGGGCGTCCAAAAAATTAAATACAAAATGTGATTCTTTTTTTACTAAACCCCGTATTTAAGCATTTCTTGAGTGCTCGAATAACATTGTTAAATACAGATTTTAACGAAAACAAAAATTAAAAGCACCTTCCTTAGAAATATTTTGGACGCTCTCTATGTTTTATTACATATTTGTTTACTGCCTATGGCTTCCCAAGCTAAGCAAAAGTTTTTATCAACTTTTTCTCGATATACACGTGAATACTTTTATTTTGTAGATATTTACAGAAGATCATAACTACAGACTCGGGTATAAAGAGGCAAGATGCTGTCACGGTATTCAAGTCAGTTTTATCTAGTTCTGTGGGTCTCGAAGCTGTCAAGGAGTATTTAAAAACTAATGTATCTGCTATTCAAAACTTGTAAGAGAATGTGTTAAAATGTTTAAAGAAATAATTATCGAAAAACTTTTTTTAGCTTCAAAGATATGCGTATTTTGGCGGAAATGGTATACGCACTGGGAGAAAAATTGATATCGGATGAGGATGTAGAATGGGTTTGTAAATATTTTTTAATTACTTTTATATTAAATTGATTCAAGCTTTCCGATGTCCCACATTTTAATTTCATTATTTGATAACACACAAAAATATGAAAACGAAGTAAAATTCTTTTTCTAATTTCTGAAAATCTTTTAGAAATGTAAAAGTAGGTATATCAGTAGGTACCATTTTAAATAAAATAAAATTTAAAGAAAATAATTATTGAAACAATAAAGTTTGATGAAGCTAGTGTCAATAAATAGGCCAGGAAAAAGAGCTGGGAAATGATCATTTTGCGACTTTTTGTTTCGGCAAGCTGAATTTATCAATATAGTTTCCACAGCCATAAAAATGGGGGGAAGATTGTTTACAGGGTGGTTAATTGTATAATTTTTACATAAATTTACGATTTCCGCTTATATATAATATCATCGTCATTTTCTTTCATATAACCATATAAAAAGTATTTCCAAAAAAATTGACCATCAAATTTGTGTTTATTACATATAACCCAAAGACTATAGTGCAGAATAACCAATACTTTAGTAACTATTCATAACATATTCTAGATATGCTATATATTGAAAATTTACTCTGATTTCAGCTCACCGATCTCCTCACAGATGAAATTCTAAATGATTATGAAGATGTAAGGACGAAAGCTAACGCGCTAGCCTCAGTCAATAACTACTGGTTAGCGAACTTCCAGAGTGAAATAACGGATATATTCGCAGAACAATCTACCACAGAAGCGTCATCCACAGAATCATCTTCTACAGAAGCATCTTCAACAGAATCGTCTTCCACGGAATCATCTTCCACAGAATCGTCTTCCACTGAATCGTCTTCAACAGGATCACCGGCCACAGGACCGTCTTCCCCAGTATCATCTTCTACAGAATCATCGCCCACAGAACTGCCTTCCACGGGATCATCTTTCATAGAATCATCTTCCACACAACCATCAACTTCTACAGAATGGTTCACTAATACAGAGGAATCAACTAGCTCAGAACCGGCGACTAGTACTGAGGTTCCTACAACCACTGAATCCAAAAGCAATAGAGTGTTATCCTCGACATATATCTTACTTTGTGTAGCAATATTTGCGATGTTGAGTTAACATACCTATTAAGTAATTAAATTTTGTTAACTCTGTTATTTATAATTTCTAATAATAATGTAATCAAATTCGCACTGATGTGTTTTAAAAGTTGACATCAGTATCGAAATTTCTTATATTTTTTAAGTTAATTTTATCCTTCAGTAATAAAAGTGTATGATATCGTGGCTATATTTTTTTTTGAAATGAGTTGCACAAAGGGCAATACAATTACTGATAAGTCAAATTAGTTTTTCATGTAATTCATGTAAAAAGTGCACATCGAGCGGCACCTCCACCATTTTTTGTTTTTAATTTTTAATTGGACATAATTACTATGTTAGCACCGTACATATTTTTAAAATAAAAGACAAGAAAGTCTTACTGTGTGCTAATGTAATTTTCACTAACAAAATTTGACAAACACACTTTACACATAACACAAAATAGAAGAACAAAAGAAGAATAAGTTAAACTGTTAAAAAAACAATTATTTAAAAGAAAGAAAACTAACAAAATACATTCTCAATACGGGTACCTGCAACCTCCACACCCTTCCTAAGTATATGAGTGTAATTTGCTTGTACACGAAAAAGCATTTCTGGGGGTATGTCTGATATTATCACAATGGAAATTAATTCTTTATAGCAATTCATCCCTTGTCTATACTGGGGTTGCACTACACTAAACTTTTGAAGTAGAAGTCCATCGGGTTAAAGTCTGGAAAACGTGGTGGCTATGAAATGGGGCCTCATCTCCCAATACATTTATTATTATTAGACACAATGAATAAATAATTTCGTATATCCATATTGAAATGGGGAGAAGCCCCATCTTGCATGAACCAAACATTTCTTTGGGTGTCTAGTGAAACAACGTCTAGTAGCGAGTGGCTGCAAATTATTTTGCAAAAACACCAAATATCGATGTCAATTCAGACGCTCCTCAAAAACCTCCTATTAAATTAGCAGCATCCGCAAGAGAATCATTAATAGAGTCAATGTCAACAGGATAAATACATATTTACAATAATTGTGTTTTTAATAAATGTTCACTATAAAAAATGTTCTGTTTATTATTAATACGCCTTCATTGTCTTTTGTTACTGTACTTTTAAATAAAGTTTTAATTAAATTTTAGCATTATTTTATTTGTGAAATTGTCCTACCAAATACTATTATTATCGGCTTATCGGTCGATAGCCGCACGGTTTAAGGCGTCAGTACTTAAATCGATGTGTCGATCTGCCCGGGTTTCGAATCCCGCGGCCGGTAGACCGTAGATTAGCTATGCTTGTACGGAGGATTGGCACCCTCTGTGCAGGTATGGTAGGGTGGAAGAATGTTGGCTTGGGTCAATGTGAGAGATTGACACCGGTTGGCATTTGACCACCCCCCTAATTAATGAGGTTTTCCAGGTTTCCCTCATTCCTGCACTGAATGGTGGTTAGGGCCTACCAACGTAAGTCGTTCCTGGGCGCAAATGCGGCCTGCGTAACAATAATATGCCGCCTCCTCTCCCGCACAAGTCTTCGACTTCTGGGCTAATTCTCGTAGTTAGAATGAGGAGTAGATATATTATTATTATTATTATTCGTGCTTAAATTTTGAGCCTGATATTTTTTATGTTTGTTTTCTCATACTTACTTTCGTAGGTAATTTAACTCCAGCTGTTTAACAAAATTTTGTCGCAACAGCTGTCGTTAAATTGCCATGACAGAAAGTACTCGAAAACAAACATAAAAAATATCCGACTAAATCTGAGCTCTTATGGTATTACCCCCAAATATATTTTTCTTAATTTTTCAGAACTGAAAGGAAACTAATAACGTTAAAAAATTACTAACTATTTTCTTTCAATGATTTTGCTAAAAAACATCATCCAAAAAAAACAGAGATAATAGTTACGCCTTAGTATTCAAATTGATTAAACGAAACAAAATATAAACTAACAAAGGTGATAATACGAGCTAGTATATGATCAATCAAACTTGAAATGTAATATATGTTTCATAGCATTTACAAAAAAAACTTGCTAAGATGAAAATACTCCACTTTTATTGAGAATGATTAAAATAAAACGAAGTAAGATTAAATGATTAAAATATAATAATTATATTGCTACTTGTCAGATACAATCAAATTTTGTCAATTATTTAATCTAATTATATAATTTACTACATTCTTCCGATAAGCATTATACACTTATCTGTTGTACCTACGTGTTCATTTTTTTAAACAGGATTTAGAAATTATTTAACTTGTTCCAATATACGTTGAAAAATGAGAAAGAAGTTCTAATAAATACAGATCCGGAAATGTTTCCTCAAGGAGTAGTAGATGGAAGTACGTCTCTCTCTGTGGAGGTTTATCTAATATCCGTGAAACTTACGGGAATAAATAATAGTTATTTATTGTATAAGCGTTTTAAGTAGTATTTTATCCACGCAAGAGGTCGAGTGTTTAATATTCTTAAGTGGATAAAAGGCAATTAAAACACGAATGCAATACAACGTTTTATCCATAATCTCATCACAAACATATTTATGGAATCATTGGAACTTAATAAAAAAATATTCGCATTTGGTTAAAATGCAAGAAAATAATTGTGTTCCTGTGGCTGTTTTTGAAGAAGCTCAGGAAGCAATTTTTCGTTTATTGCCAGCGAAATCCAGGGAACATTACGAAAAAGTGTTCGCCGAATTTAACGAATGGAGGGAAAAACGGAGAGTAATGATGAAATGAAGAAAAAATATGCAATTTCATCTATGTGATCGCAGTATTCGATGTTGAAAGCTACTATAAAGGTCTACAAAAATATGGATATTGGAAAATATAACAAGCTTACTGCTTATTTGAAGAGTGAATCGAGAGGATACAAAGCAAAAAAGCTGCAGTATTGGAAAGAGCGCATATTGAAGAATTTTTTACTGGGGTTTCCGATAAAGAATATTTAATGATTAAAGTAATCTCTTTACCTTTTTCATGTTGTATATAGTGAACTTTGAATTATTTTCGGTTGCACTAATAATGGGGGTTTCTGGTGCCTGTTGATGCTACGAATTGACAAATTTGAAAATTAGTGACGTACAGAACGTTGGCAGTTGCCTACCTATTGACACCAAGAGGGGCATTTCAAGAAAATTTACAATTATAGAAGAAGAATTTTGCGTGAATGCTGTTGAAATATGCAAAAAATATGTTTCTCTGCGCCCAATTCGCATAACACAAGACAGATTCTTTTTAAGAAACATCAATAAAAAATGTATTTCTCAGCCTGTTGGAAGCAACACATTGGCGAAGGTACCCTCAATAGCTGCTTCATTTGGAAATAAGTCGATATTGACGATCTTAATAGAAATTTTAATTAATTACTTACTGCAACCTCTTATAGTAGCACAAGTAGGTATGCTAAAAACGCAAGTATTAATAATAATGCCCATTTACTTTTTTAGCAGAAAGTTATTTACAAGACGACTGTACATGTACCACATTACGACAAAAACATTCTTTACTTTTAAAAACTATTATCATTTCAATGTTATCAGTGGTAGAGGGAGTTGGTTTCAATGTCGTAAGGTGATCAATCATGATGATGATGATTCTTAATTAGTGTTTTTTTAATGAATTTGAAAGAATTTAAATTATGCAATTGTTATTATTATTGAAGTAAAGAAGTAAATAATTCTTATAATGATGATAACAGAATATGTTTTTAGATGTACTATTCTGATTAGATTGTTAGATTATATGCTTTTGCAAATAGACATACATACAACAAGCATCCAGATTAGTACGTGATCTTCAAGTGGTAAGAAATATCCTGGAACTATTTCATTATTGCAGGTAAATTTTGTGAACAGAAGTAATTTTTTTTATTCATTAGTACAAATATAACTAAAGGTACCTAATTATGAGTGAAAGTAATGTTGAAATTTTTCCTCAACGTCAATACCAACATTAATCGTGTGCGAATAAAAGGATACATTTTTTTGTTGAAGATATTAGATACTTTCTTTACTAGCTATCATTCTTGTAGTTTTTTAAGATTTCGACATTATAATACCTACTTGAATTTGTTTTTAATCTTATGAAGACTTTTTAATTTATTTTTCAAATATGAAAATGACAAATATGTTAATATATGTACAATAAACAATAAAAAATTTAAGCATTAAATTCTTGTTTGCTAAAATATTTCGATGTTGTTTCTAAACTTTATTTTGAACAAATTCTTTGTACTTTACATTTTTCAGAATTGAAAGAAACAAGTGAAACAACACACATAGAATATTACATAAGTAACAAGATGCCAATCTAAACATTCAAGTATTTGAAATACTTGAATGAATGCATTTGGATGGTATAAATTAATAAACAAAGTGATTAAATCGTCGATACTTGTTTTGTTACTAACCAGATACCATTAAATCTGATCTATTACAATCAGTCATCAATAAACTATACAGGGTGTGCGTGTATAATCCATAAAAATTAAACTACAGCTTCCTAACGATATTTGTAACAGAAAAGTCCTATACGAAAAAGTATTATTTTTGCGTTTTTTTTTTCGTAAATTAAAGTTCAATTATGGATCAAAATATTTTCTCTGGAACGGTCCTGTCCGTATGCTGTCCTATGAGTTACGTGCTGTAGACCAGCCGCGTAAACAAATCGTGGTTGAAAGATAGAAAGATACTTCTCAATTTTTGTGGAATTTTTCAATGAAAAAGTACAAACTAAGAAAAATAAATATTTAATAAAAAACTGATATTTTCTTATTATAATAATTAATAGTAATTACTGTCTTAAATGCATTGTTGTTACTGCAAAAGTTCGCAAACAAAACCACATCCGTAAGCATCTGTAGTTGCCAACTGCGTGTACTAAACAAACTCCATTAAGATATGGAACAAAATGAAATAAAACTTACCATTTCTAGACAAAATGTTGAAAATGATAAATGATTGGAGTTAGATCGGGTGACCGAGGTGGCCACGGCACAGGACTAAAGCGTCCAATCCATCGCTGAGGAAGCATTTCATTCAAAAGTGTTGTGAATTTAAGGAATTTTCGTTACCAGTAGTTTCAGTAGCTCCATTTCATGTTCCTTTTTTATAGGAAGACAAATGGGTTCAGTAGTCACAACCGCCGTTTTCATATTCTTGCTCAACAATTATTGTTCTGCTGTGGAATACCGTCTTCCAGAAACAGTGGTGCCTACATTCTACGACCTCTCTCTTAAAATCAACCCAGAAGATGCAGACTACATCGGCACTATGATTATTACTCTTCACACCTCCAACCAGACCAAAGATGTATACATCCACAGCGACGCCAATTACATTAACATCACCGCGATAATACTGAACGACAACGCGAAATGCTACGCTAACAATTTGGACGTAGATGACATGGTCAGAATTTCCTGTTCAAGGGCATTGATAGTTGACGAAGATAACACGTTGGATATAGAATTTACCAGTAAATTTTCTGTCGAAGATGGCTATGGTTTGTTCAAAAGCAGCTACGTGGATGAAGGAAAAGAGCAGGTCATCATAGAGTCTAATTTTAAGCCCACTTACGCTAGACGCGCTTTTCCCTGCTTGGACGAACCCGATTTTAAGGCTAGTTTTGCGGTGGAGATAACACATCCCAAGGCCTACAATGTTATAAGCAACAGTCCTGCGATACTTACCAACAAAATAAGGTGAGAAATTTATTTCCTCCAATTAAAGCATTCGGATTTCAACGCTCAAATCTTTTTGTTTCCAATACTTTCGAATGAGGCAGTATTCACTTTATTTCCAGTGACGACGATTTAACGACAACAAAATTTGAGGACACACCAGAGATATCGCCATATCTGCTGGATATCCTTATTTCGCAATTGCAGGAAGCAGAAACGTTGGAAGAAGACAGCGTGGACTTTAAAATTTTCACTAGGTCCAAAGTTACTTCTTTAACTAAGACCGTAGCTAATACATATTATCACAAGATCATCGAGAAGCTTGACTCGTACACAGGGGTTCCATATCAAAACTTGAACGAAACGGAAAGTTACCTTGTCGCACTTCCAGATTATTCTGAAACAATGGGAGATTTTGGACTTTTTGCATACAGGTAGGTGAAAATTTGTAAAAACGTTTGTCTCATAACTCACGTAAACTACTAAAAACCGACAGAATTTACTAGTTGACAATTATTATTGAATGTGTTTCACTAGATTCAGCACATGGTATTAGGATTTTTTCACCACTGAAATCATATGTTGTATGTTTAGCGTAAGTGATTTTTTTTTTGTCAAAATAGTAAGACTAGTTTGTTTTACGCGATTGTCTCTCTATTCTCAAGTCACAGTCAACAATTGAAGAATTGAATTAAAAAAAAAACAACTAAATCGAAAAAACTAGTTATAATTTGTTCTGGTTAGAGAAGCTTAGATAAAAAATCAACTGAGATAGAAATATTAACTCAAGTCAAACAATTGACCATTTTTCAGTTCGAAAAAACGCCTATTGTTATACAATAAATTATGTTTACATTTGCTGATACTTTTAGAGAGACTGACCTATTGGATGAGGGCGACAAAACGACAGCTAGAGCTAAACAAGATATAATAGCCACTATGGCCTACAAGCTTAGCCACGAATGGTATGGAGGGGTTGTAGCCACAAAATGGTGGTCAGATGTTTGGGCTAATGAAGCTGTTGCTACCTATCTCAAATATCTAATACCAGACAAGGTAATATTAGAATTAATATGAAATGAGAAATAGCTTTGTGTCGAATTAGTCAAATTCGACGTCAATGTATCTTAGAATAAAGAATTGATGGTGGGAACAAAATCAACTGTCTAATCCGATATTTGATATATTTGTTTGCTTTCGTGTTACATAGAGAAGCTGGGCGCCAGTTTATATTTAAGTGTAGCGTTTCCTAAATTAATTGTGAGGAGAGGTTTTATATAAAATAAAGTTTATACAGCGTGATTAAAGTAAATTAAACGAAATTAATAAAAATTTCGTTACAACCCTGTATAATTTTGATTATTATTAATGACTGTTTCCTTTAGTTTATAAGATTCTAAGTAGGTATCGTGATTTTACTTAGACTGAAATCGTTGGTACTTCTGGAGTGCCTCAGGGTCCAGTTATTGGCCTATTACTGTTTAATATGTTCATTAATGATATTTGTGATAATCTTTTAAGTGATATTTCTTTATATGAAAATGACCAAACTACATGTGTATCTCTTTATTTATTGTTTTTTTTTTGTGTTCTTAAATATTCCTAGTATTATTTTCGTTAATAGGTGGATGAGGAATTGGAACTTACAAATCAATTTTTGCTGGAAGTAAGTCAAAAAACGTTACAACATGATGCCTATTCCTTCGCACAACCTCTATCATCAAAAGAGTCGGATATAAATAACGAATGGGCGATCGAAAATAAACTGAGTACTGCGAATTATCAAAAAGGTAAGAAAGATGCTGTAGAGGATACATACCTTAAGGTAGTACTATTAGTAAATAATAATTAGGTGTGGGGGCCATTTAGATTAATGAAGTATTAATTTCAAAATAACTTAATTTTTTTAAATTATGTTTTAGGAGCAACCATACTACGTATGATTAGATGCGTCCTCAAAGGTGAAGATAACCTTCAAGTGGCTCTTCAAGATCACTGGCAGAATAGGTAGAGTATGTGTAGTACATTGAAAACGTATTTTTTTTTTGTACTCGGCCAAATTTGATGTAGATTTAAAAATGCAATTGTTCATATCAATTTCAATAGCCTTCATTATTTAAAATTTGGAGTTTTAGTTAATTATATACCATGTGTAATAAAAATTCCAACACCATTTTTTATACGACATTAGATATTCAAAATATATACAGTGTGACCCGTTATGAACCGTATTTTAAAATATTCGAAGTATATATAGAATATTTAGTATTCTTGATAAAAAATACGTTATTTCCGTTATATTTGTACTATGGAACAGTGTTCCACCACTAAGCATTTGAAAACTTTCAATATTCTAGGAAAGAGGCGGAAACTGATGGAACTGACATATTGAAGGACCTTTTATATGGTAAGAGCGATAGTGGAGATTACTACACTTACCTTGAAAACTGGGTGTTCTCGCCAGGATATCCGTTATTAACAGTAATGTTGGAGAGAGTTGACGACACTGTAAATATTGCAAATGCTACTCAGGTGAGGGAACATTTATTTATTCTGTAAGTCTGCATATCGTGTATTTTAAATTGACATGAGATATCTCTACAGTGTATTCATCTTTATGTGAATTACTTGTTTGATATAATTTTGGGCGTAATGTAGGGCAAACAGAACTGCACTTTTGGAAAAAGCGACGTATTTTAATTTTTTAGCATAACTTATTTGTAGATAGTCTTCAGTGTCAATGAACGCTACACAAATAGATGAATAGGATGTAGGCAGTCTATGGAAAAACCTCTATATTTGCATCCATCGATTTTTTTGCGGCTATTCTATTATATTTCTACAACTCTTATTATTTTGTAACTAGTATGCTCGATTTAATTTCCATTTTGAAAGACTAAAAGTTATTTTAAAAATACCATTTCTTTGAGACTTATTTCTTGATGTAATAATTTGTTTTATCGACAATCACCTTGTACCTATGTATGTATGTATGAATGTCGGAGGGTGGTGGAATTGTTTTTCCACCGCGGCATTTAGACCTTATTAGGCCCCGTGTACACCCTCCTTAATAACTCCAGTACTTTTCTTCAAACCATCCTACTACACGGGTGGCTTGGTGGCAAAGTCTCGTACAGTTTTATGTATAATAGCATGATCTTGAGTTACAAAGATTTTTCTTTGCTCTGTTCTCGTTACCATTTATCGGGGACCACACGCATGCGGAAAATGTTGAGCGACCCAGGTCTCTGGTAGGCTGCCACAGCCACGTCTCCGAGCCTGGTCACCCATCCAAATTCCAGCCTGCGTCCGTGATGCTTACCTCGGCAGATCGAAATCCACCGGCCAAGACACCCGGCTAGGCGGTCCCACAATCACCTTATAATCGGACTTTTATCTACACATATGAACCGTCTAAAGTGATACTTTATCCACTAGTGGAATAATAAAAAAATAATAAACTAATGTTTAATAATAATGTAGAAACCATATCTTTAACTGCACTGCTTGTTCTTCTACAGCTGTATGTAATTATTTCTAGAGATCGCTTGGTCAAAAACGTTCAGGAATTCAAAATACCATGAGGTTCAAAATTCAAACGCGATTGCGTTTAGTGTTGGGGGATGTTTGTAATGTATTAGGAACAAAGCTATTGCTCATAATTTTTTTAATTTCAACATCCTGTTACTTCTAAACCGTTAATAATTTGACAGAGATATTTAACGCATCTGATTTTGCTGCTTTATCGACCTCTGATGATGACATGAACCCTATTTTCAGAAACGATTTGTGTATCCCACTGGCGAAACAACGGTCTTAGACAACACGGAATGGTATATACCTCTTACCTCAGTTACTTTATGGAACCATCCGAATCAAAACCTTGTAGAGGTATTCCTCGAACCTAATCAAGAAATGCATTATTTTTTCGGTAACACGTGGATTTTGTTCAACAGTCGAACTGAAAACTTTTACAGGGTCAACTATGATGAAGTGTTGTGGAGGAGGATACTGGATGGTTTGAACACCAACAGGTCCGACTTTCTCGTTTTGGAGAGAGCTCAACTGATAGACGATATGTTCAACATTGCCAGGATAGGCGATGTGAGTTATTCCCTGGCGTTTGAAATGGCAGATTCGTTTGTTAATGAAACTGAGTATTATCCGTGGTATTCTGCGCTAACGGCGTTCTCTTATTTGTTGGGGAAAATGGAGAGCAGAGGGGTTGAATCGAACTTGAAGGTATATGTAGATTTTAAGATAACATTTCTCAGACGAAAATAATCGAAAAATTGTTTTCGAGTTTATAGGCTTACAACTTTTTAAAGAAAGTTTATTTTTCAGATTCTTACCTTACCTTACCTTACCTTACCTTACCTTACCTTACCTTACCTTACCTTACCTTACCTTACCTTACCTTACCTTACCTTACCTTACCTTGCCTTGCCTTGCCTTGCCTTGCCTTGCCTTACCTTGCCTTGCCTTGCCTTACCTTACCTTACATTGCCTTGCCTTGCCTTGCCTTGCCTAATATTAATTAAAATAAATATCTGTGCTTTATAGAACTACATCTTGAATTTGATGGAAAGTATAATAGTAATCCCAAATGAAAATTTTGTCGAAGCCAGTGACAACCACATAACTGCGCTTAAAAAAGTCATGATACTTAATTGGGCTTGCAAGCTGGGACATGCCGATTGTATCAGTTATGCCACAGAGAAGTTTAAAAATTACAAGGAGTCACAAGACAGGTAATACCCAACGCTCGCTAATTTACCTATTTAAATAAAAGCACATTTGAATGTGTGTTCATAATTGATTGCATTTCTTCCCTTTTTCAGTTTAACCGATTACAATGCCAGAGGTGTAATATTTTGCAATGGCATCCGACACAGTGAAAACACCCAGCAGGATTTCAACTTCCTATATAAAATATACAACGAATCATCATCGGTACACGAACAAAACGATATTTTAAATGCTCTTGGTTGTGCTGAATATAAGAATACGCTGAAAAGGTGCGTAACTAAATTCTGTTTGTACGGCCATTGAAAGGGGTGGAAACTGTTGTTTCTTTGTTTATTTTTTAGATACCTAGAAAAAATTATAGTACCCAAATCAGGTATAAAGAGACAGGACGTACTGGTGGTATTCAAATCCGTTTTCTCCAGTTCTTTGGGTCTTCAGGCAGCCATGGATTTCTTGGAGGATAGTCTTTTCGAAATACAAGATCTGTGAGTGGATATGTCTCAGTATTTAATGAAATCATTTTAATACAATTTGTTTCAGTTACAACGATATGAAAATTACATCTGAAATGATATATCTAGTGGCAGAGAACTTAGTGACAGATAACCATATAGATTGGGTTCGTATACATTGACTAATGTGACTGAAATAGAAGGGATTCTATCGAAATAAACAAATAAGTTAATATTGAAATCAATATCGTCAGATAAATTACCACTTATTCTTGTTTTAAACTGTAGACCATGTGATAGAGCAATGTTTAAAGTGCAGCAAAAGTTATTTCGGCTGAAATGAATAATAATGTTTGTCAATAATTATAAACATTATAGCTAGAAGCACAGATACATATTTTTGCAACGTTATTTAAGGAAAATAGCGACGAAAATGCCATTCTATTTATGTCACATTTTAGTGGTATTAATTACCTGAAAAACAACTGATTGTTTAAGCAGAACATTAGTAGAAATAACAAATCAGAGTTTGTACCCAAAAATTATCTAAATACCTTTTTATTTCTTTAGCTGAAACACCTCCTTAACAATGAAATTTTGGACGATTATGAAGACGTTAAAGCGAAAGCCAGCACCCTAGCATCAGTAAACAATTATTGGCAGAAGAACTTTCAAGGTGATGTGGCAGATATATTTCCATCTAGTGAAACTACTTCAGAAACTACTCCACAGTCTACTTCACAGTCATCCTCAGAATCCACGCTTTCTACTATTACCGATACAGACAGTAGCGCTATTGATACTGATACTACAGAAGTAGGTACTACTACGGAACCATTTACCACCACAGAGTCCAAGAGTAACCGAATGTTAATATCAATTCACATGATGGTTTTATTTGTAATAATTACTTTAAATTAGTAACATATGTATTTATGTCATTTAATGATTAATAAAATGTTTTAATTAAAATGACTGTTTTGTAAAGTTGTATGGTAAAAACCACTGACTATCAAAATGTTCAAATAATAGATGCTTCTGTTTATTATACAAATCACTATTGAAGTGATTCAGGCGTACCTCTTAGCTTTCGAATTGTCCAAAACAATTTTTTAATCAAATATATGTAAAACTCGTCTGTCAGGATGTCTCTCACGAAAATACGGTATGCCAATTCATGGAAAATGTTGAAATATGAAGTATATTTAACCGTACCATGAAGTCTCTAAGCTCATTCAGCCTGGTCGGCTTTTGGACATTTTCTGCATAATCTAGTTGTCCTCATACCACCTCCGTTTGTTTCGACATTCTTGAATGAAAGATATCCTACACAATTGGCTGTTAACGTTATTTTAAGATGAACAAGCTCTCTATTTTCAGGAAATAATCTATTTCCCTAATAGGAAATTATGTACGGGAAAATAGTGCACAAGTTTGTAATTTTTATTTTTTTACAATAAATATAAAAGTTTATATTTGACTCACCTAATAGAAGGTTTATACAATTATTTATTATTAGAATATAGTTTACTCCTACAACAGTTCTAAATAAAATTTAAGGTAATAGATCATACGATCTTGTTTAATATTCTTGTATTTAAAAATTAAACAGATTTTGCAGATATAAACAAATTTGATGGTTTAACAATATTTCCTGTGTCTACAATGGGTTCCTGTAAAATTGTCTTGACTTCAGTGGCGTACTTATTTTTCCATAATCTATTGGTGACCATAATGGAGACAAAATCTTCACGAATGTTTTTGACGTTTCCTATGTTGCGGCAGTTTTTAAAAATCTGCGCAATCTAAAGAAAATGGCAACAAAAAATTATTAATGTCCATAAAAAGTAGTTTTGGAAAGCTGTTGTCTATCGTCTATTGTCTGTCGTTTATCCTATATCGTCTATCGTGTATCATCTATCGTTTATTGTCTATTATCTATAGTCTTTCGTCTATTGTCTATTGCCTCTCGTGTGTTGTCTGTCATATATCCTCTATCGTCTATCGTGTATCATCTTTCCTCTATCGTTTATCGTCTATCGTCTATTGTTTATTGTCTGTTGCCTATTGTCTATCGTCTTTTGCCCATAGTCTGTTGTCTACTGCCTATTGCATATCGTCTGTTGTCTGTTGTGTATCGTCTATCATCTATCGTATATCGTCTATCATCTATAGTATATCGTCCATTATCTATTGTATATCATCTACTGTTTATTGCCTATAGTCTATTGTCTATCGTCTATTGTGTATCATCTATCGTCTATCCTCTATTGTTTATTATCTATGGTCTTTCGTCTATTGTCTGTTGTCTATTGTCTATTGATTATAGTCTATTACCTATTGCCTATCGTCTATTGTCTGTCGTGTATCCTCTTTAGTCTATCGTGTATCATGTATCATCCATCATCTATCGTCTATTATCTATAGTCTTTCGTCTATTGTCTATTGTTTATTATTGTATTTCTTATTGAGCCCGTTTAATAAACATATCCACATTTAAACATACCCGTTTAATCTGAGTATCTGTCTTAGCTCTGTCAGCTAATCCGAGTAATACAGTTGGTAGGGTGTCCGTTCCTTGGAACCTAATAAGGAAAGGTTATTATTGTGAGACATATATTTCTTTTTGGAAGAGTTTCTTACCTGGCAGTAATGTTTTTCAAATTATTTTCTAGAAAAGTCAAGGATACATTTACTCCAACATCGCTTTTTGTGTAAACGGTCTCGAATACCGAGATGGCGTCTTGCTTTCTTATGGGTGAGTTTTTCTTAATAGTTTCAGTCAAGTATCTGTTGCAAAAAGAAAATAAAATAGAAACAATCGAACTTACTACAATTAGAAATTATTAGAGCATTGGGATTACTATTAAATTAGAATTATTACAAATATACCTTAAGCTAAATCTATAAGTCAAATAAAGTGAAGTTAGATCAGGTTTTAGATTTAACCGAACAATATGTAAATATATAAATAAGGTTAAGATCAGGTTAATTTTATTTACCACATATTTAAAAAACTTTCTCAATTTCTGAATCTGAATTTTTGATAATTTCTGTTTAAAATTGCGGTCAGACCAGGTTCACTTGACTGATGTCACCAGAGGTTCAATTAAATATGTCTTAAGTAGAAATATTAATTCGATATACTTACTTGGAAAGTAGGTCGGTATTTGTCGTGCATCCCAGAGAAGATAATATATCAATTTTTTGCTGAGGCGATGTAGAATTTTTGTAAAGTTTAAATAGAAAATTGTAATCATCAGCTGGATGTGAGCTGTTCCGCAATCCATAGCAAAATACCACTTCCCTTTTGTTGTTGTCAGGGAGGCTAGAAGAAAACTTCGAAAAGAAAATGTTTGCTAGTCTATAAACTGACCGAAAATTAATGGTCTGTACTTGGGTGAATATTCAGTTTTCCATAGTAGTTAATATGTTACAGAATATCTAGTTCATAGTTCATATTTATTCTAAATTAATTAAATAATTTTTTGATTAATCTGTAACTTTGTTCAACTTTCTTTACGAGTTAGGCCAACTCGCCTTTAGATAAAAGTCATTTGTTTGAATATACTTTGAATTGGCCTGCAAATAGATACAGGACATTTTGTAAAAATTGGAGGTATAACATTAAAATTTGAAGATAAGTTTTGACGTTACACAGGGATCAGTCCTAGAGCCTTTACTACTTCGTTTGTTTTTTAATGATCTTCCTAACAGTTATTGTTAAACTTCTATTTTTGAAGACGAATAACTCCACAACGAAGCCCGATAGGAAAAAATGTTTTATGAAGTACTACAACAATTTTGAGCTCCCCTGTATACCCCTTCATTTCTGACATGGCCTTTCCGGACACCCTGTATAAAGGAGATCTAGAAAATTTAAAAAAAGAAATGCTTACCTATAACTAGTCTTATATTTCTGGAACGTTTCATTAGCATATGCTATGCACTGCTCTTGTCCAAGTTTGCAGGCCCAATCCAAAACAAGAACTTCTTTAAGTTTGTCGACATGACTTGTTCCGGTATTTGGGTTGTTTGGGGGAAATGCTTTGTTTAACCAGTACAGAATTCGAAACTGAAATGGATTTTTTATGTTAAGTTAGCTAGTAAGCGGTAAATTAAAAAAAAATAAAAGTCAAGGTTCTTTAATCCTGACATCAAGAGTTTATTGTCAGTGTTTATGTCGTATCGTATACCAAAATTAAAACATTTTTTTAATGGTTTTTTAATTCTCCAGAATTTTGGCCGAACACCAAATTCTCTTATTGTAATATAATCATGTTTTTCTATTCTAATATTTACAGATCGATAAATGAAATTTTTATTATGAACAACCCTGGGCATTTTGTTGGAGTTTCTACAAATATTGAAAGGAAAACAAATTCTGTCATTCAAAAAGGGGAATTACATCCACAATAAAAATCTCATATATAATTTTCAGTACCTGCAGTAATCTTTCAGCTTTATTATCGGCAAGTTTTCCAGATATGAAAGAGATAGCATTAAATGCAGAAACCCAGGGATAGTATTCGGTCTCATACCTTAAATATTCAGCCAAATGGAAAGCTGTTCTATAACTAACACCTCCGGCTCTAGCAATATTGAAGACGTCATTAACTAATTGGGATCTATTTATAACGTTAATACTATTTCTATCGTTTTTGAGGGCTTCTATGATCCGTTGCCACAATATATCGTCGTAGTTGACTCTATAGTATCCTACAGGATTATAATGCTTAGATTAAATAAATTAAACATACAGGGTGTCCCATTAATAATGCGAAAAAATTCAGGGGGAGTTTTCTTGACCAAAAATAAGAAAGAAAGTCCCTATGTCCGAAAATGCTTCGTTTCGGAGATACAGGGTGTTGAAATTTAGAGAAAATACAAGGCTTTTTACTAATATTTGGAGAACCCTAATTCCGATTTTTTTTAAATTTGGTATGTTTGTTTATAAAAACGGTAGACGTGTTCTGACGTAATTTGATATATTTTATCTATTCCAGTGGCGTCCGGGGACTCACTCCTGTTGATATTAATAAGTAAACATGTGAGACGTCACTGCTTTTTCTTAGGTGTCATATGTTTTTCTAATTATGCGATAAAAAATACAACTCTTTTGTCTTTTTACTTTCTTTTGATATCTTGCTTCGTTTTCGAGCAAAAAATTAATAGCTTAAGTGTGTGATTTTAATAAGTACTTGAACTGTGTAGTTGTCAATTCCAGCTTGTCAAAATGAATTACACAAATAGTGAAATGTGCGATATGCATTTTCTTTATGGCCTTGCCAATGGTATTGCATTAGCCGCCAGACGCCTCTATAAGCAGAAATACCCTAATCGTATAATTCCTCATCATACTATCTTCACCCGTCTTCATCAACGTCTTAGTGAAATTGGAAATTTTCGAAAACTTACCGCAGGAAACGGGCGACCCCGCACAGCAATAACCCTACAATTGGAGGAAGATGTAGATGCAATTGAGGACATTCCAACAACAAGTACCAGACAGATTGCTAGAAATTTAAATGCAAGTCGTTCTACAATTTTCATGATTTTAAATAACATCCAACGGGTTCAGGCGCTTTTACCGACTGACTTTCCGTTAAGATTAGATTTATGTCGATGGATACGACAAAAATTGGGGAAAATCCTCAATGCAATNAATACAAAGGTTTTTACTAATATCTGGAGAACCCTAATTCCGATTTTTTTGAAATTTGGTATGTTTGTTTATAAAAACGGTAGACGTGTTCTGACGTAATTTGATTTATTTTATTTATTCCAGCGGCGTCTGGAAACATGTGAGACGTCACTGCTTTTTCTTAGGTGTCATATGTTTTTCTAATTATGCGATATCAAATACTTCTTCGTTTTCGAGCAAAAAATTAATAGCTTAAGTGTGTGACTTTAATAAGTACTTGAACTATGTAGTTGTCAATTCCTGCTTGTCAAAATGAATTACAAAAATAGTGAAATGTGCGATATGCATTTTCTTTGTGGCCTTGCCAGCGGTAATGCATTAGCCGTCAGGCGCCTCTATGAGCAGAAATACCCTAATCGTATAATTCCTCATCAACGTCTTAGTGAAACTGGAAATTTTCGAAAACTTACCGCAGGAAACGGGCGACTCCGCACAGCAATAACCCTACAGTTGGAGGAAGATGTAGATGCAATTGAGGACACTCCAACAACAAGTACCAGACAGATTGCTAGAAATTTAAATACAAGTCGTTTTACAATTTTCAGGATTTTAAAAAATAATATTCTATATCCTTATCACTACCAACGGGTTCAGGCGCTTTTACCGACTGACTTTCCGTTAAGATTAGATTTATGTCGATGGATACGACAAAAATTGGGGAAAATCCTCAATGCAATATGCAATATTAGAAGGCCGTCATCAGCACCAGTTTTCACTTAATGTATGGGTCGGAATTGTGGGAGACCACTTAATAGGCCCATTTTTTTACCACGAGACTTACTGGAGATGTTTATCGCCGTTTTCTTGAGGATGAATTGCCCGTACTTTTGGAAGACATCCCATTGTCATTAAGGTTGCAAATGTATTTTATGCACGATGGCGCTCCACCCCATTTCAATTTAGCTGCACGTGAATATTTTAACAATATCTATCCAAATCGCTGGATAGGTCGAGGAGGCACTCAACCCTGGTCCCCGAGGTCTCCCGACTTAAATTCGTTGGATTTTTTCCTTTGGGGTTACCTCAAACATTTGGTTTATACGACTCCAGTGCAAACCATAGACGAATTAAGAAACCGCATTGTCACATCCTGTGAAACAATTAGACACACAGCCGGAATATTTGAACGGGTTCGCCAATCAATGTGTCGTAGGATATATGCCTATATTAGAGTTGAATGTGCACATTTTCAACAACCGTTGTAACGCCTGTGTATGTAAAGTATTTTTCATATCATTGCTGTTTAGTTTTGTTTTCTACTTCCCTTAAGAATGTGCATATGGAAGGATATTAATTTTTTGCTCGAAAACGAAGCAAGATATCAAAAAAAGTTGTATTTTTAATCGCATAATTAGAAAAATATATGACACCTAAGAAAAAGCAGTGACGTCTCATATGTTTACTTATTAATATCAATAGGAGTGAGTCCCCGGACGCAGCTGGAATAGATAAAATAAATCAAATTACGTCAGAAGACGTGTACCGTTTTTATAAATAAACATACCAAATTTCAAAAAAATCGGAATTAGGGTTCTCCAGATATTAGTAAAAAACCTTGTATTTTCTCTAAATTTCAACACCCTGTATCTCCGAAACGAAGCATTTTCGGACATAGGTTCATTGGAACTTTCTTTCTTATTTTTGGTCAAGGAAACTTCCCCTGAATTTTTTCGCGATATTAATTGGACACCCTGTATATAACGTGCCAAATGTGAAGACAGTTATGTATTATATATTTACCAGTTTGTTGCATGTTCAATATTATCCATGATCCATCTTCCAACTCAATATCCAACGTAGAATTAGGGACTAGCCAACCCTTAACGTTGTCATTGAAGTTGCTCTCAGTTTTAGTTGTGTAAGTAATGGGAATATACCACTGCGTCGACTCAGAACTATCAAATCTTTCCTAAAAATTATCTACAATAACCCTTTTCACAGATAACGTTTCACATTTTTACTTGGGTAAGAGTCACTGTAGATCCATTTAGTCTCGCTGTAACTAATGGAAATCCAGCCTTGTATATCCAGTTGTACATGATTTTGTCCAAGCCTAAGGGCGTCTCTGTTTTGAAAGAATTTAATAGAACAGATGGGTGGGTGTTGTTGTATTTACTGAAATTGGGAGGGATTATTTTTGGAGTATGTAATGACAATAATTTGCCAAATGCATACTTACTATGTTGACAAGTATGATCGAATTCCTTCTCTGAAAGCAGCTTCTCCAATAACATTCCTTAGCATCCGTATTATGCTTGCTCCTAAAAACCCAAAAAATAAGTACTCGTAAAATGAAAACGTAATAAAAACATTAGAGTTAACCTGAATAAGTAAGAACAGTAACAATATGCCTTCAACATACAGTACACGCCTAAAGTATGGAACAAATTCAGTAAAAACGAAACAATTTTTTTTTGGGAAAAATCCTCGAACAGGTCGATTTTTAATTTAAAAAAAACATATTTTAGCATAAAAGGCGATTTTCAACCGTCATTTGTTTTCGAGTAATGACGCCATCGACATTTTTTTTAAATAGCAACCCCCTATTTTTTTCTTGATTCTGAAAGATTGTTTCATTGTCGATCCGACAGTATTAAAATGTTGCCATCTTACATAGGAAAGTTTTCGAGTAAATGACGATGACGTTAGAAAACCCAATTCAATTAAAATAAAGCAAAAACGTTATTAAATTTAGTTTTTGCTTGAAGTTTCTTATGGGTCACGTAGGTGTATATCTTTACAAAGTGTCACTGTCATACCGACTTTCTAAGTATTGTAAGCGATATAAAAATTATTGTTGAATTAAGTATTATGGCACATTTAACTGTCACACAAAGAATTGAAATTTTAATTCTTATCGGATGCGGGGATAAGACTAGAACGCAGCCAATCAACAGTCAGTAAGATAGAATCTAAATTTAGAGAAACTGGCAATGTTGTAGATATTCTAAAATCTGGACGTCCAAGCATTAGTGAAGATCACAAACAGAACATTTTGAAATATGGTAGATTATCCTCATAATACTTCACGATTGGTTACAGTAAACAATGAAATTAGTCAGATCACAGTGCTACGTATTCTGAGGAAGGAAAAATATCATCCCTACAAAATTCAACTTGTGCAGGAACTCAATGAAGACGATTTTCCGACCGCCGCTTACACTTTTGTGAAATTATGATGGATTTATGCCATGTAAATAGAGATTTACACTGGCAAATACTTTTTTCAGACAAGGCCACGTTTTGTCTCAATGGTACAGTGAACCATCAAACATACAGGTATTGGAGTCGGGAAAATCCTCATTGGATGGCAGAGACACATCCCAACACCCACAGAAATTAAATGTGTTGGCTGGAATAGTTGACAACAGAATAGTAGGGCATTTTTTCTTTGAAGGGACAGGAGAAAAATATTTAGAGCTTTTACAAAATGACTTTGTTCCAGCGCTAACAGTAATTTTTCCTAATGATAATGACCCTAATATTCCTGATGACACCATATGGTTTCAGCAAGACGATGCATCTCCGCACTATGCGCGCCCTGTTCGAGATTTTCTGGACAATTGTTTTCCTAGGAGGTGGATCGGCAGATGAGGACTGATAGAATGGCCCGCAAGATCCCCAGATCTTACACCCCTGGACTATTTCTTAGGAGGCTACTTAAAGTCCAAAGTGTACGTTAATAGACCACATAATTTAGAAGAACTCCAAAATTTTATTATAGATGAAATACACAGAGTTACCCCAAAAATAATTCATAATGTGCAAGAAGAATTTCTACACAGACTTGCGTATTGTCAATAAGTCGGTGGGTGGCAATTCGAACACTTAATTTAGGTAGAAAACTTAATGAATTGTATTTCCTTGTCATAGGAATTGTTTTTTTTAATGAATAAAATTTAAGTTTCTAACATTCAATCGTCATTTACTCGAAAACTTTCCTATGTAAGATGGCAACATTTTAATACTGTCGTATCGACAATGAAACAATCTTTCAGAATCAAGAAAAAAATAGGGGTTGCTATTTAAAAAAAATGTCGATGACGTCATTACTCGAAAACAAATGACGGTTGAAAATCGCCTTTTATGCTAAAATATGTATTTTTTAAATTAAAAATCGACCTGTTCGAGGATTTTCTCCAAAAAAAATTTGTTTCAGTTTTACTGAATTTATTCCATACTTTAGGCGCGTACTGTATATCGTTGTTTAAAAGTGGTAAAAAGATGTTAAACTGAGTAGAGTTACAGGAAAAGTTGGTGTTTGGATGACTTACCCTTCGAATAGCTTATATCATCAAATTTGTCTTCGCTGTCTGCTCTATTGTTCACATCACTAGAAAGCGGCAAAGATTCAGACACTGCATCTACTTCCAGGACAGGTTGAATTATGTTGACGACAAACTGCTTCATCATCTCCAAGTCGTCTTCAAGCTGAAAATACGAAACATTTAGTAGAAGTAACTATACGAGTATACAATACTTGATGCAGCTGTAAATAAATTTGTAATGATAATATTAAAACTTTGGCTACATTTGCCTTAAAATTAAGTTATTATTTGCTTAGACTTACCTGGTCCACTATGTAGTGCTGAAAATAGGTAGCATACCCCTCATTCAACCAAATATTCGACCACCAATTCATAGTAACGTAGTTCCCGAACCATTGATGAGCTAACTCGTGAGCTATAATCGCTATGATGTCCTGTTTAGCGGAATTGGAGGTAATTTCCTTTTCATCCAACAAATCCACTTCTCTGAACAGTCACAGATCTTTATATACAGATTGGACACAAGGTGGACACAAGGTGTCCACTGTACAAGTACCACATGCTCAATATGTAAAAGAACACGATAAAATAAACGCATAGATCCTACACGAGATACTCCTAGGTTTTAAAGATATTTAAGAAAGATGCAAAAAGTTTGACATGGCAGTAGTACCTTTATGGATAGATATTTACTGGTTATCCTTAGGGTTGTAATTATCGAAAAGTAACTAAAGCGTTCGTACAAATTATGAAAAATTGAATGAAACATAAAAGATCTAAATCTGATACCAGGTCCAATCAACGATGAAGAGTTTAATAAGCAATTCTTCCATCTGCATCGGAATTATGAAGTGCTCTTCTACCCGCATGCGAAATTGTTGCTGAGGTCCTTGTCCATGGTAAAGAATAACACTACCAGTATCTAAAACAAGCTGGGACACCTCAACAAATGACCAAGTGTATGACAAGCGTTACTCAGATTACAAATGGTTTCTTATTGTAACATTTTTGTTTAAAATAAGATGCCACTTAGGAGTTATTATAATTTCTTTTATCTTCAAAGTTCTAAATTGTTCTTTATAGAAATTTAGGACCCATTTTGTATAGACCCTTTTTGTTTATTTTCAATATCACATATGAAACGTAATACACTTGTACTAAGGACACCTTGAAAATAAAATTATGAGAATTGTTACATTAAATGGTATTCAACCAAACTACAATTTAAATTTGAGTAATTTTCTTACAAGCTGCCGTTATTTTTTCAACAGTAAAATAATATATAAATATTTACCCGTAAGTGATCAGACCCCAATTTTCCATAGCTCCATCGTCGACATTCGGAATGGCAATTTGGTACGCTTGAGTATCTCCAAGATCTTTATAAGCAATGCCTGTCCAGTTGCCCAGAAGATTAATCAAAATAGGGCCATAAGTCACAGCTACAGATATAAAATCTTTTGCACCTGGTCTAGTGAATACGCGATAATCATACCCTCTTGTCCCATTATCGGAGCTCGACACAAACTTTGAAACAGCGAAGGCTAGTAGGTATACAGACATCAAAGGTGTAGTCTGAAATTGCGTTTGAATCCGATCGGGACTGGAATTTAGTTAGAATCAAGGCAAGAACTAATTATTATAATATTGTCATCATGTAACACTCAATGTGACCCCCAATTTGGTAAGTTTGGTAATCCTTATAATTTGTTTTCACATGGTGTCTCATTGAAGCGTTTTGTAGCAATATTATCGGAACGTACAAACTTTTATACAGGGTGTTAATGACAAATTTTGTCAAACTTTAATAGCATATTCTACCGATGAAAATAATCAACGCTTCCCTACGGAGATACAGTGTTGAAATATTTATATGATTTTTCCTGTAACTTTCTAGCAAAATATTTAGTGATAAAATTTGGGGGATGACATTTTTTTAGTAGGGACCATTTTTTCATGGATAACTTACTCCAAAATACCTCCAGTGGCGTAGTTATTGAGGGAGTAGGGGACCTATTTCGAAAAAAATCGTACGTCACTGGTTTTTCAAATAATTTTAAATGTTTTTAAAATATATAATCAAATTTATGACTTTTTTGTAAATAATAGTCTCTTACCTCAATCGCAATGTGGCTTCAGGAAAGAGTATAGTACCGCAACTGCTCTAATTACCATCACTGATGATTTAATAAAAGCACAGGACAGGGGACTAGTTAGTGCTTTAGTTTTATTGGACTGCTCTAAAGCTTTTGACACAAATAATCATAAGCTTCTTTGTTCTAAACTTCAGTACTATGGGTTTGATGAACCGACTTTAGATCTTATTAATTCTTATTTACATGGAAGATTTCAACAGGTATGTGTTGACCCCAGGGGTCAATTTTGGGTCCCTTACTTTTTATAATTTACACTGCTTCCATTTTAGAATCAATTCAACAATGTAAAGTACAAGCTTATGCTGATGGTACTCAATTATATTATCATTTTGATATTAATGATCTAGAGCAAGCATGCAATATTGACAGCTCTGAGTTACAAACTGTAAGGCAATTATCTTATGAACATAATTTAAAATTAAATTCTAGCAAATCAAAAATAATTTTTTTTGGTACTAAGAAAAAGGTAGAAATATTAAGACTCAACTTTAATATTATAATTGATGGTATTCCAATTCCTATTACTGACGGTGTAAAAAATCTGGGAGTGACTCTTGACAGTAACTTACGATTCAGTCAGCATGTGAAAACATTACTCCAAAAATCTTATTCTTCGCTTAGATTAATTTATAGTAGTCGTCATATTCTGAATAAAAAACTTAAAATTATGTTATGTGAGTCACTTGTTCTCTCCTATTTTAAATACTGTGATTATATCTATAGTCCATGCCTTAGTGTACAAAAAAAAATATAATTCAAAAAGTTCAAAATTCATGTTGTCGACTTGTACATGAATTAAGAAAATTGGATCATATTTCTCACAAAATTGTAGAAATCAAGTGGCTCAACATGGAGGATCATCGACGTCACCATCTTGGAAATCTTGTGCATAAAATTTTAACCATTCCTTCTTATTATTCATTAAAAACTAAAGTTAAGCGTTCTAATGTTAATTCGAGGAATATCCGATTTAAAAATACCTTACAATGCCACATCATCGTAGTGCCCTATTTATAAGATGTTTTACTTATAATTCTATCACTTTATACAATTCTCTTCCTGATAAATTTAAAATTTTTAATATTAACAAATTCAAGTATAAATTTAAATCATATCTATTGAGTGGGCAGCTGATTTTATAGTTTATAGTTGAGGATTCTTATTTTAAACTTTTGATTATTGTTAGGTAACTGTATTTTATTTTAATTGTCTTATTGATTCTTTTCTGAGCGATTGTCTGTTGTTTTTTATGTATTTTGAAATTACATGCTTTCGCATACATTTGGTTGAGTGTGAATAGCTTTTGCTAGACTTCGCCATGAGTTTGCAAATTTTTCCCTTTATTTTTTTCTATATCTTTATTTTTATATTTGCATTATCTACTGGCAAAATTTACTGATCTTTAGATAATTAATAATAATCAAATAAGAAGATACTTAAGTAGGTATCTACGTTGCTACTTATCTTCGTAGGCAAAAAAGTTTGGCAAAACTTATCATTAACACCCTGTATATCGGAAACTGTTCTTACTCACGCTATGGGAAAATGCATTTTCACCGGAGTATTGGCGAGAGCAATATACTTTTTCGGATGAGTGATGAAAATATCGAAGGTTGTTTTCCATTTTGGTTCATCGAAACAAGGAAAAGCCTGTCTAGCATCTACTGGCTCAAACTCTGTTGACAGCATAACGTGCTCATCTCCGTCTTCTTTGTACGTCGTCCTGAACAAACCTACCTGGTCCTCCGTAATAACCTTACCTTGGAAACGAATTACTAAAGTATTCTGTACCCGAAATGATTTGGTTGGGCACGTAAGGATCACGATCTCCGTGTCGTTATCCTGGCTTGTTACTGTACAACTATGGTTGTAGTTCAATAGCGTAGAATGTATCTTTATAGTTTTTGGCGAGGCGTGGAGTTTTATGACGTCATTTACAGTAGTTCTAGCCGAGAAATCTATTTGGACGGAACCGTTGTACGTAGTATCTTCAGGGTCTAGTGTCAGGTAAAGGGAATAGTGCGAAGGGACTGCGTATGTGGGTAGGTTATCTGCTTCATTACCTTCAAAGCTCGATGAAGTTACTGATCCTAGGAACAGTATTAAAATGGTTTGAGAGATGTAAATTTTATCCATGACGACCTAAAAAGGAGCTGATATTGAAATATGGGGCTCAAACAACTGCGTTTTAATAATTACATAGCCCCACAAATAAAAAGTTCTGTGCCAGAGACATGAGTACATAGACTTCTTTATTTTTTTTGTACTTAATCTAAATCCATACCCCAAAAACCGATTTACCAGATCATTTTTTAGTAAAACGCTAAAACGTCCCCAAAATATGGTGAAATGCATCAATTTGTAAATTCCTACCTTGAGAAAACATTTAAAAAAATAATATTTTGAGCATTAGAAAGAAATATATGCAAATTAAATCTATACCCACCCCTACGAGGGGGTTAATTTCACGCTTAAAATCAAAACAGTGTGAAAATCCATAGCCTTGTATTTTTTACTAGCACATATACAGGGTGTTTCAGGATTAAGTCGACAAACTTTGAAGATGTGTTCCTCTGGCAAAATAAGTAAATATAAGTTGATAGACTACATCCGTCAAAGGGTTGGAAAGCACCAATAGGCTATTGAATATAGGATTTTAAAACGAACTATGACGTTTAAGATATTTTATTAGATGTATCGTTCAAAGGGTCATTTTAGATGAAAAAACCGTGGAGTGCTATTAAATTAGAGGGTGGAAATTGGAGATAGGGTTAAAATGCACCCCTTTCAGTTTTTTAATTGTAGCTCGAAAACGAAGCAAAATTTTGCTATAGTTCATAGGAAAAATTATTTAGAAAATTTAATTTCTCATGGAAATAGCTTATTTAAAAAATTTAAAAGAAAAATTTTATGCAAAAAAATCGTTAATAAACAATTTGAAAAAAAAGCAAAAAATTCGATTTTCTGATTTTTTTTACTTTTTTGCCTTTAATTTTTTTCTGAGTAAGATAAGCATAGGCATTAGAATAGAAAAAAAGTAGATAAAATTTTCTACAAAACAAGGGGTTGTAAAGTATTTTTGGATGAAAATTGACCGATATATGGCCGTTCAAACTACAATTAGCCAATTTTTCGATTTTCGTCGGGTTTACCTTTATACGTTTTAATGCTCATTTTTTGCAAAAAAGAAAGGAAATAAGACGTTCAAGGATTTTCATAACATGACTTGTTGAAGGGTCATTAAAAATGAAACAACCGCCGGATACTATTAAATTAGAGGCTTCAAATTGAAGATAAGGGTGACTTTTGTAGTTTTTTAAATATAGCACGAAAACGAAGCAAAATTTCGGTATAGTTCTGACTTTTACTCTATATATAAAGCTTCTTTCCACCTCAAAAATTGAAATATTGATTTTAAAATTTATATTAGGACATTATTCGAGGTTGTAAACAGATTTGTTTTAAAAAATGTGTAAAATAATAAATAATGGTACTTCTCTCTTGAGTATTTTCGTATATTTTAATTTATGAGCACCCTGTACATCTAATCTGAGATGTTTGCATGACAGTCTCATTTTTTCGAGGGGCAGAACTTTTTATAAAGAGTGACATTTTTCGATAAAGTCAAAAACAAAAGAGTTTCTCCTCTTGTCAACTCCATCCGTGTATACACACTGTATATACATTATTAATAAACTTTATTGTACTTAAATTCTCAAGTTTATACTAAATTATTTTATTAAAAAATTTAAAAAATCAAAAAATCATTTTTTGCTTTCTTTAAAATTGTTTATTAACGATTTTTTGCATAAAATTTTAATTTTACATTTTTTAAATAAGCCATTTCGATGAGAAATTCAATTCTCTATCAAATTTTTCCTATGAACTATACCGAAATTTTACTTCGTTTTCGTGGTATATTTAAAAATTTTTTCACCCCTATCTTCAATTCCAAGCTTCTGATTTAATAGCACCCCGCGGTTTTTTCATCTAAAATGACCCTTAGAACGATTCATGCAATAAAATTGATTGAACAGTTCCTTTTAACCCTGTTTTTTTTTATATCATCAATAGCCTACAAAGGCCAGGGTCCCACTTGCTTCTTTAAATCACACATTTTTCTAATCAATATATTTGTCTGAATTTTGCTCCAGAGGCTTTTTGGGGTCGCTGATTACGATCAAGGAATCCGAAAATGCCTGAATAAAATATGCCGGATTTAAAAATCGGAAAAGCATTCAAAATTTATTATTTGTGATAAAAGATTATGGTTAAAACTAAGTTATATTTTTTTGATATATGTCTATCAACCTATATTTATATTTTTGGAGTATAAAATACACGGCTATGGTTTTTCACATTATATTGCACTTAAATCTAAATTATTTAAAAAATAGTACCACTTATGTTACAAATAAAAAATTGTTTCACTTACTACGTGTACTTTGAAATATTTATTTAAGTAAATAAAACATAATAGTTATTGCTGTAACAAACAACTAGCGAGTTTATCAATAGGAATACGTTTTAAAATATCTTTTTCCACAATTAACGTTATATGCAAAAAAAAGATAGTGTACTTACGGAGCTATAAACTCATGACCAGGTCACAAGTTCTATATGAATTTTATAATTATTATTAATACGATATATTATATAATTTTATTCTTTCTAAAAACAAATTTTGAATTTACGTTCACATATTTTTTTAAATACTGATAACATGCCACTATTTCTATTGCACTTACTGTGTGTCAATATGTACGTATCCTTTCTGTATATTACCCTAAGTACCTTCACATAAGCTATTCTAACATGTATAAAACGATCAATGATACAATACTGGTTATATCATACAATTAGAAAGATTCACCACAACCTGATAACCTTAACAGACGGTTCATTGTAAATGACTTGATTTTTATTTTATAAATTTCCTGTTAATTTTATAGAGATATACAGAAATTAATTAATTTTGTCTTGAACAGTTCTCCTATATTTCAAGGAAAATGCATTGTTTAAGACAAATCAAAATTATCAAATTCTTTATTTGTTATTTACAGACGTACAAATATTTCAAATAAAATAATAACGAAAAGTAAATACACTATAAAAAAAATCGGATGTTTTTGCAATTGCGTAAAAGAAAAAATAAATATAACAATAACTGTAAAAAACTTTTATTATACATATTTTGGAAGGAAAACTAATTCTTGAGTGGCACCTTGGCTGCAGCAGCTCCTATTACTGCGTTACCACATTTGAGAATGCGCCTTTACCTAACAATTGTCTTAATGCTTGATTAAAATTATATTAATGTAAATTACATATAAATCATTACATTAAAGAATTTATTTTCAATATGTGCTAAATTTATAGAATTTATAGACAATTGGAAAGGAAACCAAAACTAAACTGTCTACTTATCTGATATTATAGATATCAAAGTAACTCAATTTTTTTTACATATGTACTCTAAAAAATTGAGCATGAGAACTTGTTTTTGAAAGTTAGCAAGATTAAACTAATTTGACTAGTTTTGGGACCGGCAGAAGATTTATCATTTTTTTATTTGTCTCACATATCAATATGTTATTTTAAAAATATCTTTGATTTAGCAACTAATCACTAATAGGTACTCCACCTTTGAAGGCAAGATAAATAATATAATTACCTAATTATGTTATTATCTTAAAAGCGGTACACAAGATAAAAATATCGACATGTTCCTAGAAAGTGAAAAAATATATAAAATCACGCATTGAAAAAATCGATGTAAAATTGTATTTAAATTGAGATTCAAACTGATTACCTAAAAAGAAAAATTATACAGGCTGTTACAAATTCGCTTCTCACTACAGGGATCTCGGATACGACATTCTGCAATATTAATTTAAGGTTTTTATATGACTGGTTGCAGTTCTTCATTTGCTAAAATACATAAAAGTTAAAGTTTTCCGTAAACATTTACCAATTTATTCAATTAACACTTTATTTTGAGCCATATATATGTATATTTAAACAGTATGTATAAAAGTCGCTGATAACTACAAACGAACCGTATAACAAGTCTGGATGGCGTTAATTAAACTAGAAGTACATGTGTCGTAAGCTTATCTCTCAAAAATATTATCAATTTATCTCGATCTGTTAACCACGACGAATTAGTACCACAAATTGATTTGATTTTTCAGTCGCTGTGATTCTGTTTGCACGAAAGAAGGTGAACTATATCAGCTTCTACATTTCATGGTAACTATTTAGAAATCTGTTTAATCAATTGCCATATACGTATATTTAGACAATAGTTTATAGAAATAATGTGCCTACATCGCGGATCAAAATTGTAAACAATTAATAATTATTTCAAAATTCACTACGTAGAGGACATTATTATCCCATAACACCCCTGATGCCTTCAACATTAGATGTCACTAATTTATTATTTAATGTGTTAAAAATCTTTTATGTACAGGGTGTTTTATGATTAACTGAAAATAATGTAATTGCCATCTAGGAGGGCCATTCGTAAATATAGAGGGGATTTCTGAATGTTCACTAAAACTTATTTTGGGCTATAGGTATCTGTAGAAGAATTTGTACGAATTACTTTATTTTTGTTATTATATCATTGAGGGCCAATAGACTTGATAGCAAAATTTCGAAGTTCCAGGACCGTTTCCTTAAACTAAAATTCCAATTCCATTTTTATTAGAAGAGAGAAAAAATATTATTTTAATCTATTTTAGAGATCTAACAATTTAATTTAACTCAAAAATTAATCTTATTTTTTTAAAAGTAAAAAGAAAACCTTCAGAAAAATATTTTTTCCGAAATGAGTAAAGAAGTTTCTATTAAAACATTGGATTTTCAATTCTGTAAAATTATAATAAGAACTTGTTATTTCAATTTTAAAAATATTGGCTCTAACTGTTGTCATTATTCTAAAATAATAATAAAAGGTGATTAAAAAATTATGTTACCACATTTCATTGTTAATTCCAAAGTTGAGGAAAATGTAACCAACAAGATAAATGCATGGTTTTTATAACTGATTTATATACTTTCAATATGCTTCATAAAATAGTAGGAAAAATGTATAGGATAAATATTCGGAGGAGACAGAAAGACACAGAATATTTGGAATTTTATCTTGAATAGTCTGTTGTTGGTGTATACCAAAAATAAATTAATTTCCATCATTGATTCAAGCGCGTCTAATTAAAAATAAAAAAACACCATATACATTTACAGATTTTAATTCAGAACTTTTATAGTGATCATTTCGTCATCATCTAGGTTTTTCCACTCTGTCATTACAGTATGATGAGTCATCAATGAAACACATTGTATAACTGGTATATTTGTTTGACATTTAGTATATGTTGTTGTTAATGAGATTAAATTCAAGAGAGTTTTCTATAAATCAAGTTGAACAATGTTCTTTGGTACCAAAAATCTAGGTATGGAAAAGATCATGGAATTTAGTAAAAAAGACAAATATTAATATTAATCTAGTCACCACTTTTGACTGTATCATTTATAATATCATTTTACCCACAAGTATTGTGTTTTATATACAGGGTGTCCCATTAATATTGCGAAAAAAACATACCTACCAAATAAAAAAAAAATCGGAATTAAGATTCACCAGATATTAGTAAAAACCTTGTATTTTCTCTAAATTTCAACACCCTGTATCTCCGAAACGAAGCATTTTCAGACATAGGTTTATGGGAACTTTCTTTCTTATTTTTGGTCAAGGAAACTCCCCCTGAATTTTTTTGCATGCAATATTAATGAGACACCCTGTATAATTCTGTTCTAGTAATATTTATAAATATAGAAATACCTAAGATCTATCTATCATGGCTATATTTATTTCTTAGTTTTCGTCAAGGGTAATATTGTATAATAACAACAAGAATAAAAGTAATTTCTTTGAAAGATTACATTATTTAATGATTTCAATCCCCAGGTATGTGTTTTTCAAATAACAATATTTAGGTTTATCATTTCTGACGTTTATTTTAGATTGATTTACTAATTGTTTGGTAGATACTGCTGGTATAATTAAATGCTAATTGAAGCATAAGGTAGTGGTTTCAAGAAGTTACATATCTTTTGCGTAAGTAGATATTTAGTACATTTTAATTTCTATTTAAAGGTGCTTTATTTGGCACTGATCGTTGTAGATATTCATAACGTCCTAGGACTTTTTTCCCCATTTAATTTATCTCAAAATAGTATAAAATATCAGACTAATAAAACAATAATATAATAGGTTTGATTTTATAAGCTGCTAGATTCGAATGAATACAACAACTTTGCATTGTAGATGTTAGATATTTATTAAAGGTTACTATCTGATGACACCGCCCAATTTTTTTTATTACGAACACAAAATTGTCGAGTGCTTTTTAATCTTTTATCAATTCCATACCCAGAAATGTTTTCGATCGATTTTCCCTACAACAAAGCAAACGTTAGCTAGAAAACATTTTTACCTTGACGAGTTATTCCAATATTTCACGTGATACATTTCTTATAGGTAGCCATGGATAATCTAAAGATTCTTGGCAAGATCCTATTCTTGTTGCTAGTATCAGAAGCGTTGGCAGATGACGTGCACCTGCCGACACACCTAACACCTTACAAATATTCGCTGGATCTGGTGCTTGACCCTAGAGCCACAACTTATGACGGCCTTGTCGAAATAACCTTTTCAGACACAGATACAAAGATTAACACAATACAACTGCATGCTTCATCCGAGACCATAGAGATACATGATGCTTTGCTTAACTTCGAGTATAGCTGTAATGTGACAAAAGCCGATAGCGACACAGATGTCGTGACTTTAACGTGCCCCAAGGATTCTCTGGAGAAACAGAACACTCTGATCATTAATTTTACGGGGACTTATTCTGTTAACGATATGAAGGGTTTGTATAAAAGCACCTACATGGAGGATGGAGTGGAATACGTCCTGCTGGCCACCCAGTTTGAGCCCGTGGCTGCGCGACGAGCTTTCCCGTGCTTCGACGAACCAAGTTTGAAAGCCACTTTCGATATTTTTATTACACATCCAAACGATTACAGTGCTTTATCAAACACGGCCTCAAAGAAGACGTTTCAAATCGGGTAAGTATGTTGATCTCAATTTGCTAGTAAATAAGAGCAAATTATTACCTTACGAAGTAGTAGTCGCTGCTTGTCTTTGATCACCAGATAAATCATGAATATACAGGGTGTGGCGTGTATAATCTATAAAAATTGAAGTACAGCTTCCTAATGATATTTGTAATAGAAAACTCTTATACGAAAAAGTTCTATCTTCCCGTTTTTTTTGTAAATTAAAGTTCATTTATTCAACGAAAATGAAGGCCGGCCCTGTGTTATTTATTAAAAACTTCGGAAATGTTTTTATGCGACCCGAGATGCAACCTTATAATTTAAGTCGGTATAATTTAATACTAGTAATACTAAAAGAAGGTTATGTTACGTTGACAAAAAATTTGTGCAGTCAACTGATTTTGTATTTGTATTGAATTCATTATTCACTTAATTATTAAATATTAAGCATCATCCATCAGTGCTAAAAAGTGAAAAAAAAAATTTATTTTGTAATTCCACGATAGTGACAGTGTAATTTTTATAAAAAAGTAAAAAATAAGAATAGCGTGCCAATTACATTAAAAACGAGATTTTTATTTCTCTTTGCTTGATTTTTTAATTTGTGCACAAACTAGTTTTACAATGAACCGAGAAAACAATGCTTTTACTATTTCCAAATGTGTCGATATGGTGTTAGTGTATGGTGCAGCCGGAGAAAATACGCTCGCGGCGACTAGGTTGTACCGGGAACGATGGCCACAGCGTCACCCCCCCATGTGCATATACAATCCTAGAGTGCGTTCAGCGGCTGCGAGATACGGGAAGTGTTATTCCTCGAGGAGAAGGACGTGGTCAGCAAGTGAACCTTAATGTTGAAGATGTAGTGTTCGAAAATCTTGACGAAGACCCCACAATTAGTACTTGACGACCCGCATGGCAAGTAGGAACCTCATATCGTACCGTACATCGCATCTTAAGACGCCAGCTGTTGCACCCCTACAACCAGTCAACAGATTTTACCCCCGGATTGTGATCAACGAATGCGTTTTTGTTTTGCAGATGGTTTTTACGGCAATGTGCCAATCAAGTAAACTTTCCTGCTTATTTTTGTATAACAGATGAGGCGATATTTAGGTACCCGTGATGAAGTGAATTTCCATAATATGCACATATGGGCCTATGAAAATCCTCACGCGATTAGGAAAATTCATTTTCAACATTGGTTCTCGGTAAATGTTTGAGCTGGCATAATAGGCGATGTACTTGTGGGTCCCTATTTCTTTGAAGGACGATTAAATGGACCAACATAAGCTGACTTTTTGGAGAACTGGCTACCTGAATTATTGGACGATGTGGTATTACAACTTCTGGGACACATGTTTTATCTTCAAGATGGGGCTCCTCCACACAATACTCGAGAACTAACGACACTTTTGAAGGAAAGGAAATGTTTCCTCAGCGATGGATTGGACGGTTTGGTCCTGTGCCGTGGCCACCTCGGTCACCCGATCTAACTCCAATGGACTTTTCCGCGCTAATGGGGATCAATTTCAATATTTTATTTAGAAATGGTAAGTTTTATTTCATTTTGTTCCATATTTTAATGGAGATTAAAAATCAAAAATAGAACTTAATCGTATAAATCTTTTCTATTACAAATATCGTTAGGAAGCTGTAGTTTAATTTTTATAGATTATACAAGCCACACCACACCCTGTATATTATAAAGTCATTGAATTATATGCACCCGAAAATTCCTCCAAAAAAATACATCTAATATTTCCAGACTAACTTATCATAATGCGACATCTTTGGGAAAATACTTACAAAAATACAAATTAGTATTATTTTATTATTATCAGCGTATTATTTTTGACAACTATTGCAAAATAAGATATATTTTAATAAGAAATCACGCCATTAGGTTATAATTGTATTGCTACGGAAATAAATCATTTCAAAAATAGAAAATATAAGTAACCTTCGTTAACGTCAAAACATTTAAACGTCAATAAATGTTATACTAGTTGTTGTTCGAATTAATAACATACCATAAGTGTTATAGGATAAAGTCGATGTCGCTCGATTTCGGAGCGTTATTATCCTTATAACACCCTAGATACCAAAACGTTTTATATGCTGATGAAACATTTATTCAGGATTGCAATTACATGGATCTTTAGTATTAAGACATATATGGTTAAACAGTGTATTGTAGATGTACTAGATATATTAAACAAAATTGGCTAGCAACTAATAATGATATCATTATAGAATCTATTTAACTCGGTTTCCAGAGTTTGTATCACCTATATTGACGTAAAACACTGTCTGTATTTAATAGCGTAATATCTGACTAATTCAACACGATAATTACTAATTATCACTTTTTCAAATAATCGAAATTCGCGATCAGAAGTTAACACACTTGAGATAAAGGTATTTTTTGATGTTGTAATATTAACAAGTTATCTCTGTTGTAAATTGAAATGATAATAATTAACATAACATATTTTAAAAATAAAAAACAAATTTATAAATATTTTAAAATTCTTGGAGCTATTAATTTCTTCTTAAATCCTCGAAAAACATTATCTGAATTATTTAAAAGAATTCATTGAAATTTGTTTCATTGTTCTAAAAAATTCAAAAAAATTTTGTGATCTCCCAGTATGGGATCGTTATTGTGTAGGTGCCTAAAAATTAAACCTTACATTTTTTTATTCTATTTATCAAAAATATTCATCTATATTCATTTACTTAAATAATTAAAGACTACTGTGTTCCAAAAATATTCTATATTCTAGCGAAGAAGCTGCTAGTGCATTTTGTCTTGATTAGCCATAAACTAAAACAATATCCATTAATTCCTATACATATAGGCCTATCCTAGGTATTTTGAATACTGATGCAAACAATAAATCACAGCAATAAGAACGCTATGAAAACCACAGTAATAATAAAATCACAGCAATAAGAACGCTATGAAAACCACAGTAATAATAAATAGGCGTTTGTCGAATTAAATCGGATGAAACTACCTGATAAATATTCTACAGTGTACCAGTTACTTTGTACTCTTAAACGTAACATTTTTTTCTCAAAATATTGGAAATACTTTTTTGGTGTTACTGATTCTACTTTTAATGACATATACAGGGTGATTTCATTTTAACTACAGCAATTGCAGGACTAGATTTATTACCAAAAATAAGTCGAGTTTGCCGTAAAAACTTTTTTCCTGCTCGACTCGGTATTCGAGGTACAGGGTGTTAAAGTTTAAAAAAATATATTTTTTTCATAATGCGCTAATGAAATTGAATGAAATTGACTACAGCGTATTCACTTAATGGGGGAATTTTTGTATTTAAAGTGTATATCCCCTTGTAACTTATTACATATTTCCTTTTGAGCTAAGAAGCATATTTTTATCGTATATCGATATGAAATACAATTCTTCTTCCATCTAGTTTTTCTAGACTTTCAGTGCCACGAAGTTAACAAATCTCTGAACGATTATATTTTACATTTTCAGCCCTGATAACATCCAAACACAATTCGAGACTACACCGTCCATGTCCACGTACCTAGTAGCTTTCATCGTATCAAAATTTGTGTCAAACAGTGACGGCAAAACCAGAGACTACGACGATCAGATATTCTCCAGACCAAGTGCCAAAGAATTCACAAGCGTAGCTGCTACATATGCACCCGCTCTGATAGACCTATTAAGCGAATGGACGGGTATAAATTACGAAGATCTTGGCAATACACAAGCTTATCAGGTGGCGATCCCAGACTTTGCACCTGGGGCTATGGAGAACTGGGGTCTAATCACGTTCAGGTAAGGAAATCGGTTTCATTTGAATTTTGGATTTTTTAAACATGTATGTATTTCTTTTAGGGAAGTCGATTTGTTAGATGATAAAAACAACACCTCCAACGCTGCCAAGCAACGAATTATAACGACAATTGCCCATGAACTTGCTCACCAGTGGTTTGGAGATTATGTCACTCTTGATTGGTGGTCAGACACTTGGTTGAATGAAGGATTCGCCACTTATTTTCAATATCTCATATCAGACCAAGTAAGCTAATACACATTTACAAATACACTATTATCAAATAGGCCAATCAATTTCTGTTTGTGACAAAAATGTCCACAGGTTCCTCATCATTGTGATTCCGTGTATTGGTATTATTTATTGTGTATTACCACTTACAATAATATTAATCTATAAATAACAATATTCAAAATTGTATCCTTATATATCTATTGCCCCTCATCTAACGACCCCCACCTACTCGATCGCGTACGCGCGCTCGGTCGTTTTTGAGCATGTTTGGAGGAATTTTTCACCTATTTCTCATCAATTTATAGGAAAATTAGAATACACGTTTTGTAGTATTTATATTTCACTTCCAACGCATCCAGAAACTTTGCAAAATAGTGCAACAAAAAATTTAAATTGCAATTGTGTTAAAACTAATGGTCCGACAGCGTCTGCTTTATGCATACAAAGTACATTTCACTACTTTTGTGCACAGAGTCAGCTCTACAAATTAAAAAATGGTGTAGTAGTGAATTTTTTAAAAAAACGCCAAATTTTCCGATTTTTCCGGGTTTTCTTCGTTTCTAATTATCCGATCGGATCGATCAACCTCTCGTTTTATACGTGTTTCGATTTTCTACAAATTGTTTTTTATAGCATTCAGATTGCTTGGTTAGTTTAGCCTTTATAAGCAAAAAACTAAAAAAATGCGTTTTTGCATAAAAATGTTTATAAAAATTAATTAATTGTAAATTGTAGTAGAAAACATGTAAGCATATATCTACAGACTGTCTTACATGACAATTCGTTTGCTACTAGTATTTTTGTCACAAAATCACTGATTTAATGCTTAAAAGTTGTATACGTACATTTAAAATATGTAATAACTTATAAACGGTTATACGGGGTGAATCTAAATAGCATCGAAAAAATGTAGGGAGCGATTCTCTGATAAAAATTAATAGAGGTCATCGATATAAAATTTTTAGAAAAAAGGTTTCCCTGAAAAGTTACGTCCCTCCAAAAATTAAAAAAAAAATTGTTTTACTTTTTTATCTTCCATGTATATCAAGCTAAAGAAACCAAACTTAGTGAACATTATCTGTCAAAAAAACTATACTTTTTGATATGTTTTCAACCCCGAAGTATTTTTTTAAGGGGTTGAAATAACCAATACATTTTTTTCCCTTAACTTAATCCTTAACTTTTCGAAAAAACTTGAGATTAAAAAGTTAGTGAAAGGGACTTTTTAGACATAATTTTTAAAAGGAAAAAATTTTGTGAAAGAAAATACAAGAAAAAAATATCGGATGATTATTTCAACCCCTTACAAAAATACTTGAGTTGAAAAAATTTCAAAAAAAATTTGACCAAGTTTGGTTTCTTTAGCTTGATATACACGGAAGATAAAAAAGAACAGCATTTTTTTTAATTTTTGGAGGGGCGTAATTTTTCAGGGGAGAGTTTTTTCAAAAAATTTTATACCAAAGATCCCTATTAGTTTTCATCAGAGAATCGCCCTTTTTTCGGTGTTATTTAGATACACTCTGTATATAGTCTATTAAATATAGAATGTTATAATTTTATTGTAAATTAATTAACGAATTTTGAGTATTTTTCTTTGAAATAGTATGTATTTCCGTTTTAGCTTGATGATAACTTGGACACTATGAGGCAGTTTATCGTTAATGAACTGCAGGCAGTTCTTCAGGCAGATGCTATTCCTTCAGCTTTGCCGCTTACGAGCGACGTTAACAGCGCAGCTGAAGTTAGCAACAAGTTTGACGACGTCAGCTATTCGAAGGGTATGTGCCAACAAAAATTAAGACTTAGGTACTTCTATTACTCCCCAGTAAATGATATGGAGGAAATATTAAGTCGTAATTGTTATATCTTCTACTTAAAATTCTTGTTTTTCACCTTCAACAGTTCAATAAATAATTAAGAAATTGAACTTTTAAAATATTTTTCTTTGTTTTTCATACATTTTTTTATTTAAATTATGTTGATCTATTTTTTAAATATCTATTATAAATATATATAAATATATTTTTTATTCTAGGAGCGAGTATAATATGGATGCTTAGAAACATTATTACAGAGGACACTTTTCAAAAAGGCTTGAACTCATACCTAAAAACTTTGTAAGTAAAAATATTTATATATAGTGTGTTCTGATTTGTAGGTATACAAACCATTAGCGTTATAAGTAACAAACCTAGAAAGTTCAAGTCAACTTTTTTTAGATCCTAAAAAACTCAGACTTGGAAAATATAACATCCTCATGATTACAAATCATACGCCTGCTGATTTCATAAGTGGCCAATTTTTTTAATATTTATCTTTCCTTTTAACAAATGTTTTGCAACGTAATATGGTTTGTAAAGTACATGTATTCGTACATTGACTGTAGTAAAGTGTGTTATTTTTTACAAATGATATACATAACTACTATTGCTTTTGAGAAATACCTTCGATAAAGCTAACCAAGATAAATAGAATAATTTGTATATCAAATTAACAATTCTCTTTGCTTTCAGTAAGTACGGTAACAGCAACCCAACAAATCTATTAAATTCTTTTAACGCAAGTACTCCTGACAAATTGGGTTTGAATAAAATTATGGATAACTGGATACACAAGTCCGGATTTCCGTTAGTTACAGCGAATCTCAACGGATCTACAGTAGTTTTGACACAGGTAGTTAATATTACTTAATATACAGGGTGTCTCTGAATAACGTGTTCAACGGAGGACCACAGATTCGTGGACTCAAAATAGGCAGATTTAGGCTAATTCATCTATATCCAAAATCGCTTCGTTTGGACGTCAGATGGCCTCAACGTTCGTGAAAATTTTTTGAATTTTGTAAATAACTCGAATACGTATTATTAGATTTTGATTATTTTTGCAGTGTGGACTTTTGTTTTCAATCTACACATTTTGGTGTTATACAGAGTGTTTTTTAATCTCACAACTCCCACAAGATTGATGTATGGTGATAATAACTGTTCATAACTTTTCCCTCTTTCGGACAATAATGACAACCATTTTATTTGATAGGTGATACCATTTGGAAATTTTTGGGCCACGACACGAATCTGTGGTCTTCCGTTGTACATGTTATTCTGGGACACCCTGTATACTCCACTAAAGAAATTATTACAAAACTGAACACTCAAACAATACCCATTATTAATTTGCGACAATTCTGTTGTAGGAAAGATTTTTATTCCAAAATGATTCCGAAGCTGAAGCAACGCAATGGTACATTCCCATCAGTTACACAACTGGTGCTGATAAGGAATTTATATACGAACTATCCGATTGGTTGAAACCCAACTCTACAGTTGAAGTTGAGTTGAATGACACTTGGATTCTAATTAATGTATATCAAACTGGTAGGACGTTTTTTGACGATATTCTTGATTGATTGATCATTGATATATTGTATTTTCAGGGTATTATAGAGTTAACTACGAACATGAGTTGTGGCACAGAATCATAACGGTTTTAGAGAGCAACAAGGACTATATCGATGTACTAAACAGAGCTCAGCTTATTGATGATATGTTCAACATTGCTAGGGCTGGAAAGATTAGTTACGATATGGTCTTCCACTTGGCTGGATATCTGGAATCTGAAACAGCCTATTATCCTTGGGTATCTGCGTTCAATGCGTTGTCCTACATTTTTGGAAAACTCAACGACGCCGAGGCCGAAAAGTTACTGCAGGTAATAAAGTAGTGAAAAAACTAGTATCACTACTAAAATTAATAAAAATTTATAACTGAAACATTGACAAATACATCATCATACAAAAACTGTATAACTGCCTATACCTACATCTTTTTCAAAGTGAGGTAGGTATGATTGTAACTTCATTTTTAGGAAGAAGTTCTAAGCTGGATAAACAAAGCTTTCCCTGCAAACTCCACAGATACAGGCAAGGAACACGTAGACAAACTAAAAGAAGTCCTCATTCAAGACTGGGGATGTAAGTTGGGACAGGAAGAATGCATTAAATATGTCAACGAGACATTCCAGAGCTACAAAGAAAATAAAAGGTAAAACAATGTAATCTCAACCTTAAAAAACGCGTTGACTTGTTTGCTTATCACTTGTTTATATGTAAGTTGTATTTTGTTCCAAGGAATTGTTTCGCTTAGATTTCTGTAATGAGCTTTGTATTATTTATTCTCTTTATGTAAACATTTACTGATTCGTTGCAATATTCATCGTTCTTCTCTAGCCTTCCAGATTACAACAAAAGAGGACTAGTTTTCTGCCACGGTTTCCGTATTAGTGCAAAACCAGAAGAAGACTACAAAGTACTATTGGACATTTTCAAGGATTCCACCTCAGTGGTCGAACAAAACGAAATAATTTCTGCTTTAGGATGCTCGGAAAATTCAGAGATTCTGACAAAGTAATTGTGCCTATAACCACCAATACTCCTTTTAAAGAATTCTTTTTATTTTTTAGATATCTTTCAGAGGCAATATCCTCGAACTCTTCCATACGAAAACAAGACGCTATTTACGTATTTAGGGCCGTTTATACGCATAGTGCTGTGGGAGTAAACGTTACTCTGAACTTCTTGGAGAATAATGCGAAAAATATTACTGACAGGTAAACAATATGACCTAGGACTATGTATCAGCTAGTAATAATGAATTGCAATTATTAGGTTTTCTGGAATGAGTCTCTTGTCGAATGTCATCTTTGCTCTTGCCGACAAAGTGGCTTCAGATGAGCAAATTAAACAGGTAAGTTAAATTTTCAAGTTCGAATATCCAACGTAAAATACAAAAATTTGTATACAGAGAAGAATTTGTAAAAAACACTATTCCTGATTGTTTGTTGATCTGGTGACGTCAAATAAACTTGGACTAGTTGAGTGATGACTAGATCCATTAAAGTCCTTACTAAACACTTATTCTAATAAGTATATTTGCTTGAACTATGATTAAAAAATAATGTCTCTTTTTTAAAGCTAACGAAAATAATTACTGACAACTCTGACAACGAAGGCGTTAAGCTTATTAGCCAGAGGGTCACTGAGATCACGACTGCGAACAAGAATTGGAGAGACGCACACGCCGCTGATATCAAGAAAATTCTGAATGCGAACAAAAACGCAGCTCATATACCACAGCCAGTTACTTTGCTGTTAGTTATCGCTTTTACTTTATTGTACATATTTAGCGGTAAATACTGACCGCACCTATTCCTAAACATATATTGTTAACTAATGTTACTATCTTTTGAAAATTAAAGATTTTTTGAAATATAACGCGGTATTTTTTTAACTATGTTCTACTACTAGCTCAATTAATGACATCGAGTAATGTTATTAGATACACAGAAATATTGCGGGAAACAACCACCGTAAGTGCTGGTAAACAGTTTTGGGAGAAAATTGTACTGATCAATTCTACAAATATTTGTATTAAATCTCGTACAAGGTCGAGAACAAATCTCAGATAATGGGAATAAAGTATTATTTGAAATTAAATCTATGATGGTGGAATGAGTTCATATTTTTTTCGAGAACCTGTTGATGGAGAATCTCTATCGACATACTGGTGAGTGCAAATGTGGTGCCGTGTGCAAATTTTGCCCACTAGTAAGTTCTGTCCTACTACTGATGACTAAATGCAAGCAAATTATTTATATACTTATTTTATTATTAAGATATTCGTGTAACTATTCAGACTATACAGGTATCTACATCACGGTGCTTTTTAAATGTTTATCGTCTTCGTAGGATGGTCATACAAAGACCAGTCTAGTAAAACAAAGCAAATGTAGTTTAATGCCAGTCTTCCTTTTGGCTTGTTCAATATAAATTTAACAACACTAACGTTTAAAACTTGCTTTTGTGTTTGTTCTTGATGATAACGTACATGTCTTATTGTTTTTACTTTAACCAAAAAACTCGCTAAGTAAATATTTGTCATGGAATTATTTGGGCTCTATACAGCGTAATTTCACTTTAAATACAGAAACTGCACGACTAGATTCATTACTAAAAAACAAGTAGGGTTTGTTCTATAAACTTTTTTCGGGACTCGGTATTAGAGATACCTACAAGTTTACAAAAAAAATTTTTTTTTCTGATATATCTTCATAATGCGCTGATGGAATTGAATGAAATTTACTACAGCGTATTTTCCTAATTAGATCTTTTATTGAGTGTAATATTAACCTTGTGGCTTTAACCAGTGGCGTGCTACTGGAGATGCCGCCCCATTTTCCTAAGAAAAAATACGCCACTGGCGATTTTTTGTAGAAATAATGTTACATTCAAGTACTGTTACGTTAAATGTTTGAAAAATGTTTCTTGGTGTTTTTTAATAGTAGTTAGGGGATATTTGGGTTTGTTTTTGTGTTTTATTGAATATTAGGAGTGCTATTAAATTAGCGGCTTTAGCCGAATGTCGCCAACCTCTTCTAAATTTATGTATTTTGTAATTATACTAAAAAAGTAATAAAGACATTTATNTTGCTTTTGTGTTTGTTCTTGATGATAACGTACATGTTTTATTGTTTTTACTTTAACCAAAAAACTCGCTAAGTAAATATTTGTCATGGAATTATTTGGGCTCTATACAGCGTGATTTCACTTTAAATACAGAAACTGCACGACTAGATTCATTACTAAACAACAAGTAGAGTTTGTTCTATAAACTTTTTTCGGGACTCGGTATTAGAGATACCTACAAGTTTACAAAAAAAAGCAAAAAATTCGATTTTTTTATTTTTTTACTTTTTTGCCTCTATTTTTTTTTAAGTAGATCAAATGTCCTTAAATAAAAGAGGTTGTAAAGTATTTTGAGATGAAAATTGACTGATACATGGCCGCTCAAACTTAGCCAATTTTTCGATTTCCGTCGCGTTTACCCTTACACGTTTTAATTCTCATTTTTTGCAAATAAAGGAAGGAAACAAGACGATTCAAGGATTTTCATGACATGACTTGTTCGAAGCGTCATTACAAAAAAAAACGCGGGGTGCTATTAAATTAGAGGGTTGAAATTGAAGATAGGGGTGAAAATGTAGTTTTTTAAATATAGCTGGAAAACGAAGCAAAATTTGAATTGAATTTCCCATCGAAATGGCTTATTTAAAAAATTTTATCTTAAACAATTATCTTTAGTAGTGTCTAAATTTGAATATCTAATAGATTGGCCAAAGTTAATTTGTAATTGTATTGTATTGTATTTGTTTCGTATTTATTACCGCAAATGTTTCTACAGTGCGATGGTAACAACATATTTCCTATTATTATAAACACAAACAAATTCAAAATTGATAAGAACATCTTAAGCATTTGACAATTTTTTATCAATAAATTAGTGTTTGTTGGTAGAATTTGAGTCTAAAAATTTTTACATAAAATAAAACAACCATAATAACAGCAAATCACAAAAAATAGTATTAAACTTATAACCTGAAGCTTATTTAGCTTTAGCTTTAGGCTATTTGCCTAACTGCAAACTTTTTTTTAAATACTTAATAAGTTCTATTGATAATTCATTAAAAATTATCAAAAATTCTTAATAATTAAGAATCAGTTCCAATTTATTGGCTAATTTATTGAGAGTAGGAAATTTCGTATTGTGCGTACTAAGTATTACTTGAATTAGATCAATTGCTTTGCTAAATTTTGTATAAAAAAAACTGGTGACTATACATGAAGTACCTAGACTTTAATATTCCAATAATTTCTATTTCCTTTTAAACACTATTTCTTATTATCCTTCAACCTGTTTCACAAATAAAATCCTTGATAAGACAGTCTTTGTAGTTTTATTATATTAAATTATGACACATATAAACAGTTTCATGACAATCCCCCCCCCTCCCGTATAATTTAAAAGTATTTTGTGACCACATCAAAAGAACTTAATGATTGCAACCGCAGGCAGCTTGTGTTACTGGTTCCTCTTTCTTTCCGCAAGAGCTGCAACCACGAGACTTGGTTTCGTTGATCCTGTCTTGACAACAATCCCTGGAAGACCTCGAACAACATCTGCAACAGGCGCAGCAGCTCCTGCAGCAGCAGGAACAGCCGCGGCGGCTGGGTCTGGATTCAGAGCAGCAACTAGAATTCGAAGAACAGCATGACTTCTGGGAAGCTTGCGCTTTACAGGCACACTCCGGTTCTCTCGTTTCCGACAATGTCAGGTTCCTTGTTTCTTCTGCTAAGGTTCTCTCAGCGGATTTTTTACAACCACACTCTGAAAATGAAAAAAAAAGTTTTCTGTGTTAAAATAATGATTGATTTAGGTGTCTAAATCTCGGAGAAAGTTTGTTATATTTAAGCAAAATATTTCAGGTTCGTTTTTAAAATTTTTGAAGCAAGACAAAATTGAGGTAAAAGGATCAGTGGTTTTTTGCTTTGGGTATTTTGCCAGCTGTGAAAAAATTTTAAAAGTTCAGTCAAAGGTTATTTTTATGAAAGTTGCCTAACCAAAAATCTCGCGCTAAAAAAATCATTAAAAAGTTAATAGTAGATTATCGACATTTCTTTTTTCATAAAAAGGGTTTATTTTACTAATTTTTTAAATTTTTCTACAGGGGCAACCAACCCAAAACCTAAAGAAATAGATATTGAATAGTCCATAATTATATCAGATCATGAAATTTAATTTTTCTACTTTCGTGTCAGGTCAAGATCAACAATTTTGTTGGCCATTATAATCGTTGTAACCAGAAAATGTTTCTTGGGCTATATCTGGAATCCAGTTCCTTACCCTGTTAACAACTAACTACTTTGTTATAAATTATGAGGAATTCGGAGTATTTAAAAATGTATCTAACATATCTTTTAAATATTGTTATGTAAATTCAGAATATTTTATAATTTCTCTATAAGGTGCAAGCAAGAAAGTATTGAAAAAAAGCTTACCCGTGCAAGGCATCTTAGTGTTGATGTAGTGGTGATTTTCTTACTTTCGACGAAAATGTTGTACTGAGGACCCTTTGGGGCCCATCCTATTTAATACCATTTAGACTTGCTGTAGTGCCGTGTGCAAATTTTGCACTCTTCCATTGTTTTCACAGGGTTTTCGTGTGCAACTAAACGAGTGTTTATCTGTTTAGATCTATTGGTGTGCAGCATAAGTTTTATTAATGTGAATGCTACAAAATAACAATATTATTGTCAGAAATTAACTACGGCAATTTTTTCTCTAGTTAAAATGCAATTATTTAGAGGCAATAGTGAAGTTTAGATAGATATCCGGAATGATAATAAATAAAAATTGAACCACCGTTTATATTTACCGTTTGTTTAAAATTTAAATGTCATTTATATATTTAGAAATTGTTAATTTTTAATTTTTTTTATAAAGAGTAAATATTTAAAATACGCCAATAAATGCTAGAGAAAATTATGATGACATTTTTACACCTGATCAGTCGTGATCACAAATCTGGTGTCAGAATTGAGCTATCACATCACAGGAATTTCCTAACCTCAAAAAACAGGTCAAATAGCAAAAACCAAGAAAAAGTGCTAGGAAAGATACATTTTTTTTTCTGTATTCATATGTTCATTTATATGGTGGTTCTTTTTCCAACCTCAAAAAATAACGGATCAATTAAGGTCAGATATCACGAATTTTCAAAAAATAACAGATTCGCGACAAATAAATAAACAGGTAAGTATAAATAAAAATAAATAAATCCAAAAACTGATGACAATATTTTAAATTATTTTATATTACGAACTAATATTGTTACAGTTCTACATCAAGATTTTGGTCTTCTATAGGTTATTCCTGAATATACATTACAATATTTAACAATAAATAAAACTCATTAAAACAGTAAAAAAAGCTCTGCTTTATTTTAAATATATTTAGCTAATTTAATGAAGTGAATCAACGCTCTTTTATACCAAATATCTAGGTATATAAAAGATATCTAACTTCATAGACAAGCCAGTAAGTAATAATTATTAATATATACACCATTAGGAAAAATTAGGAGAACAAAAAAGTTGACAAATTTTTTAGTTGTCTTTGAAATACTGTATCTCAGAGAAAAATGGTCGTGTGGAGATAAGGACGTTTTGAAGGTTCTCTACTTTCAATCGGGCGATCAAAAGTAATACTTCGAGAAAAAAAAATCCGATTTTTTTTTTAGTGCTGTCCAGGGATGTTTTCGAACTAAATCAATAACGAGGTCAGTTAACTTGTTTATTCAGTTTTAATTTACTTTTTGAAAGGTCTCCGTCTGACTCTTGGTTACAGAGATATCGATGGTTGAATGAGAAATTACATTTTTACTCTATAAAATTGGACAAATTTTTATAATTATTCCACTAAGTGGCTGAAGATTTGAAAAATGTATTCCTAACTTTATACTAATGCAGTTACCTCTGCATGTACAGTCCTATATACAAAACTGAAGCAATTGACTAAAATTATTTTGCAATATTATTCTTTATATATTATTTTCAAAATGTTGCTATATTTCCTGGATATAGTACTTTATACTTTTGATATTATTAGAATTTGTTTTCTTAGACTTCACTGAATTTACATTGAAAGTTATAAAAAGCATTTTTTTCATTATTTTTTCATTAGTCCCTTTATTAAATTATTATGATAAACATTACAATTTTATTACAACCTCTCCTAGTAGGTTAAAAATAATCTTTGAAATAATTAGAAAACATTTCAAAAGGAACTTAATGTTGGCAACCGCACACAGCTGGTTTCACTGTTTCTTGTTTCTTGCTAGCACTACCAACACAGCCTTCAGCTGTAGCTTCATCGATTTTCCTTTGATAAAAATCTCCCGAAGACCTTGAACAGCACCTGCAGCAAGCACAGCAGCTTCTATAGCAGCAAGAGCATCCGCGGTTGGATCTCGACCCAGAACAGCAACTTGAAGTAGAAGAGCAGCGCGACTTCAGGGTACCTTTTGCGCAAGTACACCCCGCCTCCCTTCTTTCCGATAGAGTCAGGTTGCTCGTTTCATCTGCTGGAGTTTGCTCAGCAGCTTTGGTAAAACCGCATTCTGAAAAATATAATCGACAAATCAGTGTGCTTCAAAATATTTATTCGTCTTATAATCTTTCTTTCATGTTCCTGGAAGCGTAGATATAGTTCTATACTAATTACGATAAGCAAAGAAAAATATATCAGCAACCTAGCCAATACGCTGGGACAGTTTTTGAAAGATAAGTTGTAACAAGAATGTGAAAGTTGATATATAGTTACATTTTTTATTTTTAGAAAACCAAAATTTGTAATATATCTATAATTTTTAATATATTGGTACTTTTATAAAATATTGTCATAAAACAAAAACTTACTCTGGCAAGGCATTTTGGTGATTTTCTTGCTTTCGATGAAATAGTTCGTATTAAAGATGGACTGCGGCCCTTTGTATTTATTGCTGTTTAGATTCACTGTAGTGCTGTGTGCAAATTTTGCACTCTACCACTGTTTTCACAATATTCGCGTGCAATTATTGTAACTGGGTATACTGGGCTTTTAGTGTGCAAAATATAAGTTTCATTAAAATTCATCACGAGAAAATATTGTCAAAAGAAAGTTGTGAGATATTATTATTATTATCATTTATATAAAATGAAGCTAGACATTTTGGTACGAAAATATATTACCAGAAATGATTAGTTTGAAACCAGTTGAAATGCAGTTATTTTGAAGTGACCTACAGAAATATTTTTTTAGGTAAATAAGTGAGACGGAAGATTTTGCACCTGCGTTTTTGCAAAATTTCTACGAGCAAAAAAGGCAATAAAAGTGACGAAGTTTTAAAAATTATTACTAAAAAATAGTTGAAAGCTCGTTACACTTTTAGGAAGCAAAATTTTAAGATCACTTGATCAAAATTGATTTATTTTCATCCTTAAGGCACCGCCCATTCGCTTCCGTACACCATGTATAAAAAGATCTGCTGAAAATAACTTAGAGAGAAAACAAAACACTATTAACAATCTTACCACTTTTTTATTTATCTTAATTTTACGTAAGTTTTAAATTAACTTTTATCTAATTAGGTATCTACTTTATGTGTTTCAGACAACATTAACGTCTTTATCTCCAAATATTTTATTTTCACGTCTTACGAATCTATAATAAAAATAAATATAAATCTTTACAATGTTAAGTAATATTTTCACACTATTTTTAATAAAGGTAGTCCGTTATTATTACATATACACACAAAGTTCATTTATTAATCATAATCATAAATTATTTCAACTCTATTTTAAATTCAGTTTCTGTCACAGTTTTTGTAAAAAATTTACACAAAACGCTTCATAAATTTATACTTTTAGAAGCTGATAATATGTTTTATTTCATGTACTATATACAGTGTGTTTTCAAACTTGGAGGGGATTAAGCATTTTCAGTAAACAAAACGACAAAATTGTTAAAACTCATTGAAAATGCTGCTTCAGCTGATGAAATCTGTGAGTTTACTGCGTGTCTTTATATGTTAAGGTTAGTGTAAACGCTTGTAAAAAGAGCTAAGGATGGAGTCAGTGGTTCCAAAAATGTTTCTCCTTATTATTATGGCCAGTCAGTAGATATTAAAAAATATTCTATTTGCAAACAACATTTCCAATGTCAATCCAGTTTTCGTATCCTTATCCCCTTTAAGTCTGTAAACACTCCCTGTGCTCTTATTTTTCAGCGCATAGTAATCACGTAAGTTAAATTTACTAGAACATCTCATATATTTTTAAAATGTAAGATTATCGCGAAGTAATACATTTTTGCTATTACCCGAAGGAAAACTACAATAAATTTTGCATTTTTAAATTTGTACATTTAAAGAAACGTCTTCTATCCTGTTAACCTAAATTTACAAGTAAATTAACTCGATATCCTGGAGTCTCCAATGCCTTGCTGCCACCGTCTGCACTTAAACAATGAAATAAACACTCGAAATCAGAAGTGGTACCAACAACAGGAAGCAATAACACTGTCACTGCCCTGCCTATCGCCCAACAGACCCCATCCACTTGACTATCATATCGAAGTAAGTGTTCATCCACTTTACATTGGCTTCCGCCTGTTCGATCGATTGTTGTGCCGCCCTTAAAGCTATCCCGAACTCGTCGTATCTTCTCGATAGGAAGGACTTGAACTGAAATTGAAAATTTTCTCTCATAGTTCTGTCAAGTACTTGGAGGAAAAGTACTTACGTCGTTGACTTCTTCTTCGGTGTTGAAGTGGGCGGTGGAAGTCCTCACGATGCTTATGAGTGACATTGAAGAGGGACCCAAACTGCAAGTTGAAATAATTAGTTGTATCAATAGTTGAAAGGACAGTAATATGGAATCCCAATTTAGTTGTCATTTATGCGATAAAATGATTGATTTTTATCAATTGAGTCCGGATATATTTATCATTTGCATAAACATAGAAATATTCCCTACGGGCTTTGCTACAAGAAGTCTGCGGCCCCTTCAAGGAATGTGATCGAATGTCGACCCTGGTAGCTTGTAGTCATAAAATTAGTATTTACTCAATTGGTAAAATCATTCCCGAAATATCACAAATATTAGAAAGAAATAATGCAAGACCTAGACCTCTACCTATATCGTTGAAACATTTTATTTATTCACTTACTATGATCTTATCCTATTCCAGTTCGTTTTCAAAAACCTGTAGGCCAAGTCCTGCCCGATGGGATTTTCGGAAACAGAAGCGAATACTCTTGGAGCATCGTGCTTTCGTATACCTGAACTGTCCATTACCGCCCACTCTAGATATCTGCTAAGTATCCAGGTTTCTTTGGAACAACCAAGGGCTGTCAGTAAGATCTCTTTCTCATTGGCGACGTTGGTATTTAGGTAACGTTGCCAGGCAAAGTCCCATTCTTCCTGTCCACCATCGCTTATGGCAGTGCAGTAGATAATTTCCCTTAGATCTGGGGATATACTGGAAACAAAAAATAAAAAAATGCTCCGCCAATAATTGTTGTGGTGTCAACATACTCGTTATCTAAGTCTGGATTAGCGGAGTTCTTCCAGTTTTGGAATTTTTGTACAGCCTTTATGATGCAATCCCGATATCCGAGAAGGCACGCTTTTCCAACGACATCCGTCCTACTAAGGATCGTTAGGGGCTCATCATCTGCTGATTCTTTGAATCCAAGCTCGATGTAGAAATCTCGAATTAGGTGCAGAATGTAAGACTGAAAGTAAGGATTTATTAACACAATACATAGGGAGATTTTTACCAGTCTTTCCATAAGTATCTGTGAGATGCAAGAGTCTCTCTTGAATTTATTTCCTCTTTTTTCACAATTGGATTTTAATTCAGATTCAGATTTAGCGGATCAAAATACAATACAAACAAATTTCGGATGTTCAAATATAACAACCTCTGAACAATTACTGAACAAAGAAAGATGCAAGATAAATATTTTACCTTGTACTTGTCAAAGTGCGCTGTTCGGACAAACATATCATACAAGTAATCCAAGCTATCCATGCCAGTTTTCCAAGGAACATATTCCCTTTCATTAACCAGATACAAAGTTACATTCAAAGCAATATCGTAGCTGATATACCCAGAGAAAGCTAAATTCAAAGCATCATCCAACAGCTGCGCCCTATTTTTCGGGTCGAATACCTCAAATCCTTTTGGTTCTTGCAGTTGTTCTATTATCTTGTGCCAATTGTCTCTATCATAGTTGACTCTGTAATAACCCGTTTGGTTAATGTTGAGCAAAAACCAATCGTCGTCGTCGAGAATAACATTTGAAAGAGTTATCTCTGGCTCCTTTCGCATCCACGTGCTTCTGAACTGGCCCTTGCTATCGTTGTATGTAATCGGAATCCACCACAGACTATTATCGACTTTTTTATCTTTGTCCAGGAAGAATCTTTCTTGGGTTAAACTCACAGAGTTATCTGTTCGATTCCTGGTAGCTGTGACTATCGGATATCCTGTCTGTAATGTCCACGTATCCATGATTTCCTTTATAGTGACTTCCGGGTCCAGAACGTCATTCTCGTGACTGACGACTGTCAGTATCGTCCATAAATCGTCTTGCTCGGCGTTGCTATACATCCTGTAAAGTTAAAGTTCTAGTAAAGTCGATACTGGTACTTCTTACGTAAGTATTAATTGACCGTATATTATTTATGAGAGTTGCTGAAACATACCTGCTGGTGAGGTATTTGTTGAGCCCATTATGGAAAACTTCAGCGGACAAGAAGTACTGCATCATGCGTATGATTGAGGCACCTGTTAGTATGAAATAAAATGTAAATAGTAACTATTAATTAATGTTTTATAACTATGTTATCTTTTACCTTTGGAATACGATATTCTGTCGAAAATATAATTTATTTCATCTGGATTGTTCACTTTAATAGATATCGGATGTGATGTACTCAAGGCATCTAGAGCAAAAGCCCCATGGAGTTCGTTCACCAAGAACAAGTCTGGATCCTTCCATTTTGGTTCAACCTATAGAGACAGAATATTTCATTAAATTATTTGCCAAATGTTTATATAGCCTGATTGTGCAAGCACATAGAAAAAGTGATTCAAACCAGGGAACCTAGAAATTGGATCTGCCAAAAGAACTGCTCCATCAAAATAAAACTATATCCTGTACACAAATAAGATAAAAGAGAGCGATACAAAAGGAAAAATAATAACTAAGTTTACTATAGCCTTTTGGTATAGTTTTATATGTATATTTTCTCGACTCATCCACAGCCACCATCATAGGTTTTAGGTATACAATTATTACAGCTCTAGAGCTGCATCCAAAGGAAAACCTACTAAATATAATGTTAAAGGGTGATTGAGCATTTTTCATGGTAGATCCGATTTCTGAGATGTCTCATTTATGGAAGAGAGCACTGTGTTTATGTGTCTTTGTAATTTTATGAACAGAAAAATATGGTTGTTTTACATTATTCTTTATAAAAATGTTAAACTTATTAGAGAATATTTCGGTAGGCTTTGAAATTGTTGCCTTTTATATGAAGCTGATAACTAAGCAATATTATACGTATATATATAGATACAATAATTATATCTACACCTTCTTTCAATTTCGCCTCAGAAATATTCGGAAATTTTCGCCCTTTATATATACATATAGGGCGAAAACTAGATTGTTAAAAAGAGAAACGAAAAATAGAGGGACTAATCGAAAGCGTAACCCTTTGCATAAATCCTTTGAAGAAAAGAGAACACGTTATAGCAGCAAAAATAAGAATGATTTGTAGATATTGTTTTCTTTTGTTTAGAAAGTAGAGTAATCTACAAGTTTTGTTGCATTCTCAATCTTCTAGGCTGTTATCTCTCAGCACAAAAACTAGATGGATAGATGGGTGGATNATATGGTTGTTTTACATTATTCTTTATAAAAATGTTAAACTTATTAGAGAATATTTCGGTAGGCTTTGAAATTGTTGCCTTTTATATGAAGCTGATAACTAAGCAATATTATACGTATATATATAGATACAATAATTATATCTACACCTCAATTTCGCCTCAGAAATATTCGGAAATGTTCGCCCTTTATAAACATATAGGGCGAAAACTAGGTTGTTAAAAAGAGAAACGAAAAATAGAGGGACTAAACGAAAGCGTAACCCTTTGCATAAATCCTTTGAAGAAAAGAGAACACGTTATAGCAGTAAAAATAAGAATGATTTGTAGATATCGTTTTCCTTTGTTTAGAAAGTAGAGTAATCTACAAGTTTTGTTGCATTCTCAATCTTCTAGGCTGTTATCTCTCAGCACAAAAACTAGATGGATAGATGGGTGGNTTTGAAGAAAAGAGAACACGTTATAGCAGTAAAAATAAGAATGATTTGTAGATATCGTTTTCCTTTGTTTAGAAAGTAGAGTAATCTACAAGTTTTGTTGCATTCTCAATCTTCTAGGCTGTTATCTCTCAGCACAAAAACTAGATGGATAGATGGGTGGATGGGTGGGTTTTATAGATGGTACAGGTGGATGGATAAATATGCGTATTCATGCATGAACTACTGGATAGAAAGATGTATGAATTCATAAATTGGTGGGTGGATAAAAACATGGATCCAGAACGCTGCAACACGAATTATGCCATGAAAATGGCGTTTTTGATCAATTTTCTGTTTTTGAATGAAGTTGGACCAGTTTGTCTGACTCTATGATGATAAATTGGAATTAAACAAGTGAAAAACCATACGTCTAGTGAACTGGTAGAATAATTTTACTTTTTATAACTTTCGTCGATCGTAAATGACGTTTTTTATGAATTTTGACCTGTTTTTTGAATTTTCCCAGAAAACTCAGACCTGTTGGGCCAAATCTGAAAGCAGATTCGGATTCAGCGGAAAAAATATTTCGAAATGCTTGGGTCTAAATAAAAGATCCGATACTTTTTTTTTGTGGGGCTGTGTAATTGATGATTATTCTGATGATAATTCTTGACATAGGTTTTTGAAAATCTGAATACCTTTGTTACTTTTTCACCATAAGGCTTTAAAACTACAATATAAACTCAGAGAATACTTTTACTGAGCCATATTCACAAAGCTATTATTTTTAACTGCCATTTGTACAAATATGTGTCTCTTCTTAACACGAGGATATAAATTGCTGTTAATTGTTTTCCCAGATGGTCGTACAAAATTTATTTATGGATGGCATTCGAGGGGCATTAACATCCGATTACCGAGAATACAATATTTTAAACGGTTTTGTTTGTTTGACTCATTGAAGAAATAAGTCTGATACTTTGTACCATTAACGTCAAGAAAGGATGTCTTACTGACATTCTCAACCTCGTTTTCAATTGTTTAAAAGTCATTTTTAAGATTTCTTACATATAAGACGAATTATCTGAAACATTTGGTGTAGAGAACTTGTTTTGAGATGCAAATTGTTATTGTGTTTCTATTATCCCTCAAATTAAACAATAAAATTGAATTGAATTTTTATGTTTTCCTAAAGAATCAATGACATTTTCTGTTCATTAAACTACACAATATTCCTTTAATCATCTCCTTATCTTTGACTATTTCTACAAAAGCAATCTTATCAAATATATGAAGTAGTTAGATAAGCATATATGCACAGATTTGTCGTACTAACTGCGTAAGCTCCCAGAAACTCCACATACGTAGCGAAACCTTCGTTCAACCAAAGGTCTGTCCACCACGTTGGCGTGACTAGGTTTCCGAACCACTGATGGGCTAGTTCGTGAGCCACCACATGGGCAATCCTTTGCAGGCTTGATCGGCTGGACACTCCTTTTTCGTACAATAAAACCGGTTCTCTGAAATGCGTAAGATTTTATAAATATATTTTAATAAAATGGACTGGATTGTTTATCTGATTCATATTTTTTACTCAAGATAATTTTAGAAACATGGATTGTTTCTTGTTTTTTATGCCGTTTAGATGAATTTTATAAGGATGGGTTGTTCCCTGTATTTTATGTCGTTTAGATGACAAAAATTTTCCAATAATATTTTATGGGCAATCTGTGAGTTTGTGTTTTTTCACTACCTGTATGTGATCAGTCCCCAGTTTTCCATCGCTCCCGCTGAAAAATCTGGGATGGCTACCATGTCGAGTTTCGGCAAAGGATACTTGATTCCAAAGAACTCCTCATAATAGTCCAGAATCGTGGGTGCGATTTCCAGACCGTAGTGAGCTTGACTTAGAGCACCTTTTCGTGCCCATATGGAAATTTTTCCTTTCGTTATGCTCTCGAAATCGGACACAACGAATGCTATTAAGTACGTTGACATCGGTAAGCTTTCTTCGTAGTTGTCCCACATGTAACCGGGTAGATCTGGTCTAAAATTTGAGAGAGAATTTTATTGACACTGTCCTTTCTCAAAACAATACGATCGTGGTAATAATAACAAACTGTACACAATTCATGACCACAAGGACTTTCTTAAAGGTTTTGAATGTTACGGTGAATTTTTTCCTCCAAACATATAAATTGTACCCAAAAATGTTTTTGTTGATTCAATGAAGGAAGCTTACAAGTAAATTTCAAGAATTTAACAAAAACTCCTTCTTTCTTTTCGAAATTACTACCAAATTGTAAAATTTTTAGATTTTGGTTGACGGGTTAACTTTTCTATTGGAGATATCATGTATCGTCAAAAACAGTTACACAAACACCCGATCCCATAAAGAATTTTTTCAGCATTGAATTCTATCGAAAAAAGTTTCAGAGAAAAGTTGTAGAATATCAAGATGCTGGTAAACTTAGATTCGACTTTGACCTTAAATATCAAGGCAGATGGCAATAAAAATAGGGAGTTCCATTTCAAACTTTCACGTTAACCTTCATTTGACCTTGAATTGTGCCCAGCACATCGGCTTCTTGATATCCTACAGCTTTTATCTGAAACTTTTTTTGATATAACTTAATACTGAAAATTATTGAGGTGGTCTTTGGATCTTTTTGGAACACGCGTTAGTTGCGTTCAAGATTTATCCATCTGCTATATTTACATTTTATTCTGCATAACATAATTGGATAGCGATGTGTTTGTCAGCAAACTGATGTTTACATTAATTATAGCACGTCACTCCGATTAATCTCCAATTTAATTCAAAATAAATGATTTTGAACGTGAGAAATATCACAATCACGGGGTTTAAAGTACTTTTAATATTTACGCGGAACAGGATAAATTATTGAAAATATTTTTCAAGATAAAAATTGTTGACCTTGATTTAATTCCTATATTTACAAAATTATCAGCGAATTAGAACTTTTGTTTATGCAAAATATATGTTTTGCACTGAAATTATCTTCTTGTGGCATGTTATTAAATTTTAAATTTGCTCTACTTCTTTGACAATCAGTAATTAATACAGGGTGTCCCTCAATAAGTGTCAAATGCACAAAATGTATTAGACAAAAGTTGTTGCTTTAATGTGGCACTTATTTCTGGTACACTATGTATATTATCCCAGATCTCATGAGTAAATTGTCCTCATTTATCTATTTATCACGGTGTTTAAAACATAATTCACTTATATTTTCTCAATACAGGATGTTTCTGAAATAAGTACGTTCCTTGAAAAGGGCAATAGAGGACGCGAAAATGAGCAACTTCTATTAGGCAACTGATGGTTTAAATGCTTGAGAAGATTAACCATCAATGTAAGCCGACCCTGTGCATCTTGTGCACGTGCATAATTTTACAAGTAAGGTGCAAGGATCAATGTTTTACTAAATTTTCAAACAATGAAGATTTTGAAAGTAAAAGCGCTTTTGAACGGGTGAATTCAGTTTTCGGAGCGGCCGAGTAGCGTTACCCCCACTCCTCCGCCCGCTACAGTTAGCTCGCGCCGCGCTCGAATGCTTCGGTTTGACGCAGAGTTCAAAATGAAGAAGTGGCTAAAATGAACCACAGTATTTTTTTTATTGAAAATATAAATCTTCCACTTCAATTTTTGTAGAATGGACGCTGTAGACCTTAAATAGCGGCTTGTTCAATTTCTTGAAAAAAAAAAAAAAGAATTAACTCGGCTCCAGAATGTCATAGAGCAACGTTTTTTTTTTAAATCGCTTAAAATGCCAGCAATCGATTCCTGTAATAGGTATTATCGAGAAATGAAAATCGAAAAAGATATTCAAGAAAAACGCGACCAAAAATTTTTTACTTTTTTCAGTCAATTCACAAATGAATAAAATTGTTATCACTCTTTTTTTACCATATTAGTACAACTCTTAAGGAAAAAAATGAGCACTGATTCATTTCTCTACGACTATTCGTCGAGCAAGAAAAGTCGATTTTCGAGATAACCTTTTTTTCGAAAAATCGATATAACTGGAAAAATTTTTAATATTTTTTAATTTAAAAAAAGGTACTTTTTTGCTTGCCGAGAGCTACATTTACAGCAAGTAACAAGTTTCAAAACCTTAATTTGCAGGAGATACAGCAAAAACAAAAAAGTCGATTTTTGACGGTTTTTTCGATATATCTCGAAAAGTAATATAGCAATCAATATATTTAAAAATACGAATCGATAGGTTTTTTTAATAATTAGAACTTTCCCATTTAAGTTTTTTCGATTGGACTTCAGTTTTTTTATTAGCGAAAAACCGTTTTTTGACTTTTATAAATCTTCTTTCTTAGAATTATTTTCCTATATCACCATATTTTTTGTTTCCAGGTAGTATTTTCTTTAATTTAACATAAGGCCGTGACAGAGTGATTGGACCACCATGTTTATTGGCACATGGAAACGACTTTGAACGATTTTTATAGAGCATATCGTCCATTGATGAATAATTCGTTTAATTTTTGTATTGAAAGGATGAAAATCATAGATTTTCTCAGAACTACTTACTGAGCAGAGGTACTATTAATTTTTCTCATGTTGGATATAGAAGTCATGTTTTTTAATCTGGCTATGCTGATTTGAAACCGGGCTTTCAGTCCTGGTTCGTCGAAACAGGGAAAGCACTTCCTTGCATCCGTAGCTTGAAACTGGGTTGCAGCCATCCATCTGAAATGAGAAGAAAATTGAACTACCCAACAATTTCTTTCAGTGTGGGCGAGATGTACCTACTAGAAGGTACGTTATGTCATAGTTGTCATTGCCTTGTACCAATTGACAAAAGGCAAGACATGTCGGTAGTCTCACCTGTGACAAACTAATAAAGACCGAACTTCAAAAATAAAATATCCTCGTCAATGCAGGCTCACTCATAAATCTACCCCTCTACTACTATCGATTTCTCTACTATGTATTCAAAAGTACAATAAAGTAACAAACTATACCTTGTCTCGCCCTTCTCCTGATAACTGCTCCTGTAAAATCCTTGCAAAAGATCGTTCAACGTCCCCATAAACCTAAGATGAATATAATACTGATTCGGCGGAACAATTTCCTCGGCTAGATCAATAACCAGAAACTGTTTCTTTTTTATGTCCCTCGCGGATATGATGGAAACACTACCACCCTTCACGTCAGTAATGCTAAAACTGTCAATAAACAAGTCATCCGCGTGAAGAGTAATGTTATTGGTAGCACTGGTCACATTCACTAAAATCTGCACCTCACCTTGAAATCTATAATTCCCTTCTTGCAAGAAAGGGACTAGTCTAAGTTTATACGAATGCGGTACGACAGATGTTGGCAACCGTACATCTAAATCTTCTAAAGCATCAGTCTTCGTTTCTTCCGTGGTGGTGGCGAGCACTGTGGTTCCACTTTCTGTTTCTGCTTCAACACTCTCTGCCGTCGGAGATGATTCAGCCTGGTTCTGACAGGGAACTCCTGGTGAGTCTGCTTGTGATATGCCCGAGCAAGAGGAGAAGTTGTACACTAAAAGTCCCGTAGCCACCAAACAGCCTATGAATAACAGGAGGAGGAATATTCCTAAAGATTTAGATATCTGAACTTGCTTTCTCTTGCCGAATTTTGTTGTCACCACATCCATTATGATCAGATTCTCTCGAACCATGGGATCATGAATTTGAGCTATATCTGAAACAAATGTAGACATTAGATTTTTTACCATAGATCCTTGAATCAACGAAATTGAATGATTTACCAGGTACATGTGTATTGGAGGAGTAATATTTAATCAAATGGTCTCTTACAACTGGCATTAACCATATTTACAGTCTTACAATCTTACAGTTACGTACAAGATGAGATAGATTTAAAACATCACCACTCTTTAGGAGAATAATTAATACTGCTAATTGTCAGATATTTAAAAGCAAATGCAAATATAATATATTATCCTCAACAGACAGAAGAATTATTGACATAAGTACGGTCATGAACTTGACCTATTCATCGAATTTGAATGAATCACCTTAAGTTATTGAATTCTTATATACATGATTATTGATTGCAATTACTATAGTAGCTATGACTTATGTAATGTGTTGAAATAGTATTTCATTTAAGCTTAATTGTTTCTAGATCTTGGAACTTTCGACCAAAGTTGTCCTACAGACAAATTACAATATATATTTCCTTCAAATAATATATTACAATATTTATGAGTTGTCTATGTACCAGAAGACAAAAACATATCTCTTGAGAGTTAATAACAATAGTAAATTAAACTTTTATTATTCAATTTAAGGCAATACGTTTTATGAAAAACCCAAAATAGAACAATGATTCATACCAATCTACTTCTTAGAAAACTAAAATTCAAACAATCACTAAATTTCATCCCAATACATTTGGTCATTGCTGATTACTGTTGATACAGACACAGAATATTTGTAAGAAGAATCTCGATTTATATTTTGTTTATGTCACGTGGACATATTTTCATTCGTTTAGGTAATACGCATATTACAGACATTGAATAATTAGTTCCAAAAAGGCAATAATCTAATAATTATCTCTTCCAAGAAAAAGCGGTGTTTATCTCGCGATATTGAAGGGTCAGAACAAATGGCTAAATTTTGTATACAATGACCAATAATTTTAACAAAAAAATCTAGATAAAGCGTGATTTTTTTGTAATCTACTGATACTAATGTATTCACAGGCCGTAGATATTTCTCTCAGAAATTTAACTTGGAATTATTAGAATACCATAAATGTATTATTATATACATAAAATAGTAGAAATAGAATATTTTAAAATGTATTATTAATAGCTTAATATTAGCTGATTTCACTTAAAATGTCAGAGGAATTAACAATTACTTTTATCACGCAAGTATTTATAAATAAAATTCATATTCCCTGCGTGTTTTGTGACCTAATGACACCAAAATCTTGCTAAAATTAGGCGGCACGTTTTGAGAAAATATGTGATTGGATCCAATTTGTATATGTGGACATACGTACCTAAACGTTCCAATAAATTCGTTATTGGCTACCTAAATATTTAACACGCTTTGTAGGATATTAGGTCAGTTAATATATTTGATTTTTACTCGTAATTCTATTGTAAAGTAAAGAAGGTATGTTAATCCCATTAACTTCCCATTTTAAGATTTAGGAAAAGGATTTTTTTGTAAAATAACCTTTATTTGGAATTAATTTTTTAATTCCTAACATTTTTATCAATCAAATTTTGGAATAAAAAAATTGAAAAGAAAATTGCTGAACTCACGATGGTCTGTATGTAAAGAATTGGTGGTATGCGGTAGAGATGTAACTAGTTGGTTAAATAAACTGGAAAAATTGGAAAAACCCTCATTTTTCTTTCCTTCATTCCGAAGTAAAAAATTGAAAATATTGGAAAAAATAGAAAATGTGAAAAAACCACTTGAAATAAATATTTATTAAAACATTTTTCCAGCTATGTTTTGCTCAAGTAAAATCTCAATGATTATGAACGTAATAAATGCTAACAAAATTTATATATTTTTGATCGGGATGACTTCAAACCTCAAATAGTCGAGTGCATGTGCAAATTAATAAAAAGTAAATATAATCTTTTTCTTAAAATGATAAACAGAAACATAATCTTAATTTTTCAAGAATCAACAACGATAGAAACAAAATATCTGCAACTAAAAGAGCAAACAGTTCCTTGTCTGTGTCCTTGTTCTTGTTCTTGCTCTTGCTTTTGCTCTTCTGCTTATTCCTGTTCTTGTCCTTATTCCTACTATTTCCTTTTCTTGTTTTTAATCTTGTTCTTTGCCAATTTCTAATTTTTCCTTTTGTTCTCGTTCTGGCTCTTGTTTTCGTGCTCGTTTTCAATTTCGTTATAGCTCCTGTCTTCTCGTCTCGTCTTGTTGTTGTTCTTGCTTTTGTTTTTGTTCTTGATCTTGTTTTTGTTCTCTTGACAAGTTCTTGAACATATTCTTTTCTTGTTCTCGTTTTTGTTCTTGTCCTTACCCCTACCTCTGCTCTTATCTTTGCCTTTTTCTTACTCTCGTCATTGTGCATGTGCTTGTTTTTGTTCTCGTTCTTGTTCTTGCTGCATGTGAAAATTTAAATTCTTATATAATTAAAGAGCAACTACTTTTTCAAGCTTTAACACTATATTATTTCCTGAATGCATTTTTGTGGCATTCCATAAGTAGTTTTACTTTTTGAGATATTTTGTAACCGCAAAATAAAAAAATGTATACATTAATAAAAGATTCTATTTCGAAAATAACGCTCTTATAAAATACCTGTTGGTTGGATATCTTTAAAGATGAGGTAAGTAGTAATAAAATAGATGGCAATCCTTGTGAGTTTAAGTCCCCTGCATTGTGTATCGATTATTAAAATGTAATTTCATGTTAAACTTCAAAGCGATAAGTAGGTTACTTTTGGAAACATTGGTGAAATTCTTTGAAAATCTTACTGTAGTGTCTTGTGCCTTGAAAACTAAATACAATAGGCGTTATACAAAAACGTTCTTATTTTTTAACATCCTATTGTCCCTAGAGTTTATAGTATTATTATGAAATAGTCAATATTCGCTTCGTAAATGTACTAGTTCTATACTTATCAAAGACGAAATTATGCAGGCTCTACCAGTTGACATCACCCCAGCAGTTTCACCAAATCTATACGACTTTGTGTAACAATTATCTGGTCGTAAACAATGCTTTAATTGGATAATTAAGGCAATACTTGTCAAGATAAGGATGATTTATGGTTTGTATTCATCGGGAGGAAGTTTAGAGATATCCTATAAGACGTTTAGGTTAATATATTACGCACAGCCAAAAATTGTGACGGAGGAAGTTCGGAGCAACTAATTTTAAAGAGGCTGAGGAATGTGAAAAATTGCTCCCAGTCGTTGCGAAATATCAGCTCGTTGATTTATTACTCGATGGAATAATCTTAACTGCATAATTTTCAGACTCAACTTGGTACAACTTAAAGATTTATTTAATAAATCATAAAGTAAGAACTAATTCAGACTTATTGCTTATTATTACGAGCAAAAGGTAGGTATATATATATAGTCTGTTGCAAATTCGCTTCTCACTACAGGGATCTCGGAAACGGTAAGAGATACGAACTGGAAATCCGTTTTTGTTTCATTTCAGTCTTGTTTAAGGTGATATTGAAAAAAGAAGAACACTTTCTCATGGCAACTTTTTGCCCTCTATCGAATAGCATAATCAATTTTTATATGTAACGTTTCGTCTCTCCAGGACCAGCAACTTCATTTTTTTAAATACAACCCTGGAAATTTTACTGCATTTTTTGCAAGCCTTCATGACCCCCAATACTGTACTGCCTCAGCCCGAACCAGATTCAGACGTTTTGTCTCGAAAAAATCATCTTCACTGTATTCGATACTTATATGATGTGTAGATTATGGACAGAAAACTTCTTATTCAATAAACATCTCTCTGCTTCATTAGTATTATTGATTTATTATTAAATAAAGGAAGAAGAAAAACGCATGATATTTTAGTGGCACTTTCTCTTAAGAAACCTTATATTTTCTTGTTATGTCAGTTATTGCATAATTATTTCAAACACAAAAAAAATGAGCAAAAAACTAATTTCCAATAATTATTAAATGTTTCAATTGAACGTAAGCCAAGGTATTTATTTATACAGGGTGATTCAGAACTTATCCACAAAAAAAAAATTCTGGATGTACAAGGGACCCTTACAAATACAATTTTGTAAAGAAAAAATCAAAAAGGTCAGTTCGAAATTGATTAAAAAATACACTTCTGCATGGCACTAGAAACTGGTCCACTGTAAAACCTGACCTCGCACAATGCGACCGGAATGGCGGCGTGATAAAAACGGACAAAAACTTTCGCAAGGAAAGAAATATGTAAATAGAATTTTATCGCACCTATTTTATATCGGCAAATTCAAATGCTTTTGCCTTTATTAATTATTAATAAAATTAATTTGTGTTTTTAAATAATAAAATCATTTGACATACCCGATGCTGCAACAGCAATTGTTCAAAATTTCCATAAATTAAAACGATATCCATCAACTCTGAGTTGCTATACACGCAAGCCATTTTTGACACTAACTACTAAAAAACTGATGTAAATACCACAGATAATAGGTAAAAACTACCGCAACGACGGATTTCAGTATTAGGAGTCATATGGCTCTCCACGCGTATTGCGAATGACGCTAGGGACTACAGTTGTCCAGCTATGTAGTGGTTTAATGTGATATAACTTCAATAATTTTTTTTCTCAGAAACTATAAGGATTTTACAAAAATTTTTTTTACAATATTGACTCCATTTCTCATGCCGCATCTGTTCCCAAATTTTTTTGGATAAGTTGTGAAACACCCTGTATATGTATTTATATTTCTATTAATAACAAGATATATGTGTATTGTATCCATTTATCAAAATATACTTAAATGACGAAGTCATAGGGGAAAACTGAAAAACTTAAGAGTCCGGTCATAATTAAGTAATACTAGGAATTATTTAGAAAAATTAAAACTAAATACATTCGTAATAAATATTGCTGTTTCCTCTACTGAAAGTAGTTTGCAAATAATAACAATTAAAGACCTTTAAACTTATTTTTTTAAATAATGTATAATCATAGATGTACTTTGGATAT